CTCCATCGAGGCAATTCTGTGTAAAAGTGAATTCATTGGTCAGTCTTGATTAGTCAGCAAGTCGTTTCTGCAATACATACGTAAGCTTCTCTCTCGTATGTGTTATTTCGGAAATTCGCAGGTTGGAAACCGTGCGGAAGAGTGAGGAGTTGGATCGGAAGATGGCTTTAGTTGATTCGCGTTTGAAGAGTTGGTCACCGGAGAAGCCAAGCCCTTATGGAGGTGGTGGCCAAGGTGGAAAAGGGAAAGGAAAAGGGAAAGGAAAAGGGAAAGGAAGTAGGAAGTGTTTCACTTGGATTCGTCAAGGTCAGAATCGTGGAGTTACTTGTGGTTTTTCTTCTTGTACTTTTGATCATTCGCTACCGCTTTCGAGAAGCGAAGCTCAAGATATTAAGAGTTTTGCTCGCTCTTTGAATGATTGGAGTTTGGACTTAGATTATTGTGGCGAGGTGCTTCGTTCGAGCGTTCAGTCGTCGAGCTCGAGTTCGTCGGGATCTAATACGACGACCAAGTCCGAAAATGTAAACAGTACTGAGGCTGCGGCCGCTTCAGCTTCGTAATCTTGTCCTTAGACTTGTTAGCTGTGCGTTTGCAGTCAGAGCAGTCGAGACTTGGCCTAACCAGAGCTCGACTGAGGTAGCAAATGTTTCAACTTCCCGGTCAGCCATTCGCTGACGTCGTTGCTTTTTTTTGATGAAACTAATTAGGTGAAGAATTGATCGAGTTCATTTCATAGGCATGATTAACGTTTCTTAGATTATATGTTTCTGTGAGTTAAGTTGTTTTGTGAGAAAGTCTAATTATAGTTGTCACTGAGTTAGTTTTAGTGGTTTGTAGGTAGTATCGTCTTGTATTGGTTAGGAATTTTAGTTACACACAAGAGTTTCCATGTAGAATGGTAGTAGATTTTGATTAATTCACTTAAAGGAGAGAAGATGTTCGAAGCATTTTTGAAAAGTCTGCGTGAAGCCGACACTAAGAATGGTGGGAATTATGTTACGGCAAGAGAGCAGAAGGCCACTAGCGTTAGGTCGTGGACTGTTGGAGAAGATGGGAAGTTAAAGGCGTTTACAAGTAGTTCTGCGGAAGGTGTGAAAGAAGTGAGTGGTGGCAGTAACCTGTTAGCTATTCACGCAGGCCATTTTGTGACGTCTTCTTCTTCTTCCAGTTCGGTCTCGTCATCGTCTAGAAAGAGGCCGCTGCGGCCTCTTGGGGCAGTTGAAAAAGATGGAGAAGTGAGTCAGTTAGCATCTTCAGATCCGGCAATTTTCCTCAACGCTGGGACGAAGGTGGAAGTGATGTTGGGTAGGTTTAAAAAATACACTGAAGCACAGAAGGAGATGGTCTTAGATTCTGAGCAGACCCCTGCACAAAAGATACAAGTTTTAGCAAGTCAGGGGCCATTAGCAGCAAAGCGAACAGTTAGGAGTAATGCCGATTTTATCAAAGGTGAAAGCATTTCCCAATCTACCTGGAACACATATTTCTCGCATTTTTATGGGTATTGTAGTTTTGTGCTTTCGTTGGCAGAAAAGCCATTTCCTATGTCCACAGCGAAAGTTGAGGGTTGTCTTGCTATCCAGAAGTGCGCCGGTTCGATGAATGTTGCTAAGTGTGCTCTTAAGAAAGTTTGCCACTGTTTTCAGTTGAAGTTCCCGGAGGTTGACGCTGCTTCGATCTCCCGTGGGATCAAGAAGTGGCAGCCTCCTACTAGATCAATGGATCCTATTTCCCCCGCGTGTTTAAATCTTCTGTTGCAGGATCCTAATACTATCGCAAGTTTTAAATTTTTGATTTCAGTCTGTTGGATTTTTTTACTGAGGTGTGGAGACGAAGGAATTTTTCTGAAGCGTTCCTTTTCTGACGAAGACCGTGATCTGAGTAAGAAAGAAACTGAAGCATCACTCTGCTATTTGGTGTGATGAGGAGGCTTGCTCGGTTACTATTAGGCTTAGATCTAGGAAAAATCGACTTGAAGGGGATTGCATCACCCGGCAGTGCACGTGCGCTGATGTTGAGTCTTCCGGCGAAGAAGGCGAGATGCAAGCCTTTTCTTGGGCGAGGGATTTTTGTCCTTTTCATTGTTTTTTTAAGGCCCACGTTTTGAAGTATGACCCGGGCCAGCGAGTCTTTCCGCGACTCGACTACCCTCTTGTTCTGTCTACTTTGAAGCGTTCGTTGGCTGACAATCATCAAGTAGGTTGTTGGGGAACACATTCATGTCGTCGCGGTGGTTGTGCTGCAATTGCAGCAGCTGGAGGTAGTTTAAGTCAGATTTTGGTGGCTGGATCTTGGAGTAATAAGAATTTTGCTTGGCGTAGGTATGTTAACGAGCGCAATCTTCAGTGCGCAGGTATGATCAAGGCGGCAAAGGCCGAACTTCAGTCAGATAATCATATTGACGATTTTGTTTCTGCCGGTGAAAGTGAGAATGAGGACGCAGATGTGTAGGGTTGTGTACGATTGAAATTCAGATGGCCTTTGTTAGTAGATCGATTCATAAGTTGCTGAACTGAAGTCGAATTTGTATCAGGCAGGTGGTTTCTTGACACAGCGAGTTTTGGCCATGGGCGTGCGATCAATGGTGTTCTGTTTTTTCGCTGTTGTCGAGTGTAATGAGTCGATGAGGCAAAGGAAGCATAGCCGTCTAACGTGCAGGCTTCCATCGTGATCGGTGCGTGCACTTGGTGTTTTCTGGGTTCTAGAGCCTAAAGATGTCTTAGTGCGCGTGCGTCTCACTGCTAGGGAACAGAGTCTCATCGAGTCCCCACCTGTTAGATTTACTTTCCCCGTTCGTTTACCTTCTAAGTTGTGTATGACGGCCCCGTGTATAAATATGGAATTTGAGCTTGCTTAAATTTCTGTTTATACACCAGGCGGCAGAAACAGGTCACGTCGGTTGTCAGGTCATCTTCTTGTGGTTGTGCAGTATCGTGTTTTGTTTGGGCCGTGAGTGCAAAGACCCCGTAGAAGCTCACACGTAGTTTTGGTTGTAGCGGTACTAGCTGCATTTCGCGGCGTTTTGTTGAGTAGAGTTGTATTGTTGCGTCCTTGCGGACTTGGGGATGGTGCGGACTATTCGGGATTCTTTTTTTCCCACCCGCCCACCCGCGCCGCCCTACGCGGTTCGTCTCTGTGAGGCTCGTTAGCTTCCTTCTGCGGAAGGAGCTACCCTCCTTTGACGTTCCTCGGGGCAGGTTTTTATTGTCGCGACGAGCCTCTCAGAGTGCGAATTCAAAGTAGGGCGGCGCTGTCTTTCTTCCAGAAGAGTGCGTTTGTTTTTGCCACCTGGTGTCTTAGAATTGTTTTTCTTTCCGTTTCGGTAATTTAGTTTTGTAGGTGACAGTGCGGTAATACCGAGAGTCTTTGTTTCTTTGTAATAAGAGCTTGTTTTGAAATGGAGTAGCAAATCAGTGGTTGCAAATTGGACGAGAGCAGTTATTTGGAGAAAGTTCGGTGGTTGTGATGAGTTTGCTGTTGTTGCAGGAGGAGAGTTGTTTTTGTGAGTGCGAAAGGACTGCTCTACCTTGATACAAGAAAACTGACTATCGAGCCTTGACATTTAGTAGGAAAGCATTTTGACTCCCCCTCCTTTTTGTTTTTTTCCCTCAGAAATCTTTTTCTTCGCCCCGTCTTTGTTAAGGTTGACCTTGACGATGTCTAGAAAGACACACAGGTTTGGGAGTCACGAGATTCATAATGATGCATCTAGATATATTGATAGAGTTTTGGAAGATGCTAGTGCATCGTTAGCGCGTAGATCTGACGAGATCATAGAGTCTGAGAATTTAGATATTATTCTGCAGCAGCTGCCTTCTAAAGAGTCGTTAGAATCTGGTAGATCAAAGCTTGAGGAGTTGCTGTCTGAATCTTTTGCGCCTGCAAGCTCTCCTGAATGTTTCAATTTCTTTGATCGTGAGAATCATAGAGTTATTGGTTGGAAAAATGTTTCGTTGTTGAGGAAATTGAGTTCCCTTTTTCACAAATCGGATCCTTTTGCGTGGAAGCTCCCGCTTTTAGGTGGCACGTGTATTAATAAAGTTTACTGTCCTGAAGGTTGGCAATATAGAAAACCGAAGACGGATGGCGATTTGTTAGAAAAGATCACAAGGCGTTGCGCGATAGGTTCTGGGGTTTTTAAACGCCCTCCGAAGCACGTTGACCCGGCTGTTTTAGATTTAATTTGGAGCACGACGCTTCAGGAGCGCGGCGAAGGACTCCTTGAAGGACCATTTGAGTTATCATCTTTGCCCCCTGCGGTGACTCATGTGATCCCTCGTTTTGCAATCTTGCAGAAGTCTAGGTGCCGCATGATCGACGATGCTCGTATTTTTAATTTTGGTGCTGAGTTAGACCGTAGAGTCCCGCTGCCATCGCCTTTACAGGCGCTGGCAGCGGCGACAGTCACGGCAAGGCTGCAGGCCTGCCCCGAACTTGATAAGCGTGTTGCGTCGTGTTTCTCTTTTCAGTCCCGTAAGCGGAAGAACGATGAAGCTCAGAACTCGAATGATTTTTCAGCATTGAACGAGTTGCTTTTTTCGGTAGACAGTGAATTAGAAAAGTGTCTTAGCGGTGACATCAACATTGATGGGCTAGTAATTGACATCAAGGGTGCGTACAAGACTTTAGGCATTGTCGAAGGTCAAGAGCACGGGAATTATATAGTGGTTTGGGATGTTGAGAAGGTGAAGTTTGTGGCTTTCAGAGGCTTTAGCCTGCTTTTTGGCAACACGCATAGTGTTGTTTGCTGGTGTAGAGTTGCGTTTCTTATTAACTCTATTATTCGCGGGCTGTTTCGTATCCCTTCTTCTGTCTTCATTGACGATTATCATGCATTTGTGCGTAAAAATTTTGGTCAGAGTGCGGCAGATCAGATTTGTTTTTTGTTGGATGTTCTTGGTTTCGAGTATAAAGCTGAGAAAGTTGATGTAAGTGATTCGTCTATTTTGCTTTTAGGTTTAGTTTTTGCATTACGAGGCAAGCCCAGTGTATCCATCTCAAATAGTAGAGCAGTAGCATACGCTACGGAAATTAAGAAGGTTCTTGCAGCGGAAGCGCTTACTGTTGACGAAGCTTCTCGTATTTATGGTAAGCTGTCGCTCGCTTTTTGCGCGGTGTGCGAGAGGGCGCTTCACCCTCTCATGCGCCCTATTCTCGCACGAATGTTCTCGTCTGTGCCAGATATTTCTTTGCGTCGTGTTTTGCGCGCTTCGCTCAGCGTCTGCGCAGAGCTCTTGTTTTCCTTGCCTGCTAGGACTTTGGTTTTTCTCCCTACTAGGTTTCTAATCTACACTGATGCTAGTTGGCAGCGTGGTAAAGGGTGGACTGCTGGTTGTTTGATAGACCTCATGCAAGTTTCCTCAGAGAGACGGTCGTTAGGTTTGATAGAATATTTTAAGTTTCCAGTCGCGAAGGACGATGTGTTTGAAGACACTTGTTTGTACCCTATCAACTTTCTAGAAGGTGTTGCTGTGGTTGTTGCTTTTTCTTTGTGGAAAGATAGGATCAGTGGGGCGAAAGTAGAGCTTTTTCTAGACAATTCTAGTGCGGAAGGTTTGTTAGTTCGGATGAATAGTGGTAAGAGTTACTTAGCAGCGCTAGCCTTTGAATTTTGGAGCTTATGCTCTATTTCTCAGATTTGCCCGCATATCTCGCGAGTGCCTTCCTTGCTCAACATTGCCGACCTACCCACAAAGATAGGAATTTTGTGCAATTTGTTTAAGTCGTCGCTCAACACGTTTGAAGTCCAGACTTCAGAAGGTTTTCGGTTGTATATTTTTGATTTGCTGAAGTTACGCATCAAGCACGCTGAAATTTTGCTCGATAGAAGTTTAGAAGAAGGTAGTGTTGTAGAAGAAAATGGAGGGAAACCAGGCGCAGTTGAACAATGCGCTGAACCTGATTGCTCAGGAGCAGTTGCAAGATCGTCCTGATGTGACGAAGGTGCGTTTTATTCGGCAGATCTGTAGGGACATGGATGACGTTGTGGCTTGTTCGACAGAAGGAGAGGCTTCGGAGCGTGAAAGGCTGAATATGGCAACGTAAAAGTTACCTTAGTTTCCTTTAAGATGCCGACTGTGCTCAGCAATCAAGCAGTTTAGGGCGCGTTGAAGTTTGATTTCAGTGGCGTTAGTAAAGTTTATGTCTTTGGGTGCCACCTAAATTTGTTGAAGCAGTTGCGTTTCTCCTTTGTGTTATGGTTTTGATATTGAGTATGATGATTGGTGGACATGGTTAGTTCCTTTCTCTCTTTGCAGGGCGTTGCATGAGCGCGAATTCAAGCAGAGGACAGATATTGAGAAATTGCAGAAAGTAGTCTGCCAAGACGCAGTTATGATGGCGTTGATCTCGGGTTACATCCCGCCTGTTGAAGCGGATGCGCTGGCCGACCCGCCTGTCGTCGCTGCCCCGGCAGCCATTCCTGATTTGACTTTGAACGCTGCGCATAGAATTGCTACGAACGTTATTCGGGTATTAGTTTTTGGTTCTTGGATTAGCAGTAGTTAGCGAAGTTTTGTTGTAGTGTTGGTAATGAGCTCAGTGTTTAGATTGTCCATTGAAGATTTAATTAGGTCGATAGTCGTCAAGTTGGTTTAGCAGTGAAGGCGTTGTGACTTCGTCTCTTTGATCTCGTTTCCCCCATCAGACCTTCTCGATCAAAGCCGTTAAGAATTGTGACGAGAGTATTTTAATCGATGCGTTGAACGATGTATATCGTACGAAGATGATTCGTATTGGCGGCATGGCTGGTGGGAATTATGCCAACCGTATCAGCGATTTTTTCTTGCTGGGTTCGTTCCAGGAGCAGCTGGTGCTCAAGATTGAGAGGTAGTCTCTGTTTGATATAATAGTTTCCTTTTTTTTTTTTTTTGCTTGGTTAATGTACTCCATCGAGGCAATTCTGTGTAAAAGTGAATTCATTGGTCAGTCTTGATTAGTCAGCAAGTCGTTTCTGCAATACATACGTAAGCTTCTCTCTCGTATGTGTTATTTCGGAAATTCGCAGGTTGGAAACCGTGCGGAAGAGTGAGGAGTTGGATCGGAAGATGGCTTTAGTTGATTCGCGTTTGAAGAGTTGGTCACCGGAGAAGCCAAGCCCTTATGGAGGTGGTGGCCAAGGTGGAAAAGGGAAAGGAAAAGGGAAAGGAAAAGGGAAAGGAAGTAGGAAGTGTTTCACTTGGATTCGTCAAGGTCAGAATCGTGGAGTTACTTGTGGTTTTTCTTCTTGTACTTTTGATCATTCGCTACCGCTTTCGAGAAGCGAAGCTCAAGATATTAAGAGTTTTGCTCGCTCTTTGAATGATTGGAGTTTGGACTTAGATTATTGTGGCGAGGTGCTTCGTTCGAGCGTTCAGTCGTCGAGCTCGAGTTCGTCGGGATCTAATACGACGACCAAGTCCGAAAATGTAAACAGTACTGAGGCTGCGGCCGCTTCAGCTTCGTAATCTTGTCCTTAGACTTGTTAGCTGTGCGTTTGCAGTCAGAGCAGTCGAGACTTGGCCTAACCAGAGCTCGACTGAGGTAGCAAATGTTTCAACTTCCCGGTCAGCCATTCGCTGACGTCGTTGCTTTTTTTTGATGAAACTAATTAGGTGAAGAATTGATCGAGTTCATTTCATAGGCATGATTAACGTTTCTTAGATTATATGTTTCTGTGAGTTAAGTTGTTTTGTGAGAAAGTCTAATTATAGTTGTCACTGAGTTAGTTTTAGTGGTTTGTAGGTAGTATCGTCTTGTATTGGTTAGGAATTTTAGTTACACACAAGAGTTTCCATGTAGAATGGTAGTAGATTTTGATTAATTCACTTAAAGGAGAGAAGATGTTCGAAGCATTTTTGAAAAGTCTGCGTGAAGCCGACACTAAGAATGGTGGGAATTATGTTACGGCAAGAGAGCAGAAGGCCACTAGCGTTAGGTCGTGGACTGTTGGAGAAGATGGGAAGTTAAAGGCGTTTACAAGTAGTTCTGCGGAAGGTGTGAAAGAAGTGAGTGGTGGCAGTAACCTGTTAGCTATTCACGCAGGCCATTTTGTGACGTCTTCTTCTTCTTCCAGTTCGGTCTCGTCATCGTCTAGAAAGAGGCCGCTGCGGCCTCTTGGGGCAGTTGAAAAAGATGGAGAAGTGAGTCAGTTAGCATCTTCAGATCCGGCAATTTTCCTCAACGCTGGGACGAAGGTGGAAGTGATGTTGGGTAGGTTTAAAAAATACACTGAAGCACAGAAGGAGATGGTCTTAGATTCTGAGCAGACCCCTGCACAAAAGATACAAGTTTTAGCAAGTCAGGGGCCATTAGCAGCAAAGCGAACAGTTAGGAGTAATGCCGATTTTATCAAAGGTGAAAGCATTTCCCAATCTACCTGGAACACATATTTCTCGCATTTTTATGGGTATTGTAGTTTTGTGCTTTCGTTGGCAGAAAAGCCATTTCCTATGTCCACAGCGAAAGTTGAGGGTTGTCTTGCTATCCAGAAGTGCGCCGGTTCGATGAATGTTGCTAAGTGTGCTCTTAAGAAAGTTTGCCACTGTTTTCAGTTGAAGTTCCCGGAGGTTGACGCTGCTTCGATCTCCCGTGGGATCAAGAAGTGGCAGCCTCCTACTAGATCAATGGATCCTATTTCCCCCGCGTGTTTAAATCTTCTGTTGCAGGATCCTAATACTATCGCAAGTTTTAAATTTTTGATTTCAGTCTGTTGGATTTTTTTACTGAGGTGTGGAGACGAAGGAATTTTTCTGAAGCGTTCCTTTTCTGACGAAGACCGTGATCTGAGTAAGAAAGAAACTGAAGCATCACTCTGCTATTTGGTGTGATGAGGAGGCTTGCTCGGTTACTATTAGGCTTAGATCTAGGAAAAATCGACTTGAAGGGGATTGCATCACCCGGCAGTGCACGTGCGCTGATGTTGAGTCTTCCGGCGAAGAAGGCGAGATGCAAGCCTTTTCTTGGGCGAGGGATTTTTGTCCTTTTCATTGTTTTTTTAAGGCCCACGTTTTGAAGTATGACCCGGGCCAGCGAGTCTTTCCGCGACTCGACTACCCTCTTGTTCTGTCTACTTTGAAGCGTTCGTTGGCTGACAATCATCAAGTAGGTTGTTGGGGAACACATTCATGTCGTCGCGGTGGTTGTGCTGCAATTGCAGCAGCTGGAGGTAGTTTAAGTCAGATTTTGGTGGCTGGATCTTGGAGTAATAAGAATTTTGCTTGGCGTAGGTATGTTAACGAGCGCAATCTTCAGTGCGCAGGTATGATCAAGGCGGCAAAGGCCGAACTTCAGTCAGATAATCATATTGACGATTTTGTTTCTGCCGGTGAAAGTGAGAATGAGGACGCAGATGTGTAGGGTTGTGTACGATTGAAATTCAGATGGCCTTTGTTAGTAGATCGATTCATAAGTTGCTGAACTGAAGTCGAATTTGTATCAGGCAGGTGGTTTCTTGACACAGCGAGTTTTGGCCATGGGCGTGCGATCAATGGTGTTCTGTTTTTTCGCTGTTGTCGAGTGTAATGAGTCGATGAGGCAAAGGAAGCATAGCCGTCTAACGTGCAGGCTTCCATCGTGATCGGTGCGTGCACTTGGTGTTTTCTGGGTTCTAGAGCCTAAAGATGTCTTAGTGCGCGTGCGTCTCACTGCTAGGGAACAGAGTCTCATCGAGTCCCCACCTGTTAGATTTACTTTCCCCGTTCGTTTACCTTCTAAGTTGTGTATGACGGCCCCGTTTATAAATAGAGCTACTGTTTTCACTATTTGTTCAATCATAGAAGTGCGCTGGAGCTACAATCTGGACTATTGTTGAATAAGAGCAACAAACTCAAACTTTTCGGAAACGATGACAATTTGTTGTATGAGAAGTAGTGTCCTCAGATTGATATAATTAGTCGACGTGGCATTAATATCTTCAGAGAATGTATATTGATGTTTGAAGTGGGCCTTTTTTCACTAATTTGCTGCCACGATATTACTTTCCGACGTAAGTACAAGCTACCAGGGAGCACTGTAGACTTTTTCGCTTTGCGATCCAGTACTAGTTAGATAGTTTGTTACATGAACATGATTGGGCTCGTTTATCATCCTACTGGCAAGGGTAATCCTTGTCCTTAATGAGTTGCAAGAGCCTTGTCCTAGTCCAAGCCCTTAATGAGTTGCAGAAGTTTTGTCCTTGATGATGTGAATCTATTCGGCAACCGGCCTAAGACTTCCCGGGCGACTTCTTGTCCTTAATGAGTTGCAAAAGTTTTGTCCTTAATAATTATGAGTTGCAAAAGTTTTGTGCTTAATGAGTTACAAAAATGTAGTCCTTTCACACAATATTAGAAGTAGTTAGTTTCCTCATTTTTGAGTCTGAGCTAAACCGAGAAACTACCTTCCATGCTGACGTCGTGGATAGGAGATCGAGTTGTGATCTCCACGAGATCTCCTCGACTCACACTCATCTGATCACTTCAGAAACATGTGGACACTTTAGACAAGATAAAGCCAGGGACGCCATGGAATGGAAACTACAAGGATTATAGAAAAAGGCTTTCAAGCTTGTATGTGAAAAGAAAGCATGTATTTTTCGACTACAGACACAAGCAGAGAAACCCAGCTTTTGATCAGATTGGCACCTCCCTGATAAAGCCGCAGTGCTACGTACAAATAGGAATAGCAACGTCGAACACAAAGACTTTGCTAGGATCGGCTGGGATGCCGATGCCTCAAGCTCAATGGTGTCGTCCAGATGGCGATGAGGATGTTGACACTGATGCTCGGGTCTCCTTCAACAGATGACACTGATCACCTTCCCGTGTCATCGACTGTTCGTCTATCTAGGACGGCTAAGACTAAAATTAAGGGTAGGTGAAAGGTGCTTTTGTTACCGCTTGTTATGGCTCTCCTAAGGGGGACAGCCATAACAAGCGGGATAAACGAACACCAAAAAGCTACCTCTAATAAAAGAGTCTGATACAACCGGAAGGGCATCTGTAGTTGTCAACATAAAGGTGCCGTACTAGTCTGAGACGCAGTTGCAATATACTAGTGAATACAGTGATCAACTAATGTAAAGTCTTCCGAACTACAACAAGTTGTAGAAGGAAAGCTGAGAGAGTTCTAACTGAAATAAGAGAAAGACGCTGAAATACTAGTGGAGACCTCCAGTGAATGAAGCTAATGAAAAATGTCAAAATTCATAAAATCAAGAAGCGCATCAACATCATGGAATTTTCATGGCGTTCCTGGTCCCTCACCCTCTTCTTGGCCCCGCGTACGTGAGGGCGCGGTGTAGCTGAGGCGTCGCAATTCGCTTTACATTGGACTCGCGTTTCAAGCAAGTTGCTGGCTCAGCCGTCGCAGCACGGATTGTGAGATCACAATGACAACAAGAACGACTCACTGGTGAAGGAGCCTTAGAAGACGAAAGCGTGGCAACATGAAGGCACACTCTTAACATCAACAGAACGCAATAGTAGAGATAGAGTCTGAACTTGCAGCCGCACTGCTACTGCAAAACGCACTACACTACAACTTGTTCTCGCGCGAAGAAGCATGATATTGATACTGCCAGACGCGACTAGAAGGCCTTACATCAACTACGACGTAGTACAAGCGGAGCCGGAACAAGACGAGAAAGATGAACAAGCATTGAAAATCTACTAACACTTCTAAGCTTGAGGAGCCTAGTATGATCAAGTAAGTACTAATGCTTCATCTAAGTTTGAAAAAAACCTAAGCGTAAGTAGAGTACCAATTGCAAAAGAACAATCTTCTTCATTACCACAAAAAGATGGTGTTCATCAAGAACAAGAAATCGCGAAGAAAATCCTCCAAGGAGGCTTCACCTGAAGAGAAGGATGACAAACCTCCCGAGATCGACAAGCCCGATCCAGAATTATATCTGGCCAGGCTAGCAGCGAAATTCGGATTCGGGTCTGCGGACTTTTATGACGTTTTTTCCCTCCCTACAACCATCGAGGCTCCTGCAGCTCCTTTGCCCCTTATATTAAGGCTTACCGTACTAAAAATTCATATTGAGGAGCATCTCTGTTCCCTTTTGATGTGAGGAGAAAACGCGCCAAAGATGCTTTTCAAGATGAATTGTTGTGAGCTCTAATTTTTTTCAAAGGGGAGCCTCGATGGTCAGTCTGAATGGAAAAAACCACAAATCCATAACTTTGCGCAGGCATCTGGTGGCGCGTCTCCCAAGTTCAGCTTCAGAACACTAGCACTGGAACGTGGTCGCGATTTGTCTCCGGAAAAGAGGACAGAAGCAGGTCTCGATCAACAACATCCTGCTCAACAACATCCTGGAGCTCCTCCACATCAGCGACAGAGGCTGTTGTTTTATGACGAAGGAGAAAGCAAAAATGACGATTTTTCCTCTGATGATCAGGTGTATTTTTCAAATATGCGTAGTGGAGGACGAGGAGGAGGAACAGTTGGTGGGGAGGCTTCTAGAAGGAGCCCTTCAGCGAACCAGAGAGGCTCATCCGCTAATAAACACAACAAGGAGCAACAGAACGAAAGTAAGAAACAAGTACTGTTTCAACAAGCACGAGGACCTTCTAGTTCCACCAATAATACAGTACAGCTTTGAGTACCGCAGCAGGAGGACGACACGGAGATCAAAATCTCATAGATGTTTCAGATTTCCCCAAAGATTTGCGACAGCTTCTGCGTGGACTCAGATGCGCATCTAGTGCTGCTCCTTCTACTGCTGCTGCACAAGACATGGAAAAAATGGAACTACCTCAGCAGCACCGCGAAGGACCTCCAAAATTCTTACCGCGCGCAGAGGAGGAAGCAATGGAAAGCTCCAGTGTAGAGGAAGGAGGAGTAATGCCGAATTTATTTTCAATTGAGGCAAACTGTTTGGTATGCGATTTCGTGCTTACAACTTCAGCTTCTTCTTTTTACATTCGCATGACACCTTTGCTCTTCAATAGTACTTACTAGTCTTTAGCAGTGCACTCTCCTCACTAAGCATTCGTACCTTCTTCTTCGTACATTATTGCGCTGGGAAAAAGAAAATTCTGCTCTACTCATCTAAATCTAGGATCCGTGCTGAAGGTGAAGCTGGTGGACCAACGAGAGCAAATACGTTGTTCGGGAGGCCTGGTCGCCCACTTGACACACTGGGATTCGAAAAGCATAAGTCTCATGCACAACCACTCACGTTGTGTACTAACGATGGGAAGACGGGAACGGCAATTAAGGCTTTTTGTTCTAATCCATCTCCAGAAGTCCAGAAGCATTCACCTAACGAGACGAGTTCAGAAGCATTCTGGACGAGACCGACGTTGCCAAGAGGAACAAGGTCTCAGGATGCTGGTCTTCTAAAATGCTGACTAAGGGTGAGCTCTAATGCAAAGATCATCGGGAAGAGAGTTCCGAAGGGCACGCTGAAACACATTGCAAGGGTGGGCACGGTAATTCTAGACTTATAGGAAAATAAAGTTTTTTTACTGGTCGTGATGTCATTTTTAGTCACAAAATGACTATGACAATGACTATGCCTCACATGAGTGGTCTGAGTAACTACTTAATATCGCAGATGAAGTAGTTAGCAGCTGACTTAGTCGTTTTTAGGCGTTGACCTGTGCACTTATCACTGTCTTTTACATAATGACTCCCAGCCCCAACTGCAATAATCTAGACTTATAGGAAAATAAAGTTTTACTGGTGATATTATTTCTAGTCACAAAATGACTATGACAATAGCAACAATTATTCCTCGAAGACCAAAATACGAAATATTCAGGCTGGCGCCGCTCCAGACGGGCGCGATGACCCGAAACCGATCTTGAAATATCCACCCACCAGTAGTTTCAGTGTCAGAACACGAACACCCGGTGAAGACGGAGTCACCACATCATTTGATTATCCTCCTTATCTTAAGGCTTGTTTCCTTCTACCTCTCGAGGACTCTGGATCAACGATGAGGAAAATCGTCTCTCTTGCGTCTTCTAGTAAAATAGCTCCCATTCAACTTCAAGTATGCTTCTAGTATAATATCTCTCTTGCTTCTAGTAAAATAGCTCTCTTGCTTTTAGTAAAATATCTCTCTTGCTTCTAGTAAAATATCTCTCTTGCTTCTAGTAAAATATCTCTCTTTCTTCTAGTAAAATAGCTCCCATAACAAGTGTGCTTCTAGTAAACTATCTCTCTTGATGGTTCTAGTACAATAGCTCTCTTGATGGTTCTAGTAGAATAGTAACCTCTAACTTTCGTTGGATAAAAGATGAGAAGAATCCACGTGAATGGATTGCAGTCATGGAGGCGGAGGATATGCACCATTCCTTAGTGCAGGAATTGCTGAATGCAGACACTCTTCCAGACAAAATTGTAAGTCTGAAAAACGAGTGATAATCATCATATTGTCTCAGGACGTAGAGGTGCGGGGGCTTGGCCGCGAAGCGGTGGACCCTCAACCTTAACCTTAACCTTGATAATCATCATATCGTCTCAGGACGTTTGTCTCGGTTGTTTGATAATCATCCTTACTCGTGATAATCATCATATCGTCTCAGGACGTAGAGGCGCGGGAGCCGCAGCTGCGGGGAGGTTGGCGCCCTGTAGAGGCAGACTGATTGATTGATTGATTGATTGATTGATCGTCGTGGTTAAGTACTTATTTCTCTCAGTCGTTTGTTTCGGTCGCGAATTCTGTTGAGACGAAAATGATACTAAAAAGGAAAAACCTCCCTCGCAGTTGTGCCCTTAGGCTTCCCTTCATGAATATTTCTTGGTGTCTGTAGAGGATTTTTGTGCGCTCTAATAATCGTCCTGCCTGCTGGCGCAAGCTTGGGAGGGACGAGTGGAAGGGGAGCTGCGGGAGAAGGCTCGTCCTCGTTTCATTTCTATAATGGAGGAGATGGAGGAAAGGGAACGAGTTCATCTTCCTCGAGTAGCAGCAGTAGTCGTGCTGGTTGGCCTGTATCTCTTAGAAATGGTGGAGGGCATGGACTAGTAGGGGAACAAGATCAAGGAAACTACAATGGTCCGCCTGGCCAACATCTTCAGTATCAAACCACTACAACTACAAATGATACTTCTTCTCAACAGGAGTTGTGGCAGCACCAAGGTGGATTCGTTTTCTCACGTGATGGGGGTGAACGGAGGGCAACGTCAGCACGTGGCGAAGATAATCAGTCGTCCTCTTCTAGTACGGGAACGATCAGCAAATTGCGAGTCCCGCGACCTCAGAAAGAAGATCTTGGGTACGGAGGAGGAGATGATGTTGGCTTACGAGCAGAAGAGGACCAAGAATCTTCGAGATATGATCAACTGGACGGTTCTGGTTTTGGATCATCTACTCAGTGTAGTTTAGGTCGTTTATTTACAACTTGTTCAGTTGTTGTACTTACTGGAAGCTTGCTTGGACATATTCTTGGTAGAAGTAAGTTTTGGTTTTGGATCAGTTGTACTTAGAAGCTTGCTTGGACATATTGGTAGAAGCTTGCTCGGAAGCTTGTTTGCCACGTCTTTAGCTTCACGGCCTTCAGATTTTCATCGACAACTATCGCATGCTGTCCTCAACACTATCCCTATGCATCTATTGCTCTTCTAAGTAAGCTACAGTCAAAGCGTCGACGACAGCGGTCAGCATGGAAGCGGTGTAGATGCTCCTACACGAGATGGACCACTCAAGCTACCTCTCTCAAGACTTCATGATCGTGATTCAAGCAATAGCGCTTCTAAGCGAGAAAAGAAGTCGAAGAAGCACCGAGGTGGACGTGGACATAGGGGAACCTCCTCTTCACCTCCGAATACGAGTGATCCATTAGCTTGGCAGGAGAAATATGCAGCGTTTATGCGAAAATCGAAGATAGAGTATGAAACGCAGATGAAGCGCTTTCATCAAGATGGAGAGGAATCTTCAGGCACCTCCACACCTTCACAGAGTAGATTAAGGGTAGGTTCTAGGTGTTCGTGTTACCGTTTGCCTTCACTCTCCCAAGGAGGAAGAGTATAAATAAATATAACAAGAAGGGGGGCACTAAGCGAACACCAAAGCCCTACCCCTAAGTAGAGACGTGACGAAAAATCGAAGAGACGCCTCAGGCGGAGGCAAAGGGTCATCCTCGAAAAAGAAGCGCCGTGACCATGAATACAGACGAAGAAAGACGGGGAAGAGACATGGAGGACGTCAGTTAAGACGAGAGCTTAGACAGGAGCGTGGTGTAGAGCTAGACCAGCAAGTAGATTAGTTTCAGACTGGCGTACACAACCTATCCACAATCAATCCTTCTTGGCTTCGTCGACTTTGTCGAAGTCCACATAAGAAGATGTACTCATTCTAAAATGTGTTTTCAATTGTCGTTTTTGATGTTTTTTTTCACACACATATATCAAGCTACCTGCTCGAAGTAAGTCATCGTCTTCTCCATCTAACACCCGACAACGGACCTAAACTACGTGGCGGCGGTCGGGCCTCTGGGAGAATGGATTTCGACCAGGCACAAGACGGCAACAGCTTTGGCTACGGTGGCGACGGTGCATCCTTTGGGGAGGGTTCAAATGGTATGAAATGTTGGGGTGTTCTTGAGTACTCGTAATACTTATCGTGAGTAATCGTAATACACCTTACCTTATTGTAGTCTAGAACATCAACGAAGTAATTCTTACTAGCTGTAAGCAGGATAGGCAAAGCCAAAGGCATAGGCACACTTGCACTTCTCTAATAGCGTTTGATTTGTTGACTTGTTTTGAAATACAGGCACTACTACTGTCTTGGTGGCTCAACTTCTAACACCCCGGCCTTCACGGAGGAGAGCTATTCTTCTTCGACATCATCGAGCGAGGGCTTCGTAAGCGACGACTCCAGTGGCAGAGGGAGTGACGCGTCTGCAAGAATACGACACCTGCGAAAGAAAGTGCCCAGTAGAGGACAGATATGTACTTGATATTGATCATATTGAAGTAGCTACTACATCACTCGCACTACTGCTTCTACTTCTACAGTGGTAATCAACTTGTTTTGCCTATGATTATCTTTGATTGAACTACAGGTATATTTTTAGAGCATGAACAACAATGACATAAAAGTTGACTTGAACATCACATCAGATAATCCCGAGACCGGCGAGCGCTTGACGACGCCTCGAGAAGGCCGCAGAGCAGGCGACGACCCCTTCTACTTGGGTCAATTTCCGCCACGACCATTGAAAGTGACCACTTCTGGTGTGGCGGATCGGTTTCGGACTCTCGGTAATAGTGCAACCAGAGGAGCCACTGGATCTTCATTTTTTGTAGTTTTAAGGCGTGTGAGATTGATTGCGCAGAGTTATTTTGCTTGCGGTGCCCTTAAGGCAGTCTGCACTGAACTTTGTGCGAGATTATAATTGTATTCAATACAATTGTATTGTCAAGTTTTTTGGGTCGTGCTGTTTATTGATAACTTTAACTTCTTTTACGGGACTCATATATAATCTAAAAACAAAACACTACTGGTTTTTCCTTTAACTTCGTCCATGTATTGAACACGAGACCATTGTGATCAGGAGACTTTTTCTAAGATCCGGCGTCGAGACTGGAGTTCAAAAGCACGTCGAACGGGATCAGCTATTGCAGCAGGCGTTACAAGAAGCGAAACTTGCGCTACGAGCAGTTAACTCCAGACTTCCTGCATTACGGCTTTCGATCTTTTGATTTGATGAACTCAACAAGATGAAAAATGTTTTTCCAAGAACTCTAAGGACAGTTCCGTCATTCGGTAGTCTATTTTTATTTGACAGGTATATAGGGACCTCTAGCACTAATTAAGTACGTTCATGTTCAACATTTACTTTTTGTTTCATCATGGCTTTCGATCTTTTGATTTGATGAAGCGTGACTACCGAATGACGGAACTGTCCTTTGATTTGATGAACTCTAAGGACAGTTCCGTCATTCGGTAGTCGCTCGCTCGCACGCAGTTACAAGACGGACAAGCAGAGGCAGCTCCTTCTCACAGCCATGGAGATCTGGAAGCGACAAAACATCATCATACACAAATTCGACGTACTATTGAGGCCTCATTTAGTCGGTGACATCTTTTAATACTCCACCTGTGCGCTGCTTTCAAGTACACAGATGAGGGAGGACAAAGATGAGGGAAAAGATGGATTGTAGAAGTGAGTTCTATGACTACTCCTTCTGTCAATAATACATCGACTTCGACATATAATGTTAGATCTAGAACAAGTAGAGGTAGAAGATGAAATGATCCAACAAGTTCCAGACTGTGAGTGTGACTGCTGGAGTGATGAAGTACTTACCGTACAGCTTCATTCATTCTTGCTTTGACAGGGGAAACTTGTCGAAACATGTTTTATAACCCAACCCACTTCATCTACAGGAATTGTTCCAAGTAATTCGCGAAGTGGTCGAGGAGGAAGGAAATTTGCATGTCTTGCATTGCGAAGAGAAGGATCTCTTCCTATGAATTGGGGAGTCTTTTGTATAAACATTGGGGGGTTGCTCTAGGTCTAGCACAGGCAGTTCGTTGATGAATCCTTCTAGCGTAAGCAGCCACCCGGGGGTTGATTTTTAAAAAATGTACGTAAAAGTGCTGCTTCTGATGAAGTAGCCACTCTTCACTACTCGTACTACTAGAAGGAGATAATAAATTTTAAATTCGTGCTCCCGCGCCCGTTCTTCAACTACCTATTTTGACCTTTTTCTAATCTCCAATGCCGTTTCCCGTTTTTTGACTCATGGTGGCGGACCAGGCGGACAGAAAGTGAGCGTCCCACCAGCCCCTAGCGACCTGCAGATGGTCCGAACTGTGAGGCATGAGCTGGAGAAACGTATCCTCTTTCTGAGACGACATGGTGCGGAATTGAAGAAAGAGCTGATTATGAGGCAAATCCTCGTTCTAGTTCTACTTGAAGATGTAGTCTATCCTCGTAATTATGAAGAGGGCTTCGTTCTGATTACCCTGATCATGCTGGTCTATCTCATCTTTTACTACGCTACATCAAGAATGCAATGTTGACTAATCAATCTTTATCATCTCCAGGTCCTCAACCAGGTGATGACCTCCAACATCTTCTAATCTTTTAATGCTCGAACGGGAGCATTGTTTTCACGGACCCAGATTACTGCACTCTATTTTCCATGAGGATAATCGTTTGGGCCTTATGTCCACGGTGGAAAGGGAGGTGATGGAGGAAGAATTCGGAACTCTGAGGAAAAAACATAAAATTATGGCAAGATTATAAACATTGTAGATTGCAAGAGATTGAGATTCCATTTACATCGTCAGGACAAGGATTTAGTAGTTTAGCGCACTTGTATACCTGCGTAAGTACTTGAAAAACGAGCTAAGAAGGAATAGCAAGGATCCACCTTCTCCTATGCTTAAGGCTGCCAAAGCCAAAGTCTAGAACTAGATAGGTCGGAGTCAAAAATGCAGCACGAGAAGTTCCACCTGTGTGTAGGTCTAATAAAACCAGTGACATCCTAGCATCGATAATGGAGATGATTCGGGACAATCGCGTGGAGTACTACGGAACGAAGGCGAAGCTTGAGAGAGAAGCCGATCTACATCTGGAAATGGAGGAAAATCTGCAACAGAGGTATTAGTAGGTTAGTAAATTTTCCTCCCTCTGCAGGTGTAAATTAAATCTGAACTTAGTAGGTTAGTTGTAGTTGTTAGAGACAAGGACATCAATATTCTTCTTTTAGGTTGGAATCTAGAGTAAAAGTTAGAGTTAGAGCTAGAGTAGTTTAGACTTAGAGTTTAGAGTAGATATCGAGTAAGCTAGAGTTAGATTAGATATCGAGCAGGTGGTGGGAGAGAACTTTTTACAACAGAGCAGATCATGATCATGCTAGGCACATTCATTCATTCATTCACTCACTCGACGTGTAATAAGGACATGACCCGCTGACTGGCACTTCTGTCTATTGTTTCCTTGTTCCACCCCAGGTTCACATCCGAAGAAGTGCGAAAGCGACAGCATGAGTTGTTGAAGCGCGCGTTTCTGAAGGAAAGCGGAGGCGGCGAGAGTCCCAGTGAGATTGTCAGGAGGACACAGCCGCCACCGCCAGAGGCTCTGGAGCCACGACTGCAGGAAGTCGTGCGAGTTTTGGAGGGCATTCGGCGCCTGCCAGGATACCATCTCATTTTCAATTATGGATTATATTCGAAAACTTCTTAAAATAAGCGAGTTACTGACTGAAATAGAAGAGTCGTGACTACATTCCGCTTATTTTAAGTAATACTACATTCCCCTTATTTATTCTTGACTTGATCATCTAGCACAGAATGGAGTAGCGACTGCCGCGTCTGCAGTAAACAATTCAATATTTACTCGGCGTTCTCTTTCTCTAACTTCCAGCTCTTCCTGATTCACGTGCAGACATCGAGTACGAACTCACGCAGATGGAGATGCTGCAAGCCAAACTCGAAAAATACTTTGATCAAGATAACGTGGCCTACGACTCAAGCGGTGTCGGTGCAAGGATTCAGTTTCTTTTATGATGACTGGGAGTGGAGTTCTGATGAAGGCTAACAAGACCTCTTTACTACTAGCCAAAAGTAGAGCACAGAGGTACCATGGCATGACAAGTTCTTACCGCAGTCAGTGTTGCTTTGGTTGTACTTGTAGTTAGTTCTTACCGCAGTCGGTGTTGCTTTGGTTGTACTTGTAGTTTGTCAAGAAGAACGTCTCTATTAAGTGATGATGGATGTGAAAAGCGCTAGCGCTAGCGCAAACGCTCCCATATCGTTCTTGTTGATCTAGAATATAATGAATACCTTGTTTTTTCGAAGCCTACACCTTGTCTCCACCTCTTGTCCTCTCCCCACCCATCATCCTCGTCTCTAACCTCCGTCAACGCTATTAAGACAAAGATGGGGTCACTGCGAATGTGGCTACAGAGGGACGAACAGGTCACCTTGCAGAAAGAAGCCTCCGCGGAAAGAGCTGGGGCGACGGGTAACTTCCAAAAAACCCAGGGCATGGTGACAGACACGTTTGCGACCATAAATCAAAAGGCTTTGTAGACGACAATAAAAGAGGAATTTTCTCAAGCTTTCCAAGAATCAATAACTACGTACCTTTTATGAGAAACTCGGACACGTAATCCACTGCTTTCATTTTTCGACAAATTTTCGAGTACGCATGGACTAAGCGAAAATAAACTCAATTTAGAATGTTTACAGTCATTTTACTTCTTCTTAGCCACGGGCTTTGTGAAAACATCATTTGCGAATTCATTGATACTTTGATCTAGATCCTCATGGTTTACGGCAACATGGAAATTAAAATCGAAATCAGAATCAGAAATGCCCATATTAGTTTTCAATAGATTACACCATTACCAGTCAACCATTTGGATAGGCGCATTCTTGTACAGGAGAGGTAATTCATTCAGCGACGCGCAGAGCGAAATGCTAATGCTATGTAGGAGAAGTTTCTTTGTTGATGTAGAACAAGTTTCTGTGATGTGATTGTCGTGAGTGGCGCGGCTGCAACCGTAAGTAAAGTTACCGTCTTCCACGGAAAATACATTCTCATTCGTAGTACCAGAAGACAAGAAGAAGTAGACATGTTTGAATGAACAGTGATTCCAATGAACAACTTTATTAAGGCTCACGAGGAGAAACACGAGACGAGTAGTTACTCTTTCAACATCTTTTCCTTCTAGAACCTGTAGTTGTACCAAGTAGACATAAAATGAAACAAACTTCGACATCAATACTTCAGATGAGAAAAACGAGAGCCTCCGAGATCACAAGAATGATAAAGTGTTAGAACAGGAAGTTTTCCTTATCCTTTTTCCCTTTTGATGGCGTGCAAGTCCAGGTGCATTGCGACTGCGTGTATAATAAACAGAGAATGTTGATGAAGCACAACAAGAATGAACGTTTTATTCATAGTGCGAACGGGCCCCGTTCAACGGGGTAAACGAGTGAGGAGGAACGCAAAAAAAATGGAAATGGTGTTCCTAAACGAGGGACGGGAAAACCCACTTGAAGTGGTTTCTGTGAATGAGAAAACAAGCAATGACAGTATCGAAATACTTTTGTTATTATTTGATGCAAGCGATATTGATATTAATATGCGCACAATCCATCCTCCTACCTCCCGCATGTCTGCCAACTTTTTTGGTAGGCCCACACCTAACCTAACCTGCGACTGATGGTATAGATACACACCAGTGTAACACTAACAACTGCCCCTACCAGCATAGCGACTCCTTGCTGCTCTCTCACACATCTGATTCCGCAGACTTCTTCATGGCTGTTTATGAGTTCTTCTTGTTTTATCGTGTTGTCCCTCCACCTCCTACGCTCCTTCCTCCTCCTGAAAGGGATCTAGTTCTGTAGTTCTCAACACGTGTGTAGATTCTTGACAGAATAAAAATATACGTTTTCCTCCTGTCCTACTTTTCGTCCTCGAGAATATGAATTTTGGAACTGAAGAATGTAATCGATCCAATCTGAAGCTGAACGTTGATGTGCATTCATCTTGAGTACAACCCAAACAGTAATTTAAAGTATGAAAGTGTAGTATCTTGATATTAATCAACACCACAATCTATGAAATCGAATTTGAATTTCACCACCAAAGAAAACACCAAAACCAGCGACAATTTCAAGCGAAGACGACTATTCTATTTTTATTTCTGTTGAGTAGTTTTTACGATGTTTCTGGTTCATTGGTTTTATTGTTCCACTTAGATGATCATCAGCATATTCCAGTTGATATAAAAATTCACTACTAGGTTTTACTTTTACAAGTTCATTTCCATGCTGATAACTTCTGTAGAAAAATAAATCTTCTTAGTCCAAGTCCAAGTCCTAGTCGTAGTTGTCGCGCAGTCAGACACATCACCGACCGAGCTCATCTGTTAGGAAAGAATGTACCTGTACTAATAGTAGCTGTAGCAGTAGCTGTACTAAAAAGAAGTAGGAAACCGACGTAGCTATAGGACAGAGAGGAAGAGGATTCTTGTTGTAAAAGGGTTCATTACAAGCAAATAGGCTCTGCTGAAGATGAAGATAGATTGATAGACTAAGGTCGTGAAGAAAATTTGAGGTCGCGAGGGATCGAAACGTCAAATCTGAGTGATGAGGATTTGTGTTGTGAGTCGTGGTAGACTAACACTTGCCTTCGTTTCCTTCACGCGATTGTTATAGACGGGTTTTCGATCGAAGAAGTTCGATGTTTAACATCTTCGTCGAGAGTTTACTAAATGTTGACGTAGTTGTATTTCTTGTAACTACTTATAGATACGAGGAATGTAGTGATGAAGATACAACTGGTAGAGTTTGTTAGAAGATTATCATCATCTTCATCATTCAGCATCAGCTACAAACTACATGTTGGTGCGTATCTACCATTAGCTTCTTCATCTATTCTTCAATTATAGCGATACCCATAATAGTTTATTGTTGTGCTACCTAGTGAAATCTGAAAAATCTGAAAGTAGAACTAGAAGCGACTAAAGATGTCCTCAGGTGCCGTTGCCTCCGCCGCTCCGGAGGCGGTGGCTGTAGATGAAAATGGCGTCTGCGTAGCACTACACACCGCGACGTGGGCTAGGGAGTCACACGGCCTGTTCGATTATGAGGTATTATCTCCGATAGGTTCGCGCGCGACACCTTGTCGTCGACGCAGTTTTCTTCTACAGTTCGAACTCCTCGTCCTCTATTTATTATGGTTTATCATAGTTGCAGACGAGTATTTTTATGAACTGAACATCTTCTTGTTCTTTTGCTTGTTTCTTGCTACATCAACATGCACATCTACTTCTCCTCCTCACACACACAACGAACTCAGGCTCGTCACCCGATAAAGAAGAGTTTTACGGTTGCGCAGCCCACGACTATCCTGAGAAAGGGCACTGAGGTCTCCCTGCAAAGCGGTGGCACTGGATTTAACGAGTCAGAACCTCTAGCGCGTTTGGTCAATCGAAATGGTCATTTTTGCGTTGACGCAGCACGAGTCGAGGGCAGGGCGAAGTCGGGGAAATTATGGCGTGTCGTGAAGGAACTCGAGAATGGTTACCAACTGCAGGAAGGAGATAGCGTTAAGTACTACAACTACTGAATATTATAAGTACTACTTCTAGTTCTACGGCCATACGACCATTTCCAAAGCCAAGAAGGAAAAAACCTCGTCTAACAACTGAAAACAGGTTGCTGCTTATGGATCGCTTCAATGTTTCAAGGTCCCACAAGTAGAAGCATACAACTAATTGTTCCAAAACTACAGGTTAGGACGTTTCAAGCTCCGAGTTAGGCAGATAGTTACGGGTGATCCGTTAGCAGAAATAAACTGTCCCGAATGCGCCAATGTTAACCCGCCTTCCCTGCCGCCTAGGCCATGTAACACCAGTGCAGAAAACATTGCGGCTTTAGACAACGTCCCTTGCAGGATCTGTCTCCTGGAGGGTTCGTCTGTGGAAGACCCTTTGATTAAGCCGTGCGAATGCAGGGGCACGATCGAGTACTTTAGAAGTCGTTATTGTTGTTACTCTTCTTCTTCATCTTGATGGGGAAGAGCCTCCAACCATCGTCCCCTCAACTCAATCCAAATAAACCAAATCTTCCCCTTAATTGCAGCTAAACCCCTCTTACAGTAAGAGTAAGACACCTCTCACTCTTGATCGATCATCACTCACCAGATACGTGCATTTAGCCTGCCTTCGCCACTGGGTCAGGGGTAAGTTAGATCTGGCAGAATCGCAATTGGGAACCTACTTTTACAAACCGATGGCCTGTGAGCTGTGCAAAACACAATATGCGACACATTTGATGGTAATATCTCACAAATCGATTTGATAAATAGAAATGCACTTGGTTCGATTTCGATAGTCAAAACGATTGATTTAGGAGAAGAAGTGTTGTACTTCGAATTTTTATGGTGATTCTTGTATAGTAGATGTGCTGAAAAATACCTTCGTTCCTATATGCTGGCTTCCACGACTACACCTACTTCAACACCAGGACGAAGCGAACAAGAGCAACTGCTTTCCTCTGATAGAGTTGCCGAAGACAACGCCTCCTTTTATCGTCTTAGAGCGCGACTCGAATAGACCAGAATTGAAGGGGGTCCACGTTATTTCCTTATCCGAGAAAAAGCTCCTCAAGCTTGGTCGAGGTCACGAGTCAGATGTGCGGTTTGCCGACGTCTCCATCTCCCGTTGGCACGCTTCGGTGCACTACGATCAGGAGAAGAATGCGTACTTAAGAAGTTCTTTCTCATCTCCTTCTGGTACAACCACATTTATATCTTCGTTCCATCGATGTGCGACCACGATCATCTCTCTGGAGTTTTACTTTTGGTTCCTTTGTTACTGTGTCGCGACCACTTCCATGAACGTCGACCCAGCACAACTACACATCAAAACAGTTTCGTCTTAACCGATCACGGCTCAAAGTTCGGAACCCTGGTTGCTATGCGCACTCCTGTACCCCTGGAGCAAAACCAGCCTCTATCCTTACAAGCTGGGCGAACAGTGTTACATTTCGCTTTGAATGATGGCGCGCAGGGAGCACAGAATGGTATTTGAAGATTGATAGGTTTGATATCGTATGTAGTAGGGGGAGGTGCCTAGTAGTTAGTACTTTCATGTAGGTAGTAGCAACATCTTGACACAGACTGTAATATCCATGATCCGTTCCCCACCCTCCTACCACCCAACTCCCACTCTGCTCAACATCTACTTCACAGCTCCCGCGCCACAGGCATCGTGGTCCTTTGGCGCTTTTTATCCCCAGGGAGGTCAAAAGAATGAGGAACAAGAGCCTCAATCAGGCGCCACGAACGTTGAAATGGGAGGCTCAGTTGCCAGTAGTGCACAACTTCCCCCACAGATGTACAACTTCCACCCAGGACAAGGAATGCCACCGGGAGCGGTATTTAATTTTTTACCTTACCCTCTCATGGGTATTCTACCATATCCCACGAATGGGTACACTACTACTTCTAGCACTCATCTTGCTGTTTTTTACAAGAACAATAGATACGAGTAAGATGTTCTAGAAGCTCTACTTCCCTCCCTAGTTCTCGAAGCTCTACTTTTATTATTCGACAACTACAGATCATAAAGATATACAACGAGATGGACTAGTAGGAAGAACGGAACAACATTCGACATGATCTACTTACTCATTGACAAAAACAACATTAGACAACACGCACAATCTACTTACGGACAACAGGGCTTTCCCCTTTCGGGTCCAGCAGCAGCCGGTTTCGGATTTCCTGGGATGAACTTCGCCCAGGGTCAACAACAGCAGGCACAGCATCAGGCAATGCTGCATGCAATGCTAATGCAACAACAGCAACTGGCAGCCGCACAACAAGCGGGACTAGCCGGACAGACTGGAGGAAATGCACCGATTATTAAGGCCTGTTACTCGCATTCAACTTCAAGATCAAGTTCCTCTCAGGAATCCTCTGAGTCGGGATCTTATAAGAGACACCATCTTGCTGGAAGGGAGGTTCTTTTGTCCTCTAAGGGAAAAGGAATGACTTGCTCGTGGTCACCAGGATGAATGTCGTGGTCACCAGGATGAATGTGTTGATCTAAGGTCTAATATTATACCCCACATCCCGCAGATGGCAGGAGGACCTCAAGGCGTGCCTAGTGGAGTACAGGGCGCTAGTGGACAACCAATTGGCATTAGCGGAGCCTTGCCTTCTCCACCACCAGGTCTCATGGGCATGCAAGCTGGAAGTAGTGGTCCTGGCGTACCTTTAAGGCTCAAAATGAAAATAAGTACTTAGCTCATTTGGAGGAAGGGTCCTTCTTCTATCTTGGGGATCTGAAGAAAGGAACAACTAGCTACTGAAGTAGAATGTTGAAAGGAATTGTTCTGCTCTACTCTAAAAATACCTCCAGGAGCCTCATTCGGCGGGCCTCCAGGTAGCATGGTGCCTCCGCACATCATGGCATCTATGGCAGGAACCACCATGGCAGGCATGGCACAACAGCAGCTCAGACCAGAACAACTCGCCTATGCTGCTCAGATGTCAGGAACCGGTAATGACCATGACGCTCTACTGGCCTTGCGTCTTAGTCTTAAGGCTCTCGACGTCCTTAATTCATCTTGAGAACGAAGCGTCTTGGTCTTCTTGTTGGAAGGAGTCTGCAGTTTGTGTGTACATGTACTAAGAAGGGAAAATATTGAGTATGACTGTAACTTCTATCAAGAAGAACATAGGTTGTAAGTTGTACTGCTGGTCAAGATGAACATAGGTTGAAAGGTCTAATACTCTCCTGAGCCACAACAACGTCGACTTCAACAACCCGTCCACTATGGGAGGACAGCAAGGTGCAAGTGGAGTTGCGCTACCTGGACAACAGGGCATTTCTAGTAGTAACAACAGCACTGGCGGAGCACCAGGAGCTCCTGGGACAGGAGTAGTTAAGGCTAGAAGAAGTACTAGAGACAATTGTTCATCTTTCAACACTTATTTGAAGACCGCATTATACCACCTGAAAAAAATAAAGGTGGATTCCCAGGAGTTGTGAAAGATGAATTATGCATATTATGTCTAATGTAGGACCACGTGGTACTGACATGGGTGGTGCTCCTGGTGGAGTAGCACAGTCTTCGTCAGGTGGACTTGTGGTCGGCGCACACGGATCATCATCACAACAGTCAGGCCCACAAGGAGGACCTCCAGGAGGACTGATGCAGCCACCCCCTTTGCTCGGTGGCTTACCTCCTCAAGGGGCACAAGTCTCGCCGCAGCAACTCGCGATGCTGCAACAGCTCGCAGCCACGAACAACTCGAATATGGCAGGAGGAGCACCCCCAAGTGGTGTGCAGCAAAATGGTACTACAACTTGTCGTTATTTTTGAATTCTCCACTTCTTTGAAGTAGAGATGGTGCTGCCTACAAAGAACTTCTATGTGTGGAGTTTTTCCTTTCGCCATTTTTGAACATTGTGATTATGAAACCCTTCGTCATCGTCACGTACTTACTTATTCGAGAACAACAACATCAACAACATCATCACTCATGAATCCACTCCAGACCCCGATGCTCATATGGAAGAACAGTAACGAAAATTTTTGTGGATTTTTGTCAAGACAACCGATTTGCCTCTCAGAAGAGGACTCTGTTTTCCGCGTTGCATCCCTCCTACCCGCATCGCTACCCTAGTGTTGAAATTATTTTTGAATTAGTCGTTAGTTTGAACTCATAATATCAGAAGACCAAGTACGACAGAAGTCTACTCACGTTATTTCAACAATCTACTATCATTCTTAGTCTAAAAATAGGGACCACCGAAACTGATAGATAATCCTCATTCTTTTTTTTCATGCTTAGTACCATCAAAATTCTCTGAATAAGTAGTCTACACAATTATTTGAGCAATCATTAGTCAACACCAACATGATCATCTGAAATATTATGGTTTTCTCTGTTCCAAAAGCATCAAGTAGAAAATTATACTAGACATTGTTATTGACAAAATCTCTGACAAAATCTATTGAAGATTCGTCTTCCTTGTTAGTTTGAGTGACTATGACTTATATCGTTCGCATTCGCATAAGAAGGAGGTTACAAACGAAAATATCAGACTGGGTCGTAATATTTGTTCAGGAGGCATATTCATAGAAATACAGGGGTGGTGAAGCTCTTGTTTCGACAACATAGTGAATATTGAAATGAAATGAAGAAGGTAGAGATTATTTAATTTGGTGAGTAGAAGTTGTAAGGCTTGACTTGATAGGCTATCACAGTAGTTCTAGGACGTGGCTCTCGTTTAGGTAGTTGTTAAAGATTGCTTATATCATCTGGATCTGCGTGCTGTGCGTTTTTTGGCAAAACTCGTGGTCCCCGCCGTCGTTCTCGTCGTCATTTTTTTTTGTGCCTAGCATGTTGATGTTGATCTCCGTGTGTAAAAGGACGGACGGGGATGCTGAGCCAAGAACGCACTTCTTAGCAGTGAAGAATTGGTTAGATGAAGTACTTGAGATCATTAGCAAGCGGTGGACAAAAGTGGATATACCATTCTCGACTCCTGCGAAATCCCTAATTGCTGCTACACTGAAAACGGCCTGTTTGAGTGCTCAGTGCAACAGCAATTACCGCATCAGTAAGATCAACTCTAACAAGCTATGAAAATGGTCAGTGCCTCAAGTTGAGTTCCAGTGCTCCATTGCTTTGCAGTGTTTGCATCATTAAATAAGTAGGTTCAATCTTCGGCATTGCTTGGACTGTCTTCAGCAATATCTTGACCCATTGCCAACAAGGGTTCAAGAATTGCGCGGCGTTTCCAGAAGGAACGTTACTGTGAATACCGTAGATAATCACCCTGCCACCCTGCGTCACGTACTACTCCAGCACCATGAAGCAGGGCTGCATCTTCAAGGAGAATAACCTTAGCTAGTCGTGAGCTGAGCAATAATTCAGACGGACTTCTTTCTTACTTGAATTGTTCGAAGAGGTACAAGGAGAAGGACGTGCCCCAAACACGGCACCAGTTGCCCCCTGATATTGGTGCTTTTAGTACAACGAACTCACTGAAAGCATTGATAATAGTTGTCCCTCCAAGGGCTCGCGCTCGTGGTAGAAGCTAGATCTGCATCTAGAGCCTGTTATTTGGTTTTAGTTCTTCTTCTTCTTTCTGGGGAAACTAAGTACTTAATTAGGATCGATCGCAACATCTTCAATGATGTATGTGCATCAGCTCAACTACTGCTAAAAAGAATTGTACCCAGGAGCATACTGCTTGTTCACTAAGAATCAGCGTGCCTTACTTCTAGAGTATAAGTAACGAACATGGACCTTCCACATTATTGAGAGGCTGTGAATCCTGTGGAAGATTTTTTTAATATATTTTTTTTTCAGCGGATTTGTTGATGATGATGATGTCGGTGGGAAGTACTACAGGTACGATTTGTTGTGGTAATCATACTAAAAATACAGCCTACTTAGCACAGCAGGTAGCATCAAGTCGTGAATATTCATGGAAATCTCCAAATCCAAATCCAAAATGTAGTTGTGAGTGGTTTCAGTTTTGTTTCCTGTTTTCGTCGTCTAATCGCTACTGCCTTCGACTTTTCATCGTCCGGCCGTGGTACCTATCGCTATCCACTTGTCATGATTAAAAATATCATCTACCTCACCTCTATTTAGTCTGCCAGAGACGTTGCTCACGTCGTCAAGCAGCCGGTCTTTTGTAACTGCATCGTCACAAGAAGTAGTTGTTGTTGACTACACCCTTATAATTTGTTCCACCTGTATAAAAAGTCCGATAAAATATAAAACCTCCAGGATGAGCAAAAGTAGTATGAAATGGGCTCTGTTATTCAAAAGGGTTCGAGGAAGAGTCTCTACTAGGCATTATTTGACGAGAAAACTTGGCTTCGACCCCTGATAGTTCCAAGGACTCTGCTTAGGCATTTCTTGACTCTATTTATTACTACGCGTAGCAGGCTCTGCTAGAGGCGGTGCAGCAAGTAGAATTAAGTATATTCCCTAGTAGAGTCGAAGAAGCATATGAAAGTGAAAGTAAAATGAAGTCAGACGAGATGAACCCTATTTCACTGCCATATCTACTTCTTGGGACTCAAAAACATCTACTTTCTTGTAAAGTTGTTGTCCGCGAGATGAATGATTTTTTGATGTTTTTTTCGAGGTTTTGATTTTACTCCATTGACCATGATTGACTTGTATCAAACAAGTATTAGTCTAGTGGTCACATCTTCTGAGTCTTCATCTTAGATATTTTTCTACTTCTAGCTGTACATATTGATTCTGATAGTACTAGAATGTTGATGTGACGAAAGTGCATGATCATGTGAACGATCATTTCTTTCAGCGGCTCCTTCTTCTAGTATTCCTTCTGAACTGTAAAAAATATTTTGAATTCATTGTTTTGGGGAATATTACAAAATATCAAATTCATACATTGGAATTGGATGTTGGATCCGGCACTAAAACTACAAAACAGACATCGTCACAGTCCAACATCTTTTTACTCTTAGACCGACAAAAAACATTCCACCACCAATGAAGTTTTAGATGGCCAGTTATTTGTTTAATATCGGGAAAAAACAAGCTCTTCCGGGTATAAGGTCACGAGAGGACCCAAGAAAAGAAATAATTGACAAATATAGAGGCTGACAATTAAATGTCGCTTTTGAAGGCTGGAGCCTGCAGTGGTTGTGTTCATCATCGTCCTTTTGGCCGTTCCCGTTCACGATCAGACACCAGTGGATTTCTTTTTCCTCGTCCAAAATGCCGATGCTAGTGGATGCCATAAGTGGAAGCCGAGAAAACGAAAAATCAAAAAAAAATATAGCGCGAGTTTGACAAAAAATCATGGCAAAAATGAGGACCAGTGAGCGCTAATTAGGAACGTGGTGAAGATTGATATGAACGTGGACCACACTTTTAAAAGGTCTTGTTTTTTTGGACATGATGAGCCAAAGTCTGTGAATGAGAGGCGTGGGCTTCTCGTTCTTAGTGATAATTTTTTACCAGGTCATCTCAAAAACACTTTTTCTATACTCAGACTGCAAGATCAGGACGAGACCAGGAGCCCACTATTTGCATAGTTGACTTGTGGGTATGACTAGGCAAGTGAGCGCGAATTCGGAACATCGTGGAGACCGGCCAGCATGCTCTTCACTAGTTTGTTTTTTCTCAACAGAAGTAGCTGTAGCGCTGCATAATTTACATGGCTGCTCTCTTCTATCAAGAAAAGAATGTACGCCTTTCCGTCAAAGACGTCTTTAGTTTGCTCGTTCGACGACGGCCCGCGAAATCACAATGAAAAACTCGAGAATATCACCTGTTGTGCGGAGGCCCAGGGATTGTACTATTTTTAGTTTAACAAATCGTGTTCGCGATCCTGACAAGTTAGTTCTTGATACATGATGATGCTTAAGTGTCGACGCTTGTTTTTAGTTATCAAAATAGCATATAATTTATTGAAGATAATATTATAGATACTAGTATTCATCGAGTTCGAGTTGTAATTCTATTAGGTTTCTCTCGGTCGAGGAGTGCAGATGGCACGACTACGCTTTGGGCCTCGTGGATGGCGGGATCGATGCTCTTTCCGCTGAAAAAGAAAGATTAAGGCACGACTCCATAATTCTGATAATCATAATTAATATAGGCACGTGCGAGGCGGCAGGGTCCTCGCGCGCGAACATAATGATAATAACTGCTAATATGCCCGCCGCTACAGCTACATTGTAACGACTAGTGAAAAGACCTTATGCTATTCTACAACAACTTGTGACTTGCATGATTTCCTTTTTAAAAAAATTCAAGCTCTAAAAAAGTGCATACGATGTTTCGAGCAAATCGCATCTCCGCTGTTGGCAACGAAGCTTACAAGTATCTCTAGTACAATGTTTTTTTGGGCTGATTTGGTTTGCTTTGTTTTCTGCAAAAGCGCTTGTTGCATTCCTTGGGATACTGCACTTCTCATTGTAGTCTTTTTTTTTATAAATATGAATGAAGTTCTGTCGGCAGAATCTTAGGCACACTGCCGAGTACTTAGATTCACATCTATCATCATATTGCGAGTGAAGCTCTGTTCAACATCAACATCAAGGAATTCCACATCTTCACATTTCATTGAATTCCACATTCCACATCTTCTAGTTCCCTTCGAAAATCCGTGCATCGAAAAACCCTGTACGCATGGACCCTATTGTATGGGATGTAGTGACGAAGTCATGAGCTACATCTTGCCAACCTGCATTGGTTGTTCGGCAATGGCGGACGGCGTTGTCACATTTAAGAGGATGCGCTACAAAAGTTTTTAGCGTTTGTTCATCATAGAGTAAAATAAATACAACAGTTCTACTTCTAAGGTGCTACATCAAGTCAAACTTCTGCATCATGGTTCATACTCTTACAAGGAATTCCTTTTCCTCATTCTCGCAGCATCTAACTCTTCGGCAAAATACACGACGAGGTATACCCAACTTCTGCGTGAAGACAGCCACAATATTACGTCAGGAATCTAGACCCACAATCATCTTACGGGCAACAACTTCGAGTCGTCAAAAAGTTCAAGAATGTATTTACTTAGTTGGAAATGCATATGATTTCCGAACAAAAATTTTTCCAGTGTCAAACTTTTTGTTGTGGATCGATGTTGGTCTCCAAGAAGAATCATCACCAGAAAAGGCTACAACGCTGATCAATTACCCTCTTGTGCGGCTACCTCTAACGCCAGCCGTGTGATTGATCTGGAAGAAAACACCAATAGTTCTCTGCCGAGTGGTCACATTCGCGATTCGGCTTCTACTGCAAAGAAAAATGTCGCAGAAAGTACGCAAAAAGATTCGCGTCCCCACGTCGATGAGCCAAGCACTACTACGGTGGCGTCCTCTGGATCGAGTTCGCCTTCTTCATCTGGTACAACTAAGACGAACAACAGTACGTCGACGAAAATGCGGAACAGTCACGACGCTGCCACCTGCTCAGGGGAAGCGCCGTGTTTCAGGTCACTCGCGATCGCGTGTGAACCTGACACAAACATGCGGAGCGAACAAGTAGACAACATACTGAACGCAGGACTGTATGACATTTTTCGGGACCTGTTCAGCAACATCGATGTGGACGAAGGTACCCCAGTCAAATTCCTTCTGTCCTCAGAGCAACAGGCTATAGTATCTTCTGAACCGGCGCTACAGACAACCACAGGAGCATCGAGTACAGCCGCGACATCTTCGTGTCCACTACCATCAACAACTAAGACACCTGCTTCATCCACGGATCCTTCTTCATCCTCTTGTTCCCTTTCAACGTTGAAAATAGTCGCGCCAGTAAAAGAGGCGAAATATCATGACAACTGCAATAGGGTGGATAAAGAGAAGATAGTAGAAGTAAAAGGTAGAATACAACTAGATAGACAGGAGGATAGAGGAAACAACACAGTAGAAGATCAAGTATTAGAAGGTAAAGCAGCTCCAGCTTCTTCTTCCTCAACCTTGGACCTCGTCCGCGTCCTTCGCAAAGCAGCGATAGGGAAAGATTGGAGCTTCCTGAAGGTTGCGATTTATCAGGGGAAAAAGAACAAGGTGAACAAGTCTGCCAGGTTTGTCGCAGAGGTGCTTGAGAAATGGATGATACCTTTGAAGATTGCCGATTATCGTTGGAATGATCTGTGCCGTGTTGTGAGAGAACAACCAAATGGGGGTAAAGGAGGTGCTGGTAGTGTTAGTAGTTGTCGAACGTGGAAACCGTGGGCGCACCTTTTAGAAAATGATACGAGCAGTGCCGTGGAAGGGTATAATGGTGATGAAGAACAAGAAAATCTTAGTAGAAACAAGGAGAGCAGCACGACGTCCAATGAGAACAAGAAGGAGAACCAGGTGGAGGAAACCAAGAACGAGAACAAGAACTACACTACTCAAGATGTGATGAATAAAAAAGCCCAAGAAGAAGATGAGGAGAAAGAAAATACGGAGCCGAGTACATCAAGGAATCTTAATGCAGGAGGCCTGCAACTTCAGGAACAAGCTTCTGTTGAGACTCCAACACGGCTTCCGTCCGAGCCCAAAAAGAAACGCCAGCGGTTTTTGTAGTAGTACCAGAGCTACAAAGACGAAGATGACGAGATAAACTACGATGAAGATTTTTTAATTGATCCTTTATTCCCCGGCGCTTGGTCTGGATATGGATGTCATTTTTTTTGAGCACCAACATCCTTCCCTCTTCTGCATGGATTTTCGATCATGCTGTCATACTGTTACTAGCTTGGAGCGTCCGATAACATCCCTCCCACTAGGATCCTCCTCCTCCCCAAAGTAAGAAAATAAGCAAGGCAAAGATGTGAGCGATATGCGTTGCCAAATTTCGAAAATTTTCCACGTTTTGCCATCGTTTGCGGGTTGGATCTCGTGCGTTTGAAGTCAAGCGCTAAGATCCCAAAACTTTTGGACTTTAAGCCCTTCCGCTGAAATTCAACTTCTTGGATTTGCATTCTTCAAATTTCGAAAATTCTCCACGTTTTGCTGTCGTTTTGGGATTGAATTTTGTGTGTTTGAAGCGCTAAACTCCTAAAATTTTTGATTTTAGGCCCTCTTCCTGGAATTCAATTTCTTGGATTTGCATTTTTCAAAATTCGAAAACTTTCCACATTTTGCCGCCGTTTTCGGGTTGAATTCCGTGCGTTTGAGGTGCTAAGATCGCAAAATTTTTGATTTTAGGCCCTTTCTCTCGAATTTAATTCCTTGGATTCGCGTTCTTTCAAATTTCGAAAATATTTTAAACCTTTTCCCTGGGATTCAATCTCTTGGCGTCGCGTTTTTCAAATTTCGAAAGTTTTCCACCTTTTTCGTCATTTTGCGAGTGACTCCTTTGATTTTGAAGGGCTAAGATCCTAAAATTTTTGATTTTATGCCCTTTCCCTGGAATTTAATTCCTTGGATTCGCGTTTTTCAAATTTCGAAAATTTTCCGCGTTTTGTCGTCGTTTTGAGGTTGAGTCTCGTGGGTTTGAAGCGTTAAGATCCTAAAATTTTTGATTTTAAGCCCTTTCCCCCGAAATTCAATCCCGTGGCTTCGTGGTTTCCTGGTTTCCTGGTTTCGTGGTTTCGTGGGTTCATGTGTTCGCGGGTTCATGGGTTCATGGGTTCATGGGTTCATGGGTTTGGGGTTTGTTTGTTTTTGTGTCGGAGGTTTTGGGTTCGGGTGTTGGAGGTTTTGGGTTAGGGTGTTGGAGGTTGAGGTTTCGGAAGGGATGTGTTTGCAAAGTTTTATTGCTCTTAATATTGATGCAAATTATGCAAGAGAATCAACTCATAGAATTAAATAAGATGCTGGTGCTACAGTCAGCATCTTCACATATGAGCACGGATTCTAAAACAAAGTATCCAAGGTGTGCTATCTTCAAGTGATAAAGTTGCGCGAGAAGAGCGAGAGAAGCTGTACGAAAAGTGTCGCTAAAAGTCGTCGCTAGTAAAAGGAAAAGCGACAAAACATGGAGGCATTGGAAAAACGTCCACAAAAGTAGCCTCGGCGAGACGAAAAAATAGTCAGAGAGATAGTAGTTGTGGGTCTTCTTCACCTCCCAGTCCCACTTTCAATGTTTACCTAAGCTTTTACTTTTACAAGAACAACTGCGAATGGTCCCGTGAGGAAACCAACAACATCCTCTAAGATTGCAAGACTAACCAAAAATACTATAAACCTAAAGACCAAGACCATGACCCGACCAGGATCTCCACCTCCTGGAGGGGGCGACGACGGGCCTCCTCCACCTAAGCGCGGGATACTCAAGAACAAACCCGACAAGCTCGAAGAGACGTATCGACTTCCGTTCACGGGTGTCAACCTAGAGCGCGATGATGTCGAAAGATTACCGCAACCATATCGCTTCCTCACCAAGATCATCGACAATCTTGTTGGAGATGTCGAGGACCAGATCCTGGACATTGAGAAGAAAAAGCGAGAGGCGGTCTACGAATACAACCTGCCGGAAATACACTGCACGGGGAGGATAGACCAATTTTACGGATGCTGCTCGTTGTAAACAATAACTAACTCATCTTCAACATCGACCTCTTGCCAGGCACATCAATCAATCAATCATGATAGATAGAAGTCGCTCGTTCTTGATGGACGAGCGTTAAGAGAGTACAATCATGGCAGAACGAGCAGAAGAAGACTTCACTGTCAAAGAGAATGATTTGATGAGTTTAGAAATACTTATGCGATCATACCTAACCACTCTAATGAAAGGGTGTTGTTACCTGTGTGGCGCAAAACTTATGGCGTAAGTGTAGCATTCAAAGCCGTCTTGCTCGTTTGAGCAAAGACAAAGGCAACATACTTCTTTCGCGTTCATAGAAGAATTAAGGCAGGTGCTTGTACAACTGGTTGTATTTCATGGGAAAAAAGGCCATCCTTGGATACCTGCTCAGAATTGTCGAAAATGGAATTGAAAAATGGGAAACAAATCAAGAATTGTCGAACAAGTCTTCGAGGATGGCTTTACCAGATTACATACGCATGTTGCAGGCATGATGCAGCCTCAATCCCGCTCTAAGCTCATGTCGGTCTGTACGACGCGGCGAGCGACAGCAGCAGCCTCGTAGCATGCGGTACGTCCGAAGGCGAGCTTGTAGTTTTAGACTTGACAAAGACAGGGCGAGTCGCTTGCAGCGCGATGGTTGGATCGCCACCTAGCGCAGGCGACCCTATGGAGGAAGAGGGAGGTGAACAGCCCGTAGCAGTAGCTGGAGCGAAGAGGGAGGTTCACATTTTTTGTGAGCATTGTGTGGGGATCGTGATTGGGTATCAGCGAAATAAGTACTTATGTAGAAAAAAACGATCATATCTTATGCGGCGAACAGATTTGATGTAGATACGGATTGCTCCCATAGCTAGGAGGTCATGCTCCTCGGTCTATTCGCATTTCATCAAAACATCCTTCCACGGTTCCGTCTCCCACGTAGCTCTAAAAAATTTCACTTCAGGGTTCCGTCTCCCACGTAGCTATGACGTTGGGGTTTTTTGAAAGGAGAGTGGTCGCCGAAAACTGTCCCCTCTGGAGAAAATCGGCACCCAAGATAATATGCGCAATTCATGGCTCCGCAGACCTCAAGGTTTGCGAAATGAAGAAAGACCTTGTGACCAAATCTTATGGCCGAAGACGAAAGCATGATGTTGGCAATATGTGGCAAGGAATAATTGAAATTTGGAACAACAGGACTCATACATAGCTCAAAACTTCTTCGTATCCATCAAAGTGAAGTCCTCCACCACGACTACAGAATTATTATTCGTTTTTAATACAAGTAGAGAGCTTCTTGCAGCAGCTCTAAAAACTCTTAGCTCCATTCGCGAAAATATCCCTGCCTTCTCCGAGTTCGAAAATACACCAGTTGGAAGCTTGGGGATCCAGTTTATGGCGCAGTTGTATAGAAGAAGAAGAGGACGAAGACGAAGAGACCTTTTAGTGCTCACTCCTAGTATAAAAATGAAGGTCGCCAGGAACACTCTTATGCCATGTGTGAAGAGGAGCAGAAGCTCAAAAAAATGAGCACTCTGTCCAGGCAGGAATGGAGGGCCGATCGTCCATCGAAGATGGCTCGAATCTTCGAAGCAGATTGCTTCCGCCTTCTTCGAAGGTCATTCCTTCTTCTAACGCACGGAGCGCTGTGGACAGCCGTATTGCACGACGGTGGAGCACCCGGTGAGATCGCAGCCAGCTCAGTTGCTGTTTACAGAGTACAGATCGATGCTCGTTATTTGAGAACTGCTATTCTGTAGGACTGTCGTGATTTCTATCAAATGGTCAAGATTTATTCTTTTCATTTTTGTGGCTACCATGATCCACATTTAGTACAAAAAATGAGTCAGAATCGGTCGCATTCACACCAGGACTCAACTACGTCGGTCTATCCCATCATCCCCCACCTCCACGTCCACAGAGCGGTCTCGGAAGTCCAGTAGTAACCGAGAAGAAACCTATGACGATTCAGGAAGGGACGGAAACGGAAGCAGAATCGCCGAGAGGAGAAAGTGAAAGTTGGGATCAGGTACGTAGTCTTGGACGACTTGTTGCGCAGCTACTAAGTAGAAGTACTTTTTTACCTACTTCTTCAGCATCTACTTCTAGAACTCTGAGATCTTCTTCTGGTAGCCAGCCTTTTGAATTGTTGTTCATAACCTTTTTACTGACTCGTCTTCCGAGTAGACTAACTACAGCTGACTTCTCATTCACTCAGGTCCCCACCATCTACTCCGTCCCACTTCACACTGTGCCTTCAGGTCCCCACCATCTCCGTCCCACTTTACACTGTGCCTATCCCCGGATTTGACATGAGGTTCGCTTCCGGTGTCTATCCCGCAATAAGCCTGGAGCAGCTGTGTATGAATTTCTTCTTTGCGTGTGGGGAGAAGGTCGAGGCGCCATATGGAAGGCCAGGAAGCTTAGTTTTGTGGACACCTGAGTCGAATATTATGGCTCATAGTCCATCCGACTTCATCTATTTAAATGAGATATATTTATTTAAGGTTATACAACGTAGAAGCAGAGGGTACTACTGTAATTGCTGAGAAGTGCTGGCAACACGACCTTTTGATGATATGACGCCACAACTTTCACCCCGGCGACCACCACCTCAATTTAGTTAGCCCAGCAAGGTGAGCATTCCCCTTTCATCCCAATCGTTTACCTTGGTACACTTTCCCAACCCGAGGACCCAGTGAGCAGAAATGCTACGAAGTTGCAGGCTGAGGGACAGGATCTGAGCGAAATTCTCTTGCCGAAGATAGAAGAATCAGTCACTGCAGTCGAGGCGACGACAACGGTGGAGATGCAGAGGCATTGGTTCTTTTTAGAGAAGGTATCGGCTTTGTCGCGAAGCAGCTCGGGGACTGTGGTGGGTGTTGGGACGGACGGAGGGTACTAAGACTTGCATGTGGTAAACTTCTTTTGTGAAACTGCAAATCTATCATTAATTTGTTGCTACTCGGACTTGTGGGATCCAATTTGAAGCAAAACAAATGCAGCTTGGCAAATGAAAGACCAGCCCCTGCCCCGCTATGTCTATATGAAATTACAACAGAGTCGTTTCTCTCTGGTCTTCATGGACGGGCACGCTGCTACATGGCAACTGTCCTGGACACTACGGCGCAGTCAGGAGTATCTCCTTTTGCGGCAACGCTCGCTGTTGCACAGCGGGAGCCGATGGGTGGATGCATGTGGTATCCGTAGATAGTGGAGCGTTAATTTTTCGGACGAATATTATGGCTGAATACAACGAACATCATTATTTTGTGAGAATGCCAAATTAGTGTGAACGAGGGATGCGAGGAACGCCTGATAGGAGAAGGAGTTACAAACTTGTAGTACTACCTAGAGTCCATGGGAAATAGCCAGGATCATGTTGTGTGATGTTCATTGTTAGGAGAGTTGTGAGACTTTGTTGACTTCGACGAGAGTGTGCAACCACTCCAACTCCGGGTGAACCTTCAGTCTTCTTCTAATACTTCCGCACCCACTTTCGATGGCGCTGCCGGATTGAGCAGTGCAGTATGTGGGTATATTCCTCTGACAGTAGGCGTGGCTGACAGTGGAGCGCTAAGGTTATGGGATACGCGGTTGAGCCACAAAATTGGAAAGCTGGTGGGCGCGGAAGGCAGGTTCTAGACAATCTGAATCTTTTCTTCATGCTCCTGCTGTGAGAACAGACAAAGTTTAGAACTATTTTAGGTTGTGCTCGTCAATATAGCTGTTCCCACTACAAAATAAGAACATACCGAAAAAACTACAGTCCCGCATCAGCCGAAAACGTCATTTTGGCTTCAGCATACGATTCTTTCGGCATCTTTCAGAGAGTAGAGGGGCAAACGGTGGTATCTGTCTACGATATGAACGCGGTTTTAGTATCCTTGTTTCCAGGAATAGCGAACCGGTGTGACGGCAGATTTAGTGCAGTGAAATTATTCCGAGCCCTGACCTCGGAACAGAGAACGAATCCGGCAGTTGAGGTCCTTCTTGATTGACGTTTCAATGGTGTTGTCCGTCTCTGCTTTGTGAGTGAGGGCTGTTGAAAAAAGCAGCGAATCAATGGTCTTCTGTCTGAATTACAACTCCTAAAAATGGACTTGGCCATCTTGGAACAAGTTTTACACTCACACGGCGCAGAGTTGTAAGACGCCAGAAGAGTATCTGTATCGTCACTCATGATCTTTTTGAGACTTCTACTTCTTCCTCACACCAGCGACCCGGAGGCGGTGCCAACAAGAGTAACAAAGCGAGTGCTGCACCATCTGCATTGACTGGCGCAACCGGTAGTATAGGACGCGCCTCAGCCTCCAGTGGCGGGACAAAGCGGTCTTCGCCTAGCCGGAAAAAGGCATCGACTCTGACAAAAGCGACACTAGCAGCGCATGATTACGGACGTTGTTTTTTTGGAATGCTGTGTCTTCAACAAGCGAAAGAACTACCAAAAAAGAGAGCGTCATCAATAAGTAGTACATTGAATTGGAAATCTCAAATCTCAGAATAAAGAAGTGAAAAGATTAGAACTAACCGAGGCAACATTTTTCATCCTTTCGGAAACAGACTAGTCCATACTAGATCCAAAATCTCATCTGTTGAGGATTAAAAGTTGTGATGTCTTCTTCGTCGTGATCTTTTTGTTTCTGAACGCAGCATCCTATCTTCTAAAACAAAGACCGATATGATTTCCCGCCTGGTGTTACGTCGCAAGTAGACGTAGATGGACCAGCCCAGGACGAGTGGCGGAAGGCAGCACTGGATCGATACAAGAAGTGCTTGGCGGATTAAGGAAAACAAGAAACAAAGAGGCTCAAATGTTTGGTCTTGAAACAAAGAGGCTCAAATGTTTGGTTTTCTCAGAAATCTGAAGAAGTACTTAGTAGAAATTGCGGACCAATTCCAAGCGTCAAAAAAAGGTTAAGCACATCAGTATCTACGTTGTATGCTGTCATCATGATTGGGGTGCGCGTTACGTGACATGATGGTGTAGAAAATTCTAAAGAGGAAAGCACACGGCGAATAAGCGCATTACAACGATGCTGGGCGACATCTCGAATAGGATGCTAGCAGAGCAAGGAGGATGAAAATCTAAATTTTTTGTTCTTAACATCGGGGGGTTGGATGTCGGTGGAGTAACCGTTGGGGCGATTGCCCTCCTTTATTGATCGCTTCCGAGGCAAGCGTGTTGAAGTCGCAACGATTTTCGAAATGTTTGATCCGGATTCGAAACCTGCATTCGATTAGTCTGAGTTTGATGGCTCACCCTCACGTAGGGAATGAAAATATATTCAGAAACGCTGTGGCACACGGGTGACGATCGCGGTGTTATTTAGGTCAGAATGAATACTTATGATTGCTAGCGGACAAGGGTTTTCCGCCATGAGCACGAATATCGCAAGAGCGAGAGCCTGTGGAAAAATCTGATATGGTTCTAGAAGCACATTGCAAGTTCACTCTTACAGTCATTTTGATCCATCCCGTTCCAATTCTAAAGACCAAGTTCGATCAAGTTCTAGACAAGACGAACAAAAAATTTAGACATGGATGAGTGTACAACAAGTTGAACTGTTCACACTGCAAGACAAACGTGTGTGCAGCTAAAAATGACAGAACAATCATGCCCATTGGGTCAAAGAAAGATCTAAAGATGATGAGTTTGGTCAACAAATAAAGCGAGTACTAGAGGTCCGGATGATCGATCTGTGCGTGAATTGATCAGAGAGGTCCATCTTCACTTCAGTTTCCGAGTTCGGCATTCTCGAAAGCAGCACCGTAATATTAAAGTGCTGTACGAAAGATCTAAATCATGAGGGGGATCCCTCAGTGTGTGAACTTGAAGTTCCAAGAACAAGGTCGAGTAGATCTGTTTGGACCTTTTAGCTGCTTGACGGTTGAGACCCACAGATCCCTCCAGTTCCTTGATCAACAAAAGATGCGGATTCTTTACGTGAGGATCCAACATGAGCTTGATCTTCCTCAATGAATACGAAAAGAGGAAATCGCAATCCTAAAAAAGCTCCGTGTGCCCAAAATTTTAGATCTGGATCTTCATGTATTTTCTTCCCGCAAAGAAAAAGTCTTGAAAGTCCCACTTTTCATCCGGTTCTACTCCTGAATCCCTTCTACGACTTGCAGTTGTGCGCATAACAAACTGCAACAATATTGGTTACCAAAATTATCATTGACTTGTTTTTCTAAATCCTACAGGGAATCGAGACGAAGGATCTTTTTAGATCTCTGAAGAGAGAGGACATTAATTTAGTTTAGTTCATTACGAACTTCCAAAACTCCGCCCAAAATGCCGAAGAAGGAACTCGCTGGTAAGAAGACTCAGGCCAAGAAGAAGCTCCCGGCTGCCCCTATCGGTGGTCCGGCTTCCGCGGCTAAGGCCACCAAGAAGTCTCCTTTGTTCGAAAAGGCTGCCCGATCCTTCCGCATCGGAGCTAACATCCAGCCGAAGCGCAACTTGACCCGCTTCGTTAAGTGGCCGCAGTATGTCCGCCTCCAGCGTCAGAAGCGCATCTTGATGGCTCGCGTCAAGGTAAAAGATTTGAACAAAACTCTCAGAGTTAGAGATTGCTTTGATATAGGATTAGAAGTTGAATGTAGATTTAGAATTGCTAGCACAGCGTAACTCTAAAAAAGACACCTAAAGGCGCCGAAGCGTCCACTGTTGCGAAAAGTTTGGGTGTCGTCAGTGAATAATATCTAAACCTCTTCTCAAAATCTACCAATCAACCTTTTTACTCGAACCTACTTCTACAACGACCCGATCAGGTCCCGCCGAGTGTAGCTCAGTTCACCCACACTTGCGACAAGTCTCAACTCCAGCAGTTGGCTCGTTTGTGCAAGAAGATCGCTCCGGAAACCAAGGCCGACAAGAAGCAGCGCCTCAAGGACATGGCTGGTACGATGATTTGGATGTCAGAATTTTTAGGGGATCGCTTGGTGGACACAAAAAATATCTACATCCGCCAACGGATGTGTGGAAGAATTTCTTCCATGTGTCTATCGTAATGTGCATGTTGGAGATGTTAGTCAATCACAGTCCTCTAAATCATGTAGCTTAGAAATGATGCGTCAATCTGTTGATCTCAACATGCGGCTTCATCCGCACTAATTTGATTCTCAAGCCGCGTCTTCAAAAACCATTGTCATCAACATCGATATTCATTTGCCACCAATAAAACCACTACAGGTTCCAAGGCCACCGACACCAAGGCCGCTCCGGTCATCAAGTTCGGTATTAACCACGTCACCGAGCTTGTCGAGCAGAAGAAGGCCAAGCTCGTCGTCATCGCTCATGACGTTGACCCGATCGAATTGGTTGTGTGGCTTCCGGCCCTCTGCCGCAAGAAGGACATCCCGTACTGCGTGATCAAGTCCAAGTCGCGCCTCGGACAGATGGTCGGCCAGAAGACCGCCACTGCCGCGTGCATCGTCAACGTCCCGAAGGAGGACTCTAAGGACTTGGAGGTCCTCTGCGAATCCATGAAGGCTGCCTTCAACGACAACAAGGAGGTCGCACGCCGATGGGGTGGAGGCTTGTCCGGTGTCAAGTCCCTGCACATCCAGCGTCGTCGTCAGGCCGCTTTGGAGAAGGAATTGGCCAAGAAGACCGGTCTCATGATGTAAGTAACATCTTCTTCATTTTCACAACCTAAAGGAGAAGGAAAATTGAAGTCCAGATGAGCAGTACAACATCCTCAGATGAGCAGCAGGAGCAGTCGAGAAGAAGCCTGACGACATCGGTGGATCTAACGGGAGGCTACATCACCAGCATGTCGGAGGATCTTCTCTCAAACGCGAGGCGAGACGCAAATGTGGAGAACAATTAACGTCATATGCTGCGCAGATCTAGATGTCAGATCAATTTCGTTTTGGCGGTATTGAAATGATAGGCTCTGTGAAGACGAGACGTTGTTGAAATAAATGTCCTGATCAAATTGATCACTCTCTTCAAAAAAAGCTGCGTAGCGGCAAAGTCAGTCACCGCTGATCCGTACCCTCTTCCGGTCCTTGTTCTTGTGTTCCAAATCCGCGCTATGAAAAACGAACAGGGCCAAACGATGGCTTTTCTCGGTGAAGTGGCACAAAATCAAAAAGAGAGAAAAGAGAGTGAGTTTAAGAACCCGCAAGACTTGTGTGTCAGTAGAAAATTGATGGCGCTAAAAAACCTGCGACATGACAGAGACAGGACTCGTGAAAGATGGCCTTCCGCTAGTTTTTATGTTTTGTACTTGTCTCCAAAGTGGATCGCTCCTCACATATTTTTCGATGGATTTGTACGCCAGGTCTGATGTCGCTTGATCCAAACTAAAGACAAGAGGTGTCGTTGACAGGGCGATCGTGATGATCTGGCATTGTTGCTTGAGCTCGTTGTATGTGCCAGTGATGATACTTCCTATTTCTCCGGATTGATGACTCATGCGAATGCGTACAGGCGTCTCGACCCTGCTTCTGGGCAGGCGACGGTTGCGCCGCGGTCTCGTGAATTACAAGGACTTCGTCGAATTCATCCGGCCATTGGGGCTCGGCTCCGCGACCGAGTACCGTGCATGGGCCAAAATCACGCCACGGCCGAAATACATCCCGTGTCAGCCTGACCGTACCTATCGAGGGGTAGGGTGGGAGTCATGGGCGAGCGCTCTCGGTCGAGACAGGATCAACGGAAATCGGTTTTCTTTGTCGGAGCTCACCGCGCTGGAACCTGACGAAGAAACCTTTGCTCGCAAGAACGTTCCTGGAGTGAGGTACGAGCATGCTTTTGGCTTGTTTCAGAAACTAACGGAACAGTTCGCAACGGGCTATCACTTCTTCCGCCTTCCCGGACGAGCAGTCCCGAATCTCTTTTTCAGGAGAAGGGGCAGCAAGCGTGTCGATCACTGGGCAGCGCTCCAGCTGAAGAGCTCGAAACGAAGGTCGCCCCAAGGCCGGCATTTGTTTGTCGGGCTGGATGCATCCGAGAACATCGGGAAAGTGCTGATTTCGTTGGAGGACAAAAGCGTGTGCATCCGTCATTCGTCCGAGCTAACGCCGCAGCCATCCAGATATCCAGGCGCATCGTGTGGACGGTGCAATGTTGTCTTGCGCAGCGCGATCAGAAGTGACTTGCGTGACCCCACTGCGGTAGGATCTGAAGCATCCGCGTCTTTGGACCGTCTGTGGGATGTTTTGCCGAGGAAGCAAATATCAGACTGGTGTGCAGATTTTTCCGAAACCTGGAGTATCTCTAGGCATCATAAGTTTATCGCGAGGCTCGCAGAAACACTCTACTTCCCCGCGGGATTCAATGACACGTGGACATGGAGAGAAGAGCTGCCGCGTGGCACCTTTGGCGAAAAGCACAACATGCAGCTAGGGCCGCATCGCTGTTTGCAAAAAGTAGCGTCATGGCATGATGAGGATAGGGGAGTGATGGACATCGACAGGTGCATGTGGAGGAGTACAATAAAATTATCACGGCCCTTTAGGCCCGCAGCAGGTGGGGAACAGGTGTACACGTATTACGATATCTCGGATCCCATTGACTTTTACATCTGTATTCACCACAATAAATCTGATTTGTTGGGAGTATTCGTTTTTCCAAAACAGGTGCTAAGAGAATATGGGTATTTGTCTGACAGAGCCACGGGTGAAAGGGGTAGGAAGGTAATGGCACTGTACTCCTCCGAGAACCGTGCGAGACCTCGTAATGACAAAGAAGAATTCGCGAGAGTCCAGCAAGATTTCTACATAGATTTGTCTGGTAGTAGTTGTAGCAGAATTAGTCTCGAAGGAGCTTCGTCATCTGACCATCAAGAAGATTGTTATGAAAGACCTGTGGGCCGCTTTCTCGCGATATTGGACAAGCATGGACAACAAAAGCTAGCGTCGACGTGATCGATTGATGTGGTGACACTGTCGATAAGCTCCGTGAGCACCTAGAAGAACTTGTCAAAGTCGTGACTCAAGCTGCTTCACGTTCTGCAGGAGAAATTGTGATTACGAAATTTAGCTGCCACGAACTGCCGATAGTTGAAAGTGAAACTGCCAAGAAAAGAATGATGAAAAAAGAAAATTTGTACGGCGACTGTAATCAGTCGTCGAGAACGGAGAGTTGAGAGTGATGTGTGATGAAAATGAGCAACGGTCAGCTGGCACTACACCCCACTTGCATCTACAAAAAGGTACAAAAAGATGTTGTGAGCAGGTGATACCCATAGTTCTCGGATGAAAGCCGAGATGTGGATGAAGTTGGCTTAAGTCTCGCGCGTAACTGCATGAAAATTGTAATCAGAGACAGTTTCTGTCTCGGACTAGGGTTGGGAGAATAAGAACAACATGGCTGTCGACACAGGAGGAAGTGTGCGCGAATCGGCGGTTCGAAAACTGAGCGATGATGGCGCCAGGGCAGCGACCACGAGTACTAAGGCGGTACCGAGTTCCTCGAGCACGTCGACAGGAGGCTCGGCTTCATCGACCGCACCGAGTTCCTCTGACGAGGGCAGCTCTTCAAAAGAAGCAGGAGGTCAGCCATCAGCTACAACGGCAGGAGCCTCGGCTTCGGCTTCCGAAAGTAAGGAGCGTCCTTCAGGAGGCCTACGGGTTCCTGTTGAGCCGATAGGCATGTACACATCCCAAGAACACGAAGAAGATCACGCATTGTGGACGTTGGTGCAATCGCTCAAGCCGGTTTTGAATTTAAGAAGGGTTTATCTTTGTAGGGCGTTTTTACGTGTTTGGCAAGTCGTTTGTCTCTTCAGGAGAAATTCCACGCATGAGTTATTTATGCACTGGAGGAGCTTGCGGGGGAAGTGATTATACTAACTGGCGAGTTAACTTAGGTGAGAGAAAAGATACGCTCTCTGGAAGGTTCCTGGACGACAGTCGACAAAAAATGTCGGCTGAGGGACCAACTAGGGAGAGGGTTGGGGGCAACGGGCCCCGCGAACCCCGTCGTGTGCGGTGCGAAAAATGCACTCACGCGCGACGCCGCCGGTCGATGCAATGGCGCATCTCGGCGAAGGCGAACCACGGTTCGCGCCTCCACGGAGGCTCGGGTGCGGTCGGGTGAGAGCGTTAATGCTACACCCACGGGGCGGAGTTCACATGCAGAGCGGAGCAGAGCGGAGCGGAGCGGAGCGGGCTGCCGGCGCACGGGCCAAAGCGCTCGTGCGTAGGCCGCGGGAGGGCCAACGCGCCCTCCGGCGGTGCGGTGGGCAGGCGCGTGGCGCCCAGTGGGGGGTGCTGGGGAGCTCGTAAAAATCGAGTTCCGCCGCGCGCGCGGCGCGCCATCCCCTCGCGGGGCAAAAATCGCCGCGAGGGTTTGGCGCTTGTGGCAGCACATTTTCGTAACCTCAAGCTGAAAGCTAGCTTGGGCAGGTCTAAAAACTTTTCTTTTTCCCAAAAATCCAGGGACTTTCTGTGCGCGTATAATCGCAATCTAGAAACTAGTGACTAGTAGTGCCCCCGCACTCTGGTTTTCAGCAAAACAAAAAACAAAATGACCTCCCTGAAAAGCGTCGGAGACCTCGTCATCCACACAGGCAAAAATCCTGTGGGGAGCGAGGACGTCGACGAGAAGGGCAAAGCCCTTCTGAAACTGATCGACGGATCACTGTTTCACCCCTCCATGGCGGAGGCCATGGAGGCGCTGCAAAAGCAGCTGGAGGAGAAGACGCAGTATGAGGATAAACTCATCTTCTGCGCAAACATCCAGGACTGGATTGCAGCACTCCGACAGATGGTCGGTGAACTTCCGGAAACGGAATTCATCGACACGGTCAAAAAAGACCTGGAGGACCCGCGCTTCGTGGGGGAAGGTGGAACCCTAACCGAACAGGGCACCACCTTGATGTGGTTCCACTTGTGGTTGGGCGCATACCACGAGGAACTAACGGCCGAACCCTGGGCCTCGAAGTCTCTGATTAAAAAAGAGACTTTTGAAGCCGGCGCGAAGCTCGCCGAAAAACGAAAGTTTCGGGAGGAAAACCCGCAGCTGAACCTGGCGGAAGTCCCGGCGCAGACCGCCAAAAAGGAGGTGATAGTCCGCTACCTGATCGAGCGCACCAACAAAGAGGTGCTCAACGACTGGGACGCGAAGCCGGCCAAGACGCCGTGGACGTCGGTCCGCAAGGCGCACGAGGAGGAGGACCGAAAGCTCCTCGAAGAAGAGGAGAAGCAGCGCAAGGCGGAGCTCGAAGCCAAAAAGAAAGAGGAGGAGGACTCCGTGGACTTCGCCGACAAAAGCGAAGAGTCCTCCGAGGAGCCGCCGGAGACGGCAGCTCTGTTCAAAACGTTCGCGAAGAAGACCGCAAAGGCCATCGCAACGGCTTTGAACAGCAGCGGAGAGGACAAAATCCTCTCCTATGACGACACGCGCCCGGCTAGCGAAGGAGAAAAATTCTTCGTCTACCGACGCGTAAACGGCGTCGAGAAGAAAACAGAGGTGAAAGTCGTCTGGCCTTCCGTCTTAACTCCGGGCGAGGAAGTCGCAGACGCACAGGAGCAGTATAAAAACTGCTTCTTCACGAACGGAGAAAAAGCCTCTAAGCAGGCGAACCACGTGCTCACCGCGTTATTAAAACACGTGGAAAAGCACGGCCTCCGCTCCGTTTTCGACGTGGACGAAAACAGCGTCCTGAACACGACGGCAGGCCAACGCCTCAACCAAAAGGCGCTGGCGCTGCTCTTCGGAGCATACGCGGCCGCAGGCATCTGGGGCGAAGCCCAGGTGGGAAAAAACCAACCCAAGGTCTCAAACTGCGCCATCGCAGGCTTTAACGGAGACAACCTGCAGCGCACAAACAGCGCGTTCCAGAACCTGGTCCGGAAACAGGTCGTCGCCAGCGTCCCGGCTGACTACTGGGACAGATGCAACCTGGACCAGTGCTGGGAGACGCTGCGCCGCGTGGAAAGCGCCATCAACGGCGCCACCGACCTGCAGCCCTTCGACTTCATGACCGAGTTCAACGAGAACTTCCCAGAAATCGCCATCAAAAAAATGATGGTGTTCTTGGGATTCATGAAGGAAGGCTCCCGCAGCCTCGACGCGCTCCAGCAGAAGATGAAGCGCTGGGAGACCGGGCTGGTGAACAGATACATGTTCAACCTGCTGGCCTGGTACAACCACTTCGGTCTCCACCTCATCGACGAGGCGCGCTACACGGACGAGGAAGACGGGGGAAAAATCAAACCGCCCGTCCAAAAAGCGTTCTTCAAGGAGAACATGGAGGAAATCAAAAATGAAATGTTCTCCATGCGAGACGCCGAGGCGAGCTTAGGCAAGCCGAGAAGCGAACGTGTGACAGTCACACTGCGCTCTCGTAGCCACAGCCGCCGCCGCAGCGAATCGCGAGAGCGATCGGCGAGCGAAGGCCCGCAAAACCCGTTCGGCAGCGACGCCGACAGCGGCGGGGACGACGACACGGGCACAACCATGCCGAGCGACACTTGGTTGGAGAGTTTGGATCTGGAAAAAACAGATTTCAACCCGGCCATGGACCCAGTCCACAACCGCCGCCTCGACAAACGTGTCGACGTGGTGCTAGCCGAGCGCCGAAACGCGAAGGGAGGAACACGCACCACATACTACGTGTACTTCCCTCAAACCGGCTTAGTGGAGCCGTCCGCATTGAAGTCCCTGAAAAATATGGGACTCATGCTTCCGCCGGCGGTATGCCACTGGTTCCACGCGCACAAAGCGCATGCGGTGCAGTCAGGCTGTCGCAACGACGCTCAACACCTGGAATGCACACACCACCACCTCATCGACCGCAACCGTCCTCCCCCAGACATCACTATCGCCAAGAGAACGTGGGCAGAAGTGATCCGCTCGCAAAAAGAGCTGGCCGAAGTCCTCTTCTCGGCCCGGTTGGCAGGACGAAACATCAACCAGCAGCCAACCGGCACAGCGGCAAAACGAGCGGCAGCGAAGGACAGGGAAGCAATCCGCCACCCGAAAGACTTCGTAAAACCGAAAGTCCAGCCGATGAAGGCGATGAAGGCCAAAAACGGCCGAACACGCCGCCAACCGAAAGGACCCCAGCGAAGCGACGCAAACGCGGTTCCGCTGGGACAACGGCATCGCAACGACAGTCGCGAAAAAGACAATCGTGGCCGCAACAAATCGAAGCGATCGAACGAGCGCAAAAACAGCCGCGCACGCGATCGACGCCGATAAATCGATGGTGATGGAGGGAAAAATCCTCCTGGGGAGAGACGTGAAGGAGCACGTTGGGAGCAAACGCTCCCTCGCGGTGTGGTAGAAGGAGCCACGCACAAGCTAGAACGCGACTAGCTGGAAGAAAAAGGCTAACGGCCTCGAGGACAACAAATCCTCGAAAAACAGAATGCAAAAGCATTCGCCATAAGCCCTCTGGTCAAATTCCTCTCATGCCCGGACCCACGTGCCTTCTCATTCATGGGTGCGGCATGTGGTGGCTGGGCACCTAGCACACAGGCTCACAGCCAGACATCCGCGGCGTCAGTGTCTTCCCAAGGATCTGCCTTCTTTCCGCCAGCAGGTGCGTCTGCTCCACGCCCTAACCTGTGTCCGATGGAGCCATCTGGCATAGGCGGCAGGACTGTCCGGGCGAAACTCCTTGACCCGGTAATCGGAGCGTTTCCCCCCTTCGCACTAGACAGGTTTAGCGCCTTGGAGCCACCCATGCTGGGGCAGCAGCCTCCACTGTCTCTACCTCCGCACGCTAGTACGGATATTGTCCTCACGCCCGCTCTCCTTCCACTAGGGTGTGAGACGAGGATGGTACAGGTCACACACCGCGCGCCTCTCTGGCTCCGACTGGTGGCGCGCCGGGCTGCGGAGGAGGGGCTCCTGTTAGAATCGGGACTGCACTGTCTTCGCCAGCTCAGTAGAGCGCAAGCAGTGCGCCCGGACCAGGGTGACCTGGTGGATGGACAGGCGCCGCCCCCAGTGGCGACTCTCATCCACAACCCTCTGGGCGTGGAGGTCACGTCTCGTAATCTGGACCAGGCGCGGAGCGTGCTCGAGGAGGCGGTCTGGCGTGCGACCGGCCAAACGCGACCGTCACGGAGGTACTCCGCGGTGACATCCTCCCGTGCGAGATGTGACGTGCTGTCGTTGCGAAACGTCGCACACGCGCTCCCGGTCACACGTGACTCCCCGGACTCCTTATGGGGGACCCTGACGAGGAGACCGCGCGGAGACCAAGAGTTGCAGAGGGCGAGCCGGCTGTTCCTCTCGGACTGGGTCTCTGGTCCTAAGTGGGGGCGGTGTCGGGGGCAGCGGCACGCCCTGGTCGAGGCAGGAGCTGGCTCACCCTCCGAGGAAGATCCCTGCCCGCAGTGGGATCTACTGCACTGCTACAGGCTAAAGCGCCCTGGCGCGGTGACCTTCGCAGGGCACGTCAGAGGAGCGGTGGTAAGGAACATTGACCCCAGTCTCATGATCTGTTCTCCTTGCCGTCCGCTCTCCCGAGACGGGATTGACTACACGCCGCGGGGGGCCTACTGTCAGGATTGTGCTGCAGACTCGAGTCAGCGCACCAAGATGGTACAGGCAGAGGAGGACACGCTGGCAGTCCACGCGCATGCGCTAGGCATGCTGGCCGTGACTTCTGGCGGCCCGGGTCTGAAGGGGGTGGACGATCTCTCTATGCCGGTAGGCCTCCACCTAGTCCTCCCAGTCACCCAGCCGGGCATGGACTGGTCGGAGGTGTCATTTTGGACCTGTCACCGCTGCTGTATGCCCTACGGCACGGCGACAGCCCTGAACCATCTTCCTATCTGCTTTGCGGGCCTCCGTAATCAGCTCCCAGATCCTGTCCTCGCTGGTCTACGGCAGGCGGTTGTCAGGAAGAAGGAGGGAGTTAAGTCTACGGCGGACGCGGACTCGTGGGAACTACCTGAGCTGCGCGCCTCACTGGCGCTGCACGCGGAACCTACTCCGGACCTCAAATGGGGCAAAGGAGTGGACTTCCGAGTGGCGCTGATAAACGCCGACTCACGGGCGAAGAACGCATGGTGTGAACTCGCGGGTGAGGTGAGGGCCACAGAGGCTCAAGTAGTGGTTGTCTCAGAGACCGGTCTGCGTAACGCAGACAGCGCGGACTCGTCCAGGGTGCAGAAGTGTCTACGCGCTACACTAAGTGGTCGCTATGAGATACATGCCCTGCGGGATGCTCTGCTGCTAATAGCGCACTCATGCCGGATGCCAGGAAAGGACTCTTTCCGGCCGATTCCGGGGGTGCCCTCTCTGGGGACCGTCTCGATTCACCACTCACAGATTGCAGGGAAACTCATAGGGGGATACATGACCAACAACGACCACCCGGCTGTCCTAGCCCCCTTGCGGGATTTTCTGGTCGCGCTCCCGGGGGAGTCTCTCTGTATGGCAGCAGGAGACTGGAACTTCTCGTGGGGAGCGGTCGCCTCCAGGATCCCCTACACTCACAACGAGCATGGCCCTCTGAAGAGCGAGATAAGGCGTGCTCTCACAGAGAAGCACTCCTTGAAGAACGCACTGGACACGATGGCTGTCACTTTCCCCAGAGCGGGCAGTCAGCCGGACCTGCTCTACCTCACCGCGCTGGGCAGAGAGCGTGATCTCAGCCCCCGATCGTGGATCCTCCCACCGGTATCTCTCATCCCTTCAGTGCACTCTCACCTAGTCATCATTGGTGCTATGGTAGCTGGAAGCGACGGCCCTAGGGCTCCAGCCACCAGAGCAGCGGAGCCTGGCCTTCGACGACGCTCCAAGTACCTCTGGCAAACCCTACCGGTGGAGAAAAGGGGGGCGTTTGCGCAGGTCGTGTCTAGGCTGGGGGAAGCCAAAGACTGCGACTTCCCGTCTCTTGCGGAGCGGGCACTGAAGGCCTGTGGGACTCGGGTCGAGCGCTCTGCTTCCAAGGGGCCGCGGACCATTCTCCTTAAGGCGGACGGTGCCTTAACCTGCAACGTGGGTGAGGCAATGACGGTCTTCAGGTGCCGCCTACTGGATGGTAAACCGGCTGGCAGAATTCTCACACGGGACGGTAAGCGGGCGGAGAGCGAGAAGATAGAGGAGATCCTTCAGGGTCTCCCACAGCAGGTTTTCGAGTACTCCCATGACTTAGCGTACAGGGCAGGCAGGAGGCTCAACCCGAAAGCTGCTCCGGGGCCGGATGGGGTCCCGCCTGCAGTCTTTCGTGACTCGCCAGAGCTGAGGTCTCTGTTCGCGAAGGAAGTGGTCAGCGCGATCAACTCGGGGCGCCCTCTGCCATCCTCGAGAGAGTTCCTTCTTAGCTTCCTATTTAAGGCCTATAAGGAGGGCGCGTCACGCCTTCTAGCCTCCTTCTACCGCCCATTGGCCATGTCATCGGGTAGTGACAAGTTTTCCGAGTCCGTGCTGCTAGAGCTAGCTGCTCCCTGGCTCTACGCGGCAGAGGAGAACTTTGCCTATGTGGCAGGCATCGGTCCGGAGCACGTGCTCCTTCGGGTTGTGTGTGCTGCGCTCTCCGCAGCTGAGCCGTATGCGGTCTGCCTGCTTGCGGACGTTGACGGAGGCTTCGAGAACGTGACTCGCCTGGAGGCTGCCACCTATCTGTCCGAGACAGGATGCCCCAGACAGCTCGTAGCAGCGCTCCTCTCCCTGATGGAGGAGCGTTCGGGTAGAATTTTCGTGGACAGTCTACTAGGAAGACCCTTCGCTTTCGCGGACTGTCTTGGCCAGGGGACGCTGATTGCTCCTCCAGTCTTTAGGCAAGCCATCGGCCGCGCCTGCCGCAGAGCGGGTCTCTTCTCTGTGGCGGAGAGACTGGTGACAGGATACTCAGATGACATCTGCACAGTACTGCTGGCGCAAGGCCAGGAAGAACTCAAGGAGGCAATCTTGGAGACGACGCGTAGGATGGCGCCTCCATCCTTCCCGTATCCGGTGAGTAACTTCCGAATGGCGTGTCTACGGGCTCCCGGCTTCGGAGGTGCTGCTTCCGAGCGCGCCGCGGCCGCTGCAGAGTTCCTTAGTAGTTTTGAAGTCAGGCTGGACAATGGAAGGTCGGTACGATTCCCGGAGGCGCTCACTACGGTGGGCTCTCCTCCCCCGGACCTGCGAGCACCGCACCCGGTGGCGCCCCGACCTATGGGAATCGGCTCTGGCTCTTTGAAGGTAGACTTCGCGAAGTGCCATGTATTCTTGGGGATGCCGCTTTCACCGCACAAGGAGGCCTGGGAGGCTGCTGGCGCGGCGCTCACGAGGACATGCACTGCGCGAGCGTTCCAGAACCTGAACGAGGTCTGGGACCCAGAGCAGCAGTGTGTGGACGTGGTTGCCGCGGTGGATATGTATCATCAACATATCTACTCGAGACTGACCTACGCGTCCTCAGCAGCAACCCTCCTGTGTCCGGCCCATACGGCTCTGCTGGACGCCACGGCGGAGAAGTGCTTGCGGATCCAGTTGAATCTTCCGTGGGCGGTCGGGTACCCAACGTACTCGACCTTTGTCGTGACGGGGGCACACTTCCCATCTGCGCAAGCCATTGCTTACCGCAGGGTGGACATGGCGCACCTGGTCGCCCTAGACTGGGCTCGTGTCACAGGTGGAGCCCTCACTGCCTCGGAAGCTTTCACTGCTGACCAAGTAGGGCCTGCCCTGGGTGCCTGGGCTGATGTGCCAGTAAGTTTTGACTTCTCGTCAGGAGCTGTTCTGCCATCCTCGGTGTGTGTCCTCACCTCGATGGAGGTTTTCCACAAGTTTAAACTCTCCAGGAAGAAAGAGCACACGCCTCGGGTGGGTGCCCTGGTCCGTCGCTGGCTCGCGGGCCTTGAGGAAGCACTGGGGGACGGTCTCCTCATGTGTGCCTCTGACAGTGGTGACGCACCTCCTGAGGAGCAACCCACTGAGGGTGGCTCGACTCGCCGGGTTGCTTCAATAGGCATCAAGGGCGGTGGATGCACGGATCTTGAGAGGATGATCCTGCTGAGACTGCACCACTTTCACACGACCTATGAAGGTGAGGCGGGTGCCCTGGGCGCTCTTCTCAAAGTACTGGAGGACGCTTTCAGAAGGAAGCTCGGCGTGACAGGCGATGCGTCCATACAACTGATCGTCATTCAGGTCGACAGCGACGGCGTCCTGTGGAACCTTCGCAACAACGCGGGGGAGCGGATGTACCGAGAGATGCGGGGGCTCCTGTCGTCTTTGGCTGACAGCCTCGGGGGCGTCTCAATTCTTCTTGTCTGGGTTCCGGGCCATAGTGGCGTATTCCTTCACCAGGTCACGGACCTGGCGCAGAAGCTTGCCACAGATCCCCTTCTCCCTCTACAGTCGCTGGGCGACTGGTTCAGAGTTAGCGTCGCCCCGAGACTACTGAAGAGGTCCCTGCGCTCTCGGGTCAGAGAAATGATCTTCTCAGAGCTGCGTAGACACTCAACTGACAGCTCGACGGGGCGGACGAGGATCTGCATCAATGCAGGGTCAGTCCGTCCATTTCTGAGACTGTTGACTCCATTTCAGCAGACGGTCACCCTTAGCCTGCTCAGCGGTGACGGGACTTTCTTACTCACAGCGACGGGCTGTAAGCATAGCTCAGACTACAAGCGCGTTACCTGTGGTCTATGTGGCCAAGTGCTCAGGGTGTGCTGTCTGCCGTGGGAAAAGCAGCACTCCTTGGCGAGGGAGGTTGCCCCCTCTCCCCAGCCTCTTCAGCAGAGTGGTAGGGGACAGCAGCTCTTACACCGGGGGCAGGTCACTGCCAATAGGGCAAGCGCGGCGCAGCTGTGTGAGCCCGCAGCTGATCAGGCAACGGACTCGGCGGCTCGCCTCGAACATGCGGAAGCGCGTCTCCAAGGGGATGCTGCGCTACACCGCGGTCACGGGGCTCCCAAGGACTGGGCTGCAGACGTCATCTACTCCAACATCTCGCGACATCTTCTTTCGCTAGAATGTCCCCGAGTGCGGGACTACTACCTGGCGGTGGGAGAGCCGCTCGTGGACCTGGTGGCCGATGACTACGAACCTCTCAGAGAGAAGAAGCAGAAGATTGACATTGTGCGCGCGGTGTTATGGGCCATAGGAGATCCCCCAGCGGATGACTGGCCGTATCGTCCGCCGGAGGCCCTCCCCAGAGAGGAAGAGGAGCTGAATGGTGAACAGCTGGAGGCCACACGTAAAGCGGTGGAGCGCACTGCGGACAGTGCCTCGATGGCGAATGTGGCGCCGGGGGTGGCTGACCTCAGCGGTCCAGGTGACCTCCTGCTTCTGATCTCGAGGTCGTCAGCTCCTCGCTTGGACCCGGTGCGAGCCGAACAGGCTTCCACCTCACTCCCCTTGCAGCGAGGACCTCTAAACTGTAACAGGGAGGACGTGATCGGTGAGGTGGTGCGGGAGGCGAAGGTTCTGACGTCTGCTCTCCCCTCAGAGAGGTACGCGGCTGCTCAGGCGGACAGTCCCGCCGTACCAGCAGAGGCCTCGCCGGCTGCTAAGCGACGGAGGCTGCAAGAAGCTGCTCCTCTCTGGGATCTAGGCTGGATGGCCTTCGATGACTCATTTGAGAGGGACCAGCGCTTCTGCTATGAGTGTGCTGTGGACAATGAGAGGGACACGCACAATTGCCTGGACTGTTGGTCGCGACGTCGCGCGGCGGTCTCGTGCCCCCTCTGTGTGGTAAATCCGGACGCGTCGCCTGACTGTGAGTCTTGCAGGCAGACGGCAGCTCACCATAGAGAAGCCTACAGGATCCTCAGCCTCTTTTGTCTAACACCGCCAGAACGCGGACCGGAGTCCGCTGTCTCTCCAGAGCAGATCCCTCAGCAGCAGCGACGTAGTGCTGCCTTCCCGGCGCGCTGTGGCTCTCTGTGGGGTGTGCAGGAGGGCATGGATGAAGAGGACTCTGGCTCCCCTATCCGTCAGCCGAGAGCGATGGCGTCTCCGGAGAGGCCTGTAACATTCTCCCTGCTAGACTATCCTAATTTGGAAGATGACCTCCTGGCTGACACTCCGAAGTTACAGGAGAGATCATCTCCTGAGCGACTGCTGCCTTGAGCTGGCAAACTGGTGTAGCGTTTCTCCGGAAAGAAGCCTCTCCCTTGTCGAGTAGGTCAGTCCCCTCTCACAGTGCTTCTCCCTTCAAAGTGAGTTGCGTGAAGCAGCCGAACTCTTCTCGTTAGCCCCTACTAAAGAGAAGAACTAAACTTGTAAGGCTTGAAAGAACAAAAGTAAAGACTTGTGGCCTTCCGGCTAAACCAAAGCTAAACGAAGGCGCAGTAGAAGCTCCAACCAGTTTGCTAAGGGAAAGTTGAAAAAAAAGAAAAAGCCAGAGTGTTGGTTGTCCCTCTCTTAAGTTGGAAGGGAAAGCAGCGCTCCTTCTTTCGTTCTTGCTTTCTTTCCTTGTGGAGTAAGGTGTTCTGTGAGTAAAGAAAGGGTCTCTGTCGTTACAAGGGTGTCTAAAGTCAGGCCTGCTTCGCTGTCTCTATGTGTGCATCGGTCTACCTTCGGTTGGTGGTGCTGTCGAACGCCTGTTGTCTCCTTGGTAAAAGGTTTTCTTTTTTGTTAAGTCTGCTGCGACTAAGCTCTGTGACTGTAGGTGGGGACTTGTCTCTTAGGTAGCTGTGTGAGTGCCTTGTGAAGCTAGGTAGTGGCTGCTCTGTAGGTGGAAACTCTAGGTGGTCTAGAGTAAAGCTCTTTCTTCTGTCTCTTACTCTGCTAGTAGTGTACAAAGACCCTGAACAAGCTGTGCGTCGGTACTGAATGAAGTGAAGACGATTCTTTCCTGAGGGTATGACTTTCTTGCCAGACGAGGGGCTAGCAGTAGTACTAGGTGCTGCAGTCTAAGGTTAAGGCTTACGCGGGTACTGCTCTGACTAAAAGCTTTGTGGAAAACAAAGGGGGTAGGGGACTTCGTCTCTTTTAGTTGTTGCTGCTGTTAGTCAGTGTAGTGCCGGGTGAAGTTAAGGCCCTGGCAAAGTATAGGCTGCGCGACTCTGAGTGTGTCAGCTCTCTGTTGCTGCTCCTATGTGAGGTTAACACTACTGCTGAGTATCAGGCAGTGCTTTGGCTATAATGGCCCTGGCTTTTCTCTAGAAACTATAGCGAAAAAGTTGGCTCACTACTGCTGAGTAACAGGCAGTGCTATTAGTCTTTGGGCTGTAGCTGTTGGCAAAAAGTAGGGAAAGGCACTACTGCTGAGTATCAGGCAGTTCTGAGAAGCCCTAGGTCTTAGTAAGCATCTGATTCCCTTCGGGTGGACGGGGTGCGACCTTTGGTCTTGTTTGGTTCGCTTTGGTGTCACTGTTTCAGGGCCCTTATGCCTGCCTTCTTGACTGTCGTGGTGGATCGACTATGTTTTTCAAATTACCAGGGGCACCGGACCATTATTAAGTTAGTGGCGGAACAATAAATTCGTCCTTTTTGACAGAGTAAAAAAGCACTCTAGTTGAGAGGGAGGAAACAAATCAAACCACCAGTGACGACTGGTGGCCGAAAGGGAAAACGCGGCGGCGGCGGCGCAGTGTTCGAGGGAGCGACGTGTTACATCTCGTCAAGCTAAAAAGAGGGAAAACAGAGTGGGAAGGAGTTGCGAGTAAGTAAAGAAGCTAGGCTGGGGAGACCACTTCATGAGATACGGCAGGAGGCCAAGATCCATGGTGGAGGTTCGCCTAAGCAGCCGCACGAACCAGCCTAGACAAAAAAGTAAGTAAGGACGAGAGAACAAACTAACTAAATAAAAACTAAAAAGAGCGTTAGAGGGAACAACAGCGAGAGATAATTAAGAAAGTAACATAAAATAAATGTCGAAGCGGGCGGACGCACTGCGCAAAGCTGTCGATCTAAACGACGACGAGCTGCGCGCCATGGGAGAAGCCGACTCCACGACTAGAAACAAAAAGTCGCGAGTCGCCTTCTTCCTCGACTGGCTAGCGGCCAAGGGTGAAAAGCTACCCGTGAGGCCGGAGGCGGTGCAAAGATTCGCCGCCTTCCTAGTGTTCAATGAATACACCTCAGTCGCGCAGTACACATCCAGCATCATCATGTGGCTGGTAGAACCGCCACCCGCGGATGGCCCGCAGCGGCTAGTCGAAAGCCCCGCCATTCTCCGAAACATCGGGGACGTGGAAAAGGCAATTGAACGAACAATCCAAGACCACAACCCGAGGAAAGCAAAGCCTTTCCTACCGGGTACGAAGCTCGAGGCGCTAAAGGCAAAAGACCAAAAAATGGTCCTCCTTTGGGCGCTATCGGGATTGCGGGGCGACAGCATCGCGGCGGTGGACGACACGGACATCTCCAAAAAAGGAGACGTGTGGCGCATCCACATATCCGAAGACAAAATCCGCAAACAACGCGGTAGGATAATAGAAATCCACTGCAATTGCGACACCAACGCAAAAACAGCTGGTGCACGAAGTCGCTTTTGCCCGATGCACGGCGAAGGCGCTGTTATGAGATCTGATTTCCCATTAGGCAAGGCCAGGATAAGTAGCTTGGCGAAGGGAATTAGCGGCACGCTGCACAGCTGCAGGAGAGGACTCGCATTGGCAACGCGACGCGAGTGGGAGCAAGGGAAAATCTCCGTGAAGGAGGATGAATTCCTCACCCACATGGGCTGGGAACAGTCCAGCAAAATGTGGGACGAGTACACAGCCGACCACAAAACGTGGGAGGCTTCGGAATTCATCCCGCTGCACGGATTGCGCAGGCGGTGGCCCTCGGGGGGGGGTCCACCCCCGCGCGTCTTCGTGCAGCCCAAGGCGGTCCAAGAGGACACCTTGGTCAAGCGGACGATCAAGATCACCCCCAAGCAGAAGCTACAGAAGAAAGGGCGGATTCAACAGAATACCGTTACCAAAAAGGTGACGGCCCTAGCGCCAAAGAGCGCCAGTAGCAGCGGCTCAGGGGCACTCAAAGCAGTACCGGGTACAAAAAACGTACGCACCTGGCGGTTCTGAACCTCCAGTCGTCGGGAAAAGGATGGAAGGCGCACCAAGGAGGCGTCGAGAAAGGATGGCCCAAAGGGCTGGAGGTTCAAAGTGACCTTGTCCCCCAGCGGGGGGACAACGCCTGCTACTGCCGAGGGATTAGCCGCGCACCCGGGCCAAAGCGCCCCGGACCAAAGCGTCCGACGCGAAGAGCGAGCACCCGAAACCTCGCGGGTGCCGGTTGATTGACTCGTAGGGCGACGGTGCACGAACACCGGCCGAGCCGCGAGAGGGGTTACGACACCCGGACGTTGGTGTGCAACTCTCTCTGGGGAGGTAAAGGCCTCCCGCCACGCTCCGTGGCAAATTTATGGGCCGTAGGTGCAACGACCGGCGCCGGCAAAGACCTGGGTCTGCCGAGCCAGCCTACCGTGCTGCCACAGCACTAAAAAGTATAACTCACCAGTAGATTTAGGATCCCCGGGGGTTAAGTCTCCAGTTTGTATATGCACTGGAGGAGCTTGCGGGGGAAGTGATTATACTAACTGGTGAGTTAACTTAGGTGAGAGAAAAGATACGCTCTCTGGAAGGTTCCTGGACGACAGTCGACAAAAAATCCTCCCAGGGGCCAACCAAGCCTAGTCACAAAAAATGACGACTGCCACGCCACTACACGTCAGCCAAGCAGAAATGGAGCACGGCAACGACCGCCGCGAGCTCCATGACGCGGTCTGCAACTTCGTCAATCGGGTCCGAGCACAACTACACTTCGAGACCTACGGCCAAAAGCTACCACTCGAGTGGGAACAACTGATAGCTGCCGAGAAGCTACAGCCGGCAGCGGTAGCCAAACGAAGAAAACAAGCCACCGCCTTGTTCAGACGTCTGAAGACGCAGACGGAGCAAGCAAATGCAGACTTGATAAACGCTACGGCGCCAGAGCACCTAAAAAGGGTGCTACAGACAACCAAAACAAGGAACGTCATCGCAATGAGAAAACTCATCGCATTGACGGGCCATCCGGACACGTCGCTACCGGACGACATCCTCCATGGATTTCAAACAATAGGGGAGTACAAGAGTACTGGCCTTTGGAAGGCAGACGTCAATGCCGCGGAGGCAAAGGACCTCAAAGAATTCTATAGCACCGCGGTAAAAATCCGGGATGCGCCTCCGAAGGGTTTCCCAGAGGAAGCCCTTCGGCAAGTCCTCAAAAACATTGAGGCAGACGTCCAGCTGGGCAGATACAAAGAGATCAATCCAGAGGACCTCAAGGTCATGCCGGCGTACGCCTTCCCAAAGGTCGAACCAGAGAAGGTTCGCGTGATAATCGACGAGCGGTGGAAAAACGACTTCTCAAAAATGTCGGAAAAGGTGAGGCTCCACGGGACGCGAACGGTCCTGGAGATTGTAAAAAGCTACATGGCGCCTGCAGGCGCAGAGGGCCTCACCCTCCACGCACCGGTGACACAGTTCACCACGGATATCTGCGGCCAGGTGGCTAAAGAGGTCGCAGACTTCCGCGCAAAAACAAGCGCAAGCGAAGCCACAACCACCGACGAGCACCGCCAACTCGGCGAGCAGGTGAGGCTCCTCAACGAGGAGAGGATGAAGACCCGCCCGGCAGGTAGAAAGCCTTGCATCGCACTCCGAGACTGGAGCAAGGCCTACTACCAGGTAGGGGTAAAACACCCGGAGGAAAACCCGGTTGGAGTCTGGGACGACACCCAGGGGCGCTACCGCATGTTCCTCGCGGCGATACTGAACATGGGGAACAAGTTCAGCGTCAGCAGCTGGTGTAGAGTGGCGGAGCTGGTCATGAAAATAATGGCCACGCTCGGGCACACAGTAGTGCCAATCTACATCGACGACGCCATCATCCTCAGCCTCGAAGAGGGAGCGGATGAGGCAATAGAGGCATACGAAGCTCTCTGCGACTGCCTGGGGCTGGAGCTCGCGACAAAAGCGACAGCACAGCAGGACTCGAGAAAGAGCCCTATTGTGCGCATACTGGGCCTCCACTACGACACAAGCCCAAAAACGGGAATTGATGTTGTGGTGCCAGACAACATGCTCCAGCAGGTCGCGGAAGTCGCAAACGAGCTCCGGCAGAAAGTGAACACAGGACAGTTGGACAAAAAGGTGGTCCAGCGACTGCTCGGACTGGCAAACTTCATCACCGTGTCCGCGGCAAACAGAGCCGGAAACGAGATCATGAGATCTCTTTACGCATGGACAGAAGACGCCACCTTCGACAAGTTGGTGAAGCAGCGGTGGCAACGGAGAGCCCTCCTGCGCTCCACTGCGGCCATCGAGAAGATGGTCCACAAGGTGAACAGGCTCAGACTCAGGCTAGAACAAATCGTGAAGCCTCTGAGCTTCCTGTTCACGGACGCGTCAACAGATGGCGGGCCGAACGGCGAGCCAACGCTAGGATACGTCATGATCCACCACAGCGGGAAGACCCTCATCCAAATGCAGCCATTAACGGATGGCCGATGGGCCACCGCCAGGATAGAGGTACTGGAGGCGGCCGCGGTGGGCCTCGCCGCAAAGCAACTACCGAGTTGGACCAGCAACTCCGACCTCGTAGTGCTGATCGACAACACGCCAGTACTCTACAACTTCATCAAATGTAGTGGCAAATCCGCGGTGGTGGCAAACACCGCAGTAGACGTAGTCAATCACTGGTACGACAACAATGTCAAACCGTGGTACGTCTACATAAAATCCGAATGGAACCTGGCGGACTACATGACCAGACACGGCAAGCACAAACTGTTCATCAACACCATCCCACGGCTGCAGACGGTTCAGCAGTCCACTGGTGCCCGACTATGGCTGGCTGAACTATGTGAACGCCTGCCGGCCCCTGCTGTCGCTGTCGCTCCGGGAGTTCGTCCCTCCCACGGGAGCGACAAGCGCGGTGGAGGGCGGCAGCCGCCCCGGCACACCACCGACGCGGGCGCTGGCCGGCGGGAGGTCCTGACGCAAACCTGTGCAAAGGCCGGCACACGTCCCCGTAACCCCTCGACGGCGGACGCGAGTCTCAGACCGCCGACTCAAGTCCGCACCAGGAAGCCGGAGCCTGGTCGGGGTCTCCGGAGGAAGGTGCCGGTGAGGAAAGGATAAGGGCTCGGAGCGGTCCATTCACCGCTGGCACGTGTCAAACCGAGACCAGAGGTTGAGCGGGAGCTCAAGCCCCGGTAGTAGGCCGACAGCGCGGGCTGGAGGTTCAAAGTGACCTTGTCCCCCAGCGGGGGGACAACGCCTGCTACTGCCGAGGGATTAGCCGCGCACCCGGGCCAAAGCGCCCCGGACCAAAGCGTCCGACGCGAAGAGCGAGCACCCGAAACCTCGCGGGTGCCGGTTGATTGACTCGTAGGGCGACGGTGCACGAACACCGGCCGAGCCGCGAGAGGGGTTACGACACCCGGACGTTGGTGTGCAACTCTCTCTGGGGAGGTAAAGGCCTCCCGCCACGCTCCGTGGCAAATTTATGGGCCGTAGGTGCAACGACCGGCGCCGGCAAAGACCTGGGTCTGCCGAGCCAGCCTACCGTGCTGCCACAGCACTAAAAAGTATAACTCACCAGTAGATTTAGGATCCCCGGGGGTTAAGTCTCCAGTTTGTATAATCGCAACAGCCCATGCATCACCGCGTAGGCCACTTCTAATAATTCCCGGCACCTACGTCTTCGGCTCACTCTCTCCTGCTGAAGTGTCGAAAATACCAAGAGAAGACACCGCTTGCGAATTTAAGGAGAAGGAGGGTGTTGCCATAGTCATGGAGAAAGAAAAGGCCAAAAAGCACGGCATCAAAGTATCGCCTTTCGAAGCATCATGGATCCAGTTGGATACGTACAGTGCAGTGGAAGCTTGTGGTACTGTGATGTGAATGAGACGAGTGACACTAGAAGGGATTACCGATTACACTCAAGAATGCAAGAGTGCTCTCAATAAAACTCACCAAATTATCGTGCGTTCTTTTCCGTGATCTCACTGACCATGTTCCACTTGCTTCATCAATTCTACTCGTAGTGCAACATCTGCCTGACCACGACTCAGGTCTCACGTCCGTCTTCTCGCGTGCGCTTACCCAAGGCGGTGTTTCCTGTAACATCATTGCTGGCTTTCACCATGATCACCTCTTCGTAGCCAAGGAGGACACGGTGAAGGCGATGAATATTCTTCACGGTCTCGCTTACTTCGCTACGCAGGTGTTGAAGAATGCCCATGAACGGGCAAGAGCACAACAGAAACTAGAACTGAAAGGTGGTGCCGCAAGTGTTGAGGGGGGAGTAAAGCCTGCTACTCTATTGCAACCAAGAAAACGGAGTTACAGTGGAACAGCGGGAGAAGAGGCTGCACCGAATGCGGTCAATAAAAATAAAACATCCTCGTCCACTCCTACAACTATGTCGGGCAGAAACGTAAACGATACTGGCGCTGTACCAAGGCGCTCCTCGTCAAAACCACTGGACACTATACCAGAGAAGAGAAGTACCTCTAAGAGCAACATGGGCGCAACAGGAGTGGGCGGTGAGAGTGGTGGAGACTTGCTCAATCGTTCTAGGACTAGAAGAAAAAGCGTTCCACGTTCGTGGAAATAATCACTTTTTTTACTCGATTTTCATCGAGAGAGTCGTCACCAATCAGAAGTTTTTGAAACGGCTACAGCTCTTATGATTGCCACGCACTGTGTACTGTACTACTATGGGATCGCCCTCCTCACTTCGGACAAGACGTTGGGCGGGGAAGACAAAAGCTGAGCATCGTGGCACAGGAAAAAGTACTTAGGCAAACACAAAATTGACTAGCGTGAAAATAATCAAAACATAAATCATGACCGAAAACAAAAGGCTTGTAAAAGGAGGATGTACAACTTGTAAAGATAAGCGTAGGAAGTCTAAATCTAACGAGAACGATCATGTTGTACTAGATGTCCGTGGGTGAACAACGGGCACTGTTAGAAAATATAAAGATGATGTCCACGACCTCAGCCTCGGTCGTGTGAAGACACCAACGAACCTCCGCCGCCACACTCACTGTGACATGAAGCGGAAGAAATCCAAAGATGGTAACCCTGTCGCTTCGCCCAAGCAGACGAATTTTTTTTACATGTTGGAGGTTCATCCTCTGGTGCCGTGTGTCAGCTAGCAGCACTACACGATCACGACTTCAACACCTACATATGGGGAAGAATCCAACCACTACATCTACTTCTACAGCAAATCAGAGTGAAGGAATCGCGCTTGTCCAGAATCACAAAGCGAAGACTGCTCTGCGTCTAAATCGTCAAGACACTTCTACAACTAGGCGCTCTGCAGCTCAGCAGGCACCACCAAACAATGCCACAGCGAGCAACGCAACTAGTGTCGTAAAGAACAGTACTACAACTCTTCTCACCGATCCCACTGACAAATTTCTTGGTCGCTACGTCGCGGATGTCTATGGTGAAGTGAAGATCACGAAAGCCGGTTACTCCGTTGAAGGCCAGGAGGTCTACGACGATGATGCAGAGACTTTTCCGAATTTTTATGGTAGGTGCATTCGAGAATTACAAGTGGAAGTGAAACTTTATAATTTAGACTACTTGAAGTCGGTATACGACGATGATGCAGAGACTTTTCCGAATTTTTATGGTAGGTGCATTCGAGAAGTACACGTGTAAGTGAAAGTTGCATTCGAGTACAAGCAAGTGGAAGTGAAACTTTTATTTACTACTTTGAAGTCATGCTCATGAGGACCTAGAAACTTTTATTTAAACCTTTCTTCATCTGGAAAAAAATGGCAGTAGTAGCTGCGTCTGCGGCGATTCTCTTAATATTTACTAGACTACAACTTGAAGTCATCAAGATCAATGCATATGGTCGCCCTTGAACGAACTTCCATGTTCCTGAGGACCTAGGATTATGAATAGGATGATTCGATCTTCGAAGCAACTCGTGGTCTGTGTCCTTCTAAGATTCAGCCGAAGACGTAGTACCAAGTGCCGACTTGTGGGTATGGCGGTGTGCGCCAACGGGATGGTATCATGCAGATACGATCTATCGTATCCTGACCTCACACGACACGTCCAAGATCACTGGTATTTGAGAGAATTTATTCTTGAAAGTTGCTTGTACCTGAGATGAATTGGTGTAGTTGTAGTTACAAAACTAACATTTTCTAAGCTGTTTCAATCCTTGTTTTTGATTGCGACGAGGAGAGGAATTAGCCTTGTTCTTGTACTCGGCTCTTTCTCCGATATACCTACGTGGCATAAGTAAGCAAATAACGTATGATTGACTCCTGGTCAGGTATCACCGGCGACATGCAGCGTTCGGCCCCGGACGGCGCACTGGCTAGCGCAGAACAAAGCCGCTACTCTGTCGAAATCGCAACCGACAAATACGATAACAAGTTCATGTTCTTGGGGAGCGATAAATTTTATGGGCGAGAAGGATTCTGTTTCAGTATCAGTTTCAGATGATTGACTGCAAGAACTACTCCTAACTTGGTTGAGACGTCGTAGTAATCTCAACATACTCCTAGTACTTCTCTATCTGCTGAATAGAGATACCACTGCTGCCAAGTAGCCATCCCCTTTCTACCACTCCAAGTGAGTGATTCAACAACATTGATTCCCGAACAGCCCCTGTCCATGATGAACACGTGAGCCCCCGTCCATGACTTTGTGAAGCTTGCGAAAGAGATCGTCTATCCTGTGACTGCGATGTTGCAGATGAAGAGCATGAGGAGCGCGGTGTCAAGATCAGCCGCGTCTGGATCTAGTCTGGTGGCACAGCAAAGTAGTAAAAAGAAGACCGCTACAGGAGCCCTTCGAGGATCATACGTCGATTGTTCGTCGAAACCTCAGTTAAGAGAGCACCTTCCTTGTTCCCTCTAATCTACCACAATGTAGTAGAGGGAACAAAAGGAACAACAGATATGAATTCATCATTTCTTCTAGAGAGATCATGACGCTGAAAATGGATGAAAAATTGAAGGTTTATGGTGCTCTCTTAACTGAGGTTTCGACGAACAATCGACGTATGATCCGCTGTACCTGTAGTATAATCTTCACTTCATCCTTCATCTTTTCATCTATTTTCAGCGTCATCTCTAGAAATATTCATATCTGTTCCTTTTGTTCCCTCTAATCTGCTACCTGTTCGCCATGGGTTGTTTTTGGTGTGCAGAGGAGTCATTGCGACAGCACTTTATAGCCTCTGATGCTTGCGTTGGGGAAACGATACAGTCAGGCTTGGTTGGTCCCAAAGACGATAGCGTGACATATGACCATCACGATCCTAGCAGGTAGTTTTTTCTTAGTACACTTTTAAGATGACCGGCGCTATGAAGAAGCCATCATGTGGGTTTCCCTATCTAGCAACTCTCTTGTGACTCTCTTGTAACAATGCAGAGCGTTTCTAAGGTCGGCGCGCTTTTGTTGCGTGAGTTTTATCTGCTACTGCTGACGGCATGGCTGCGCGACTGATGTGCGAGGAAGAGGCGACGCGCCTCTTCTTGAGAGGGCGGAGGGGCGGCCTCCAAATGGGCTGTCGGGCTGTCTGAATTTATACTGCCCGGCACCGCTCGCGCACTCCCAGCGCGCTCTTGCGTGTACTTAGTCCTGGGAAGTTTCAGACAGGACGACTTTCTCTTACACTTTTAAGATGACCGAGGCTTCGTCCTACTACTCTCTCGCTTTCCTTTTCCATCCGACGCAAAAAGTCATGCGAATGTCAAGTATAATGTCACAACACGACGATCGATCATGATCCCCTACTAAGATTTTTCCATAACACCAGGTACACCGAAGCTATTCGCTTTCGTAGCTCGAAGCCGATTCGACCGGATGTGCTATTTGCGTTTTGGACCAATGTGGACCCGTTGAATGGGGAAGGACAATTTTTGGTCAATGGTACTGGTTATCGAAGTGGCATCTATCTGGAACCAGTGGGAGATTTACGGAGAAAGAGTTTGATTTTTGAGATTTGGATTCTGGTCGAACTTCTTTTTCTTTCATGAGAGACGGATGACATCAAACTATTCCTTAAGGGTGAGTTTAGGTAAGACATCAAACTATTCCTTGAACAAACAACGTTAACGTCCTGCTTGATGTACAACCACCACACCGACAACAAAGCTGTTGAAGCGCTAAAACACACCGCGACCTCGACTTCCGGAGGGAATACAGAAGGATGTGGAAATTCGACATCCTCGACTGCGACCAAGCAAATTTCCTGCAGTAGTACGTCCAAAGAATCTAGTACATCGCAATCGCTCACGCAAGAAACAGCCGACCATAGCGTGACTGAGGTCGCCAACGCGCTTCAGGTCCCAGTAAACAACATCAAAACATTCGTGGACACACTGGATGCACAGGAAAACGTGTTTCATCCAGTGGAGGAATCACATTAAGACTTCTGGAGATCCATCTTCAGAAGCATCTTGGACCTCCGTCTGAGGGGGTAAACGGGTCCGGGATGAGTTTCTAGATGGATTCCGCGGAAAAGTCTAATCACGACAGAACTACTTCGGGAAGCATCCGGATGAAAATCCTCGAGAAAACGGAGCGAGGTGGAAGCGATTAGAAGCATTGTGGACACCGGAACGAAAAAAACTGTTGATGGATGCGTTGAAAATATGAACATATTTATATAATTCCAAGAAAAAGACGTCATTGTGTGATCGTGAAGAAAAGGAAAGAGTTGCATCATCTAGATGATAAACGAAAATGTACTTGCGCAACAACTACATTGCTGGAACTAGTAAACATGATGGAGTGACTGTTCCGGAAATTTTTTTGAGTTGCTTAGTCCCTGGTTGTGGTGGTCAGCACAGACGGTCGGGCCATTTTGTAAAGAATCGAAGAACATCCGTTGTAAAGAATGTAGGCGCATATCCGCTAACCAAATTTTCATTGGTTGTATCATCTGGTTCAATAAACCCTCATCTTCTGCGAACGCCAGAGAGACTGTTATCTTCTGTCACCGGGTCCGAGCCGGATGTCAAATTCTGTTGTTGAGAGAGGCAGCCTAGCTGCTCTAGCGTCATTTGATTTGAGCAGAGAGAGAGAGTACGTGCTGGATGAAGTAGAAGGACAATTGATGAGTCGTATTGAAGTGGAAACAGTCGTAGTTGGTCTGTACGACCGCTCATCATTCTTTTCATCAATCTGTCGCACTGGCACTTGATGTTGCATTATCCTGGTGGGAGAGCTTGAACTTGATAATGGCGTTGTGAAAAACTAAGTATCTGTTTGAGGGATCAACGATCATGAAAATCTGTGAAGAGAGCACGTGCAGCCAAAAGCGTAACACCTTTCATTTTTGCCTATGATAGGGATAGCTATGCTTCATCTTCTGTCCAACTTTTCTCGCTACAACTATTAAGCGGAAGCTCTCTGATGTTTCTAACAACTTCTTGCAGCTCATAATTAGTAACTTGAATGGACAAATAATTGAAAGTTGAATAATGACTTCCCTCTTTTCATCGCGCGTAGTACTGCTTACAACTGTGGGTAACCCCCTTGTCCTTGTTCGTATTCAATAATGCATTACCTTTAGAGTTTGATTGTGCGACTTTATCTTCCTATCTTCCTTCACATTTGATAGCACCGACAAGTGCCACAATTGTGCTCTTGATAACGCCAGTTCTTTGCACCTCCTTGCCAACACCTCCACCAATTGGCTAACCGCTTCCCTATTATCTTCCGTTTACAATCCCTTTCTTACTCTACTCTTCAGTCTGAACGAAAAAAATGGCGTCGTCACCCTCGCCTTTGCATGAAGATCTCGAAGCGGCTTCGAAACGGGATATATTTGGCGTGTTGGAAGAGGGACAACGACAATCCGACAAAATCAAAATGGTGGATCATTCTGAAGAGAAAGATGTAGAAGCTGAACTGAGACGCCTGCTTGTTGCTCAAGAACAAATCCGCTCCAACATGGACGAGCTTGTTGTACTTGTTCACAACAGCAAGGAGGTGAACAGCAAGGGTACTATTAATATGGTAGGTTGTGGAGCAGTCTATGGTTGTTTCTCACCATTATCAAGCGTAGCAACGTCAACAACAGCAGCAAATGATAGAAGAAGCTCTAAAATTGCTGCTCGCATTGTTGACACTAGTCCTGCCACTAGTGGTTTCTCGTCGGCAGCTCCACCACCGCTCTCTTCTTCTGCCACCACTGGAGCATCTTCAGTAGCGGCCTCATCTGCAACGCCAACAGGAGATAAACAACAGCAACAAGAAGAAGCGTCCTCAACATCTTCATCCGCTCTACCTACCGTCAGCGGACATCAAGATAGAAATGGAGTGCTTCCTGGAGAAAATGGACCCACACAAGCTGGTGGGCAGCAGCTTCATTTACGTCGATCTCGACGGTTGGACGATCAGGAGAAGGAGGAGGAGGAAGAACAGGAACTAGGTGGGATGCGTTCGCCAGGTGAACATCCGGGACGTTCCCCCAAACTATTGGCTCTGCGTAGAAGCGTTCAGGATCGGGGAATGACATTGAGAGTGTCTACTTTGGGCGGGTATGTGACTACTGTCTATAGTGGTACTAAAGGAGGTGAAGATGGGCCAACGAGTAAGAAGCCTGCTGTTGCAGCTACGTCGACTTCGAACGACACAGGGAAAGAAGTAGGGGACGAGGAGGACCGTCTTACTCTCACTTTTCCAAACTACACGTCAAAAGAAGAAGTGGTCGTGCTGCTTGAAAATACGGACACTGGGAATGAAAAGGAGACTGAACAAGAACAAATATTGTTCCTCAGAAAGGAAGATGAAGACGTCCTGCTAGATGAAGAACCAATCATGGTCTCGCAAGAACGGCGGGAGAACGACAATGAGAGACCTAGAGCCGCAGACGATGATAGACCTAAAGCAATGGACGACGAAGAAGTAGAGAGATTCTCTTCAGCTCCTGTCGAAGAGGACATGATTATCTTCATGCCTGCTCCTGGAGCTACTGCGTCCTCTCCCAGAACGCCTCCTGGTGCTGCACCAGCTGGTGGTGCGCCAGCTGTCGAAATACAAGACCATATTAATGGTACCCGATCTTCTATCGAAATCGAAGAAGTTGCCCTTTCGATACTGAGCGAGAAATATGGAAGTGGATCCATCATGGTCAATGAGGAGGAATCGCCTGGTGGGATAACTACAACTCCGGATATTGAATTTGGAGGTGTACAGCTGCAAGAGCAAGAGCTTCCCAATAGTAATATCACTGCTCCTTCTGATCTTCGTCCTGTGGCAGACGAGAACAAGAAGCGCCAGTCTTTCTCCGCGATAAGTGCCAGTTTAGGGAAGGCTTTTGGAAAAAACGAAGAAAATCTAGCTGTCGAGGAACAAGGTGGAGGCATGACCTTCCTCCATAACCAGGACGAAATTGCTGTAAGGGCTGCCTCGATAAAGAAAGAAGTGTTGGCAGAACTGAGGTTGCTGAGGCAAGTTGAACATGAAGTTGATGACGAACAAGAGCCTCTACAACCATCTGAAGATGAAGTAGAAGTGTCCTCATCTAGTAGTGAAGAGACAAATGTCACAGGGACGCCACCAGATCTGGATGATCTTTTGGATGTTGAAGATCAGGCTGCTGATGCAGGAAACGGTGATCTAGCAGATAAGAATGAGAATCTAATATTTGATGACGTTGACCTTATCCTGAGCAAAGTAGCTGGTGGATCGGCTGCTAGTGGAGCATACAGCATTTTCATACCTGCTGAAGAGGATGATGGTCGGGATCTTACCACGTTCACAGGGCTGAAAACAAATGGCGTCGTGGTGGGAGATGAGTTTGTTGCAGCAGAAAATGAAGTAGAACTGCATGGTGAAGACTTGCAAGCGAGAAAAAGTAGAGCTTCGTCTAAGGGCAGAATTTCTCTACCAGTGATGGGCGACGTCGATGACAGACTAGTAGCTGCAGCCGTCGTCTTGGCACCACCTGAGGCCGAAGATGTGGACGAAGTTGAAGCCGTGCTGCCGGCACACCAGCAGGACCTTGGAGCCCCAGAAAATGATAGCAATAAGTTCACTGCGGATTACCTCTTAGATTTATACGCGGCTGCACGTGAGTCCGCCAGATTGCGGGAGGAGATGGAAAAGAAATATGAGCAAGATCGTCTACTCCAAAATGTAGATGATGTGCAGCAAGAAAAGGACAAGGTGGAGCAGCCAATTGGAGAGGTAGTCCGACAAGAACAACCGGAAGGATCAGGCAAGCATTCTCGCAATCACAGCGAATCTACTACTAGAAAAAGTGGTATAATGCAAGATAGCGACGCTGAAAACAAGAATACTAGTGGGCGAATTTGTGAGACCGCAGAAAACTTGGTTGATACTGCGCAGCAACTGATCCAAGGCATGGGAGGTGACTTGGAGGTGTGGGCTGCGACAACAAGTAGCGTTTCTGAAGGTCAACAAGGAGTAGGAGATCCTTCAGCTTCACGACTCACAGAACCCCCCGTTGTAGGCTTGGAAGAAAATAATGTTGGACAGGAGAAAGCTCTGCTCTGGCAACCTTCATCTACAACAGCGCCTGAGGGTGGTGGAGACGATAAAGCTTCGTTCTGGCGTGGCGCTTCAGTTTCGGGATTAGTTCGGCCTGATGAACTTGAACAGCAAGAACTACAACAGCGCGAGCAAGTAGAAGAGGAAGAAACAACATCAACAAGCATAATCGAGGACATCAGCAACCTCAACAACATCAAGTTGCCACCAGCACTAAAAACTACTAAGAAGCCGAATAAGATGATCATATCATCATCGAAGGCGCCGTACTCTCACGGGCGAGCTTTTGACACCATAGCAGAAAACGAAGGACGAGAGTCAATTCCTTACATCCCTGGTGAAGATGCAGAGGCAGTTGTCGGACTTGGAGCTCCAACTGATGTAGTAGTTCCCGAAACTGTAGACGCGGATGCAGAAGTTCGTAGAACTTCTCAACAATCACTATCTGGTCGCAGACAAGATGAAAATTTGTATCCAACGGTATCAGTACTACTTCGTGAGCTCGAGGCAAATAACAAAGACAAACAAGAAGAAGTAGAACAAGAACTACTCCGTAGTTTATTGTCTAGAGACGTCGAACCAGAGCATAATTGTTCAGTACAAGAACTTATGGCACCTTCATCTGTAACGGCACTACATCTGCCCACAACTTCTTCCGGAGACGAAGAAGCCTTTATGGACCTTCATGAAGAAGACGATGAAGATGATGTGAAAGAAAGAGAAGCTCGAACTTCTGATAATCCTGTGGCAGGTAAAACTGTAGTGGCAGGTACAAGAACTAGAGGTAGTTGTAGAAGGAGTGTAGTTGTAGCTGGAACAAGAAAAAGCCTTTCTGCATCTGCTACTTGTCCTACCACAATCGAAGAACAAGGTCCTCACGACGGTACTAAACAAACGGCTGCGACTGTCCTAGAGAAGCCTTTTGAAGGAGCTGGGGGAGTCGATGTTGTAGAAGAAGTACATGATGGCACGAACGTAGTGCATGAGAGCAACAGCAAGATCTTCGAAGCCGTTACACCAAGCACCATCTTCATCGCTGCTGACGAGACTGTAAAAAAGGAAGCAACTCCTCCAATTGCAGATGTTGATGAACACGGCGAAGACGAGATACCTCGTAAGAGCAAACGCATAGTGCTCGCGGGTATGGAAGCACGACGAACAATCGTATTAAATCTTCATGCGGGACTGCTTGATGTCGTGCATAATCCTTATAGAAAGGAGCCTCAAAAATCTTCAACCTCAAGAACCACCTCTGCACAACCTTCAGGAGATTCCCTTGTCCTAGATGTGGAAGCGATTACCAAGAACTCTCTGTTGGCGTCACCTGCTGGTGCCGAGGATTTTTTAGAAGATATCGAGCAATTCGCTCACCAGATTCTTGACCCAGATGCGTCTTCTTCTTCCTCTGCCTCCTGTGGATCGGGGAATATTACGCCACTGCACCTTTTCTTCAGTGAAACGGCAGAAAACCAAGCAACTACTGATACGGAACTATCAGTTGTATCTAGGACGAGTTCAACAAGCAAGATGACTAATTATACGAGTAAAAATGGTGATGAGCTGAAGCTGAACAAGAACAACAACGTCAACAATGAGGATATGAACGCTAAAAAAGGCTACTTCACCGAGGACTTTTCCCAGACTCGCTCGTCGACAACTCCTCATGTGCATCCGGAACAGGGAAGACGATTACAGTCGGAAAACGGGAATGCATCTTTCGCGCGCAAACGTATTTCTTCTAGACCACGTCGTCGGAGGACAAGTGCCGACAATATTAATTCAGAAAATACGACTAGTACACCAGTATCTCCCTCGACATCTATCATGGCTCGAGCAAGAGAATTCATGCAAAAATTGCCGTCGGCTGCTACGCCTAGTGCTGGAAGTGCAGTCACGAGTACTACTTCTAAACGAGATTCATCTTCCAGTAGTCCGTCAAGAGCATCTGCTAACGAATCAACTAAAAAAACTACGAAGGATGAGGTAAATAGAGTAGTCCGCAAAGGTGCCGCGGTGGAAGTTGTCGCGAAAGAAGACCCGCCTCCGCCACCTTCTCGTAAGGAAAAAGACGCCAGTAAAAGTAGAACAGCTTCCAAAGAGCATCTCGTAAGGCTTTTCAAGCGTGTTAAAAAAGAGTCAGATAGTGCAAAGGATAGTAGTCCATGTCCATCTGATGAGCTCCATAGATGGAAGTCTTCATCTCCTTCTTTTAGTACAAATACTGGGTCAACATCTACTTCGGCTTCGCGAAGAAGTGCAGCTGGTAGTAACAAGCAGCAGGAGCCTTGTTACTCCTCCAGCGCACACCAACTTCCGTTTTCGGCTGGCCTTTTTGGTGGCTCTTCATCCTTACTGCAAAATGCAGCGGTTTTTCGACCTGCAGCTCCTCCTTGCTCCAATGCAATGAATGTAGTACAACCTCCACCTGATGAAGAACAACATTGTCTGCAGGAACCAGTAATACCGATGCTTGCTGCCTCTATGGGTGCGGCAGCGTCTAACTGCAACCCATACGTTTCTGCAACGCCCTACTCTCGGTCTCCAAATTCTACCTTGCAGCACAATTCTACAGTGGGTTCCTCAAGGCCTACTTTCTCCCAAGGACAGTCTATCTTCTCCTTGTCGTCGTTTGTGCGGTCCCTTCCGACGCCATCTCCTCTCCTGCGATCGGTCCGAGCCAGGCAAATGCAGGCACGGACAGACCTGGCCATTGTCGACAACGTCCTGCAGGTGCAACAGAGAGCAGTCGCAGCAAACGTTCTCATGCTGGGTACTAGTCACTTTATTGCTCCCCTACCAGCGACATCCTCTGCGTCGCCAGCTGCAGTCGACGCTCGTGATGATCATAAAGATGACGGTGGTGGTGAAGATGAAAACGACGACACAACTAAAACTGCGGAAAACGACGACACAACTAGTAAAGCTGCGGATGAACCTGTTGAAGAAGACGAACGAGGTGGCGGAGGCGAACAAAGGAGAAGACGCTCCCCATCTACGTACAAAGTAGAAGACGTACAAGTACTAGAACAACGAGTAACTAGAAATGATATTACGCTTCCTAGTACTCGAGATGACCAGCCGTCTGCTATTAATTTCGCTGTAGGAGGAGCTGAGGCTGACGTTGAGGTGAAACTGGAACTGGCTGAATCGCCATCAACCTTTCGCACCACCGAGCAAAGAACAGCCTCACTTCTCGTAGATACTCAACATCATGAACCTCTTCGTCGACCAAAAAGTGCAGTTCTTGTGCCGAAAACGATCGAAGTCAGGGAAAGCGCGGCTATGATGGAATCGTCGAACACTGACGAGAAGAACGTTGATGGAGTTGAGCGTGAGTATGTATCCATGGGAGATGGAGATCTAGCTGTAGAGGAAGATGAAGAAACTGAAACTTTGCAGATAGCTGTCGGACAAGGAGAAGGACCTTGTTTGGAGATGGGAAGTGCAGCTGAAAATTATATGGTTGACGATGCAGCTGCTCGTCCTGCTGGTGAAGGGCTTCTAGTTGCAGCTGATGATGTTGCGTCTGGTGCAGAAACTCGGCTCCTGCAAGAAGTCCAGCCTGAACCAGAAAAAGTGCAAGAGCTTCTTCAGGACAGTGCGATCATGAACGCAGGCGAATATCGAAAGAGTGTTTCTACAACTTTGCCGACTAGATCATCTTCCATAGAGCAGGATCAAACTCTTCAGGAGACCTTGGACGGGAAGCGTGAAGCAGTGAGTGTCGTTGAAAAGCAGGAGGTTCCTAGGAAGTCGATTTCTATAGCGGATCTTGGTACTAGTAAAAACGACGCTGGACTTGCCGCAGATGCAGGCACCTCCGTAGTTGTGCTGGGCTCCATGTTGTTGCAGAACAATACTGTAGAGCAAACGACATTAAATGGAGACCAGCTGCACACACTAGAAAATGCCGCTGAAAGCGTAAGCAACGAAGTCAAAGTTTCCGATATCGAAAGGAGAAGTTTGTCAAAATTTGACGAACTGCAGTCACAAGAAAAGGTTGTTGCGGAGAAACTGCAACTCCTGCAACCCCAGGCACAGGCCACGGCGGTCGAAAATAGAGTTGTTTCCTCTTCCGAGGTCCCTTCTGAATCACGACCATCAAAATCATCATCGCCAGCGCCAGAACCTTCTAGCTCTTCTATATCTCTTTCAACTTCTACACGAGCATCCACATCCATCCGGCAACTGCAGCAAGTAGAGAGTGCTTCATCCAGAAGTGATCATGCTCTTGGTGCGTTGGAGGATAGAAGCCCAGTGCCAGTCGCAGCACCAGCAGTAGAACAACCTCCTGCAGCGCGAGCTGTTTTTGAAGAAGCTTCTACTCCCATAGTTGTGCAGAAAAAATCCGCCTCCGTACTATCCGTTTTAGGTAGTTCTAAATCCGTTTTAGATATCGAACCCGTTGAAAGAGAACGAGAAGAACGAGTTGCAACTGCAAGCACAACAAATAAAGACAGGAGAGAGCAGTTCCTAAAGGCTGGAACTGAAGCACGGCAAATGATTGTTTTGAATCTGCATGCAGCAATGCTTGACGTGGTCGCAGACGTAGTAGACACGACCTCCGTAGCAGGCGGGCAAACATCATCTTCACAGAATAAACTAGAACTAGTCCACCTCGCAGACGTAGACACGACCGTAGCAGACGGGCAAACATCATCACAGAAACTACAGACTGTGAAAAGAATCATCGATAATGCTCCACCTGCGGACTCACATGATGGTGAGCAATATGCCCATGCCATTGTGGATGCAGACTGTGTGTCATCCTCATCTTCATCATATGGAGGGGATCACGGTGGAGGTGAAGATCATGGGACTACAGTTATGGTAGTAGTAGATCCAGAAGCTTCGAAAAATAAGGACAACAAGGTGATGAATCTTCTCGTGAATACGTCGATTTCCGGCGCTGCTGTAGCTGTTGGTGAAGAAGCAGTTGAAAAAGGCCAAGTTCCTGAAGATGTAGTGTCGAACACGGCGAATACTTTTACTTCCTCTTCCGCAGGAGGTGTAGGCGATGATGTTGAGGGCACCACATTTTCCCTAGTAGAAGAGCAGTTGTCGCCTTCGAGGAAAAGCAACTCAGGAGCAGGGGAAGAAGTGGTTGTAGCGGGAACTAGCTTAAGTTCAGCTGTTGTGGACGAAGAGGAGCAAAAAGTTGCTCAAGAACTACAAGCGACGTCGACCGCCAGTGTTGCTTCGACAAGTAAACAACAAGAAGCACGACGACATCAACCACAACCACGGACAAGCGCAGGCAAGAGTACTGTGGAAGACGAGGGAGTAGAACAGAGTGCTAGTCTGAACGCTGCTGTTACAAGTCCAAGTGCAGATGATGAGCAGGCGCAAACATCAAGCCCTGGAACTGCAGCTACTACAGATGAAAAACCAGTAGAAATACGAAGTAGCGACACGACCACCCCTGCTAAAGACGAGGAGAATCCCGCAGCTACTACAGATGAAAAACCAGTCGAAATACGAAATAGCGACACGACCACCCCTGCTAAAGACGAGGAGAATCCCGCAGCTACTACAGATGAAAAACCAGTGGAAATACAAAGTAGCGACACGACCAGCCCTGCTAAAGACGAGGAGAATCCCGCTGCAGCAAGAACTGACTCGACGAGAAGTTCGATGTTCTCAGCAGCTGCAACATTGCATATGGCCGCTGATCATCAGCAAGAGATATTCATCTTTCGACCACCGGAACCGCAAGGACCTGAAGATGAATCGAGCCAAAGTCCAGTCTTAGAAGTTGCTCCAGTCTTAGAAGATGAACTTCTTGTTAGCAGTGGTCCTGCACTTCCGAAAGTAGAAGCTGCCGATGCTCATGTACTTGCGAAAGTAGAAGCTGCCGATGCTGTTCCGATTGCGACAGAACCGCCCGTTGACGAGTCTGTAGTTTCGGCGGAGAAGGTTGAGCAACCTGCTTCTCCTGACGATGTGAGTTTAAAGTGTCGTGAGGACCTCGAAGAAGACCGTTTGGGAGCTCCAACCTTACTCCGTGATCGGGAAGCCGAAGGCTCGCAACGAGGTTCAATCGGCAGCACAACATTGGACGGTGGAGAAGACGAGTATGGCGTAGTTGAAATGTTGAGCCAGTTATCTACGTCTGGCGTGAACAAGAAGCGGCCTGCTCTTGAGGTTGTTCAAGAGGAGCCTGCTGGCCCTGAGGCTGTTCAAGAGGAGCCTGCTGGCCCTGAGGCCGTCGAAGAAGATAATGAAGATGGGGTAAGAGGAAAAGTAGATACAACTGATACTGTTGAAGAACAAGGGATCATTGGTACAGCAGCTAAAACTTCTGGTACATCGACTAGTCGAGGAGCAGAAGAACAGCAAGCAATTATCGTTACGGATCTTCATATGCTTGGTCAAGCTCCTCCACAAGCTGAAGTTCCTCAAGCTCAAATACTTCCTCGTGCTCAAATACTTAGTCCTCAAGCTCCTCAAGAACATCAAGTCGCTCTCGCTGCTCCTTCTTTCATTGCACATGAAGACGATGATCACCATGATCTACTAGAAGGACAATCTAAATCTTCACCTGCAGCTGCTTCTTCTCCGTCTGCTGTCCAGTCAGTTCAGAATAGAAGGACTTTTTCGGTCTCGGTCAGGGTTCGAAACTCTCTACCTGCTCCTATTTTGCCCGGTTCTCGAAATAGTGCTCCTTCAAAAATTTCTCTGCCTGGAGATTCTAGTTCTAATGGCAGAAGAAGAATTTCAGCACCGGGACAGCTTTTCGATGCCAGTATTAGAAGAGCAGAGGAAGAAGCAGTTATGCCTCTACAACCCGGCGTAGCAGTACAACTACCTCTTTCAAATCAGGCTTCAGTCGTACCTAGTCCAATCCCCTTCACAACCACCAGTAAACCCGCCGCGAGAGGACGCGCAAGTGTAGGGCCACTATTTGCGAGTGCGCATGGTTCCCCGATTGATGTCGAAAAGAAGTCTTCATCTCTGCGTGTGAGAAAATCCGTATCTTCGCTTGATACACATGAACAAGTTCATCTTAGCAAGGAGAATTGTCGTGCAGCTGGACAACCAGAAGACCTAGAAGTGGATCGTGGCAACCTCAGCGACTCAAGCGGCCACGAGTCAGATGGCAACCCTCGAGCAGACGCAGCTTCGTACAGGGCGGGAGGAGCAACGGAAGTTATCCAGTTCGGCGACCGAGATGTCACCTACGGTAGCACGCTAGTGAACGAAGACGAAGATGATGAAGGAGCAGAAGGAGTGGTAAATGAAGGACAGGTAGTAGGGGGAGAAGTACTTCTAGCTGTGGCAGCTGTTGATGCTGATCCACTATCAGTTGTTGGTTGTAAGCCTGTAAGTGTACTAAAAAGAGCTGTTGGAGATGATCATGCAGCCCCTCTGTCTTCTTCTGCTCGTCCTTCCTCTATTTTTTACGCGCCTCCCGGCACAACGCCGTTCGCCAAAGGGGAGACAAGACGGTCTCAACGTTTGTCTCGGCAGCGTGAACACGCAGAGGCTGAAAAGGAAGCGGAAAAAAGAGAAGCCGCTGCTACAATCCAAAGAAGGATGCGAGAGCGAAAACGAAGACTGGAACGTCGTGAACATGGTCCTGGTCAAGAGCAGAATCACGGACATGATCAGCAACAGAATCTTAACGGACAACACAATGATCAGCATCAACAGCATCCACATCATTACAAACGTGGGAGCGGCGGAGGAGGACGAGGTCATAACTCTGCTCACAAACGAGGACATAGAGGAGGCAAAAATAAACACCACGTCGCTGCTCAGGGGGCATCTCAGTCCTCTCAGTTCGGTCAACAACATTATTATAGGAATACAACTAGTTCAAGAACGCAAGAACAAGAGCAAGATAATGCTTCTTCAGGCGAAGAGGAGGACCCAGTAGTTGCTGAATACGATGAAGAAATAGTTCCATCACCAACCAACAACAAGAGGAACGACAAGCTTCCTCCTTCGTCCTCACCGATAGGTGCAAGCCTCCATCAACGTGGGACGAAGTCAATGCAGGAGCGCAAGCGTGAGTCAAGTCGCATGCTGGAAGTGAAACGAAAATCTGAGACGCGTGGTGAAAACTACAAGTTTGATCCTCACGGTAGACAGCAAACTTGGGAACGCTACGGTCTATCACCTTCAAGTTCTGGAGTGCAACTACTTGTAGAAGACCAAAAGCAGGATTCGCAACAACTTGTAGTAGCAGAAAACCAAGTTGAAGTTGTAGATCAAAATGTTGATGTTGATGTCCAACCTCCAGTAGAAGTGGTGAAAAGAAACCAAGTAGAAGATGAAGCTGTAGTAGATGTAGTGAAACAGAAATATCAAGCTGAACCTGCAGTAAAGACCAAGCAAGATGAAGTTGTAGTTGTACCTGTAGTAAATAAGAACAATCAAGTTGTAGCGAAGAACAGGAGCCAAGTACTACTAATTCAGGAAGAACAAGAACATGAACATCAACTCGTCCAAGCAGAACAGCAAGCCCCTCCAGATGCACAAGGTGGACCCCTTGTAGTCCCATTACAAAATATGGAAGCACAAGCACTAAGAGCTGAGTCTACTGTCGTTCAAAATCCTGTTGCTCAGAATGCAGTTGCTGCGCTTCCAGCTGACATCGCCACGCCGAACGGCTGCCCAATGGAGGCGAACGAGGTAGAGAAGCTTCCCTTTGACGAAACGGATACCGAGACTGAGTCGGCAAATAATTGACGAAACTGACACAGAAACTACAGAGCCGGCGAATAATTAACCCGCAAGATAAAGCCCCTGCCCAAAGACGGGCGACTAATTATGAACATGCCCCAACTCCAAGTCCAAGAGATGCAACCAACAAGTATAGGTAACCTCCACGTCGACATCTAATAAACAGGCATAGAGATAGATCTTCCAGATTTTTCTCTTACTCTCAATCAGATAACAAATACTTAAACAGACACAGATTCATAAAGAGACACATATTTAACCAATCAAACAGAAACTGACTCTCACAAGCAAGCAGAAAACACAACAGTCACGTTGCAAAATGTACTGACAAATTTGACTTTCTAACTAAAATTATCGTTCATCCCCTGTGATGTATTTCAAGGGAGGCGCAGAACCAGAAGCTACCAAGATTGGTAACTTTTTTTGCACGTGGTTATTATCATTCAAGTAGTTGTTGTAATGAAAACGAACGGTTTGAAACTAATAATTTTCTAGTAGAGGGCAGAAAGAACGCACCCAGGGACGGTCAGGATCATGACATGTTTGTCAGCCTCCTGTTACTAGAGCAGCGCTTATATTGGCGGGAAGGCATCCCTATCGAGTCCTCACTAGTGGTGCTGGCTGCAACGTTGCAGTGTTCACTAATAGATTTGCGGTTCGTGCCAAGTGTAGTGTGCAGTGATGTAGCAAGAAGATGAAGAATCTGTCCAGAGTGAAGCCGATCTGTTCGTTGATTATCTACCTACCTGGATATTCTTCGGACATTTTGGTGACTCGAGGGTCGCCTTCGTAGGAAACCGATTGAGGTCTCGAGTGAGCGTCTCTGTCATGTGAGAAACGCGAGACTAGCGGTTTCCCTTCAAACGCTACAACGTTGCAGTGTTCGCTAATAAATGAGCGGCTCGTCCTCCGAGACGAAGGGAAGTAAGTGTATATGTGCCTCTTAATACTTTCTGTGTAAGTGTGTGTGTGTGTGTCTGTCGAGATTTTCTGTCTTGAAGTCTTGCTGCTCCTCGTGTGGTCGCGCAATTGTTTACTTCTTCGAGCGAGAGTGCCATTGACTATACGAGCCTACCTGTGGTGCTTGGACGAGAGAGTCTGTCTGAAAGTTCGTCTGTTTCCGCACACGTCTTGGTTCTGGGGTCTATGTATTACATAAAGAGTAAGCGTAAGGTTGTCTCATACATAAAGAGTGATGCGGGCTTCTGGTGAGGGATCGTCCTGTGGTTCATCTGTAGTATATTAATGAGCTTGAGTTGAATGGCTCCTGGAAATTATCCTGTTCTCTGCTTTTGAAGAAGCTTCCGCTTTGATTTTGAGGGATCATATTTATACATATATCAACGTCAACATCTACTTTGAGATTCGAAATAAATGAAAAGGCTTGAGTATTTCTCATGTTGAGCAGAGAAAAGCACAAAGTCGCCGATGTATTGGCATTTTTCATCTCAAAACCTCGCCCATTTTCTCGATCATCTTCCCCGAACATTTTTTCTCCACATTTTCTCGATTCCTCTTCATCTAGTACGTAGGCACAAGTATAAACTTTAACTTTCCCACCGACAGCTTTCATCTTGACTTGTTAAGTATTTTCCTTCTGGAAACATTGTGCATTGAATATGCCTCATGTCTCACGAGTGGATACAGCAGCCGCCACTCCTGGCGGCAAGCTGCGTTTGTCATCCGAGTGGGTCGAAGAGCACTCAATGAACAAGAATAATGGGGATACGGAGTTTTCAGTCACGCAGAAGAGAGTCGCAGATTGGAAGCAAGAAGCTCAAGCAAAAAACCAATGGCCTTGGAACAAGCGCACTGGCATTCTTCTCTATCACGAGGACCACAGCACGGGACTCATTCTCGACTGCACATTCGCAAGCGTGGATAACAACGGTCGCAACTGTTGGGCAATGACCTTCAATACCGTGGAGGCCCCCGGTGGGACAGACTTTCCCGACGAGGAAACAGTGGCAAAGGACTTGGGTCTGGCCTCTTTCGAATTGTTCCGAATGGAGCCACTGTATGACTTCAGGCGCATTAGCTTCGAAGACGAGCAAAAGATCGTAGAGGAAAAAGAAAAGAAGAGAATTAAGAGCGAAAAAGCAGAACAAGAAAAAAGACACGGGCCTACTGTATACTACGACGCACGCGGAAATCCCTGGCTAAAAACGATACTGCAGCCGGTGATACAGCATAGGGAATCCGGTGGAGAGTGTCACGATAGAACAGTAGCAGCCCTGCATTGGCTACTGCGTAATTTTCAACACGGCAAGGCGTTGTACAAAACGTTGTCCGGTGCAGCGAAAGGAGCCTACGAAGAAGTTGTAACAGTGGATGAAACAAGATTTCCCATGGACCCGGATCAATCAGATGGATCAATCGCGGATGCTAAGCGGTCTCTCTTTTATGCTGGAGATCCTTCTAGCAATAGAAAGAACTCGAATAAACAGCTTATTTCCACCCAGGACCCACAAGCGCGACACAATGGAAATGTGGAAACCTCTTTCGAAAACACATGCAAATCAGACGCGTGCAAAAAACGCGAGAAAGACGTGAACGGCATCACGAAAGCCCTTTTCGAGAAAAATAGAAGCAAGCCGGACAAAGTCTTGATTAAGGGTTAATCAATTACATCCCCCACAACCATTCCTCACTCTTTTTCCAGTAGGAAAGAGGTGAGGGATGTTCTGAAGAATGTAATTCTGCAACCTTTAACTTGAGTATATGCGACAAGTCCGAGCGAAAAACCGCAACCGGCCAACAAGACTTGCTCACCCCGCTATTTCCCTGGCCTAACAAATACCCCAACGATGATGTAATGGCGTTCGCGATCGCGGTAAAAAGATTTCTCAAAGCTTCAAACGAAGGGTTCCTGCTGTCCTTGGCGGGTTCATCTTCCAAACCGGGAGGAGGTGACGCCGCGAAGCAGTGGCACGGAAATAAGCTTTGGGAAGAGGAGGACTTTTGCCAGTTTGCGGCGCACAACAATCCTCTCTTCGTGCCTGTGAGCCAGAGGGTGAGGCAGACAGGTCCTATAGAAAATGCGCGTGCTTATTGGCGCAATCTACCTGACCGAGAGAGCAGTATGTTCGAGGACGCAGTGAAGCTAGGCCAGTTCGTTGCGTCGGAGATGTACCGCACACAGCGTAGCTATCGAGTTCACAAGTACGTCCCGTTTCCGAAGGCGTTTGAAGCGTCGATTTTGGTACAGGAAGGAAAAAAGCCGCAGCGCGTTTCCGATTACGAGTTGGGGGGCGAGTACGATGAAAATGGGGCTCTAGAATTCTGGGGCAATCCTCCGTCCACCAAGGACTTAACGGTGCCAGAACGCGCTGAGAGAAAGCCACGCAAACTTTCTGCCTCTGCGGCCCCAGCCGGCTCTTCATCTACTAGTGCAACCACGATCGGACCTCTGCTTCTTGGTGGAGGTGGAGACGCATCTTCTTCGCAGTCTAGAGCAACAGGGCTTGGTGGAGGTGGAGACGCATCTTCTTCGCAGTCTAGAGCAACAGGGCTTGGTGGAGGTGGAGGCGCATCTTCTTCGCAGTCTGGAGCAAGAGGAGGCTCACCTCGTACAGGAGAGTTCCTTGCAGATGGTCCGGGAGCTTCATCGCCACCTATGGGCCAGCCGCCCAGGAGTATCTCTAGTGGTTCAGGCTCTTCATCTTCATTCACTGGTCCGATTGGCACAAGAAGTGATGTTGGTGAATCGCCTGCTGGTGCGGCAAGCTCTGTGTCTGGTGCATCGGCTGGCAGATCGCCTGTTGGCGCAGCGCAGGAAGCCAGAGGTACCACGGCGCGCAGGGTGCCAGCTGAACCTCAAGGGGGATGCTGTAATCAAGGAGGCTACTCGTTTTTGTCGCTTTCCGAGGTGAAGCCTCCGTCGGGATTCCAGATGGGTCTGTGGCAGGGAGCCTTGCTTTGTGTTGGCGTTCTCGGGTTGTGGCGCTGCACGAGGCGCCGCGGTGCTGCACGAGGCGCCTTGGTGGGAGATCTTTTTTCGGGAGACAAAGACTTCGACTTGTCTTGTATTCTTTAAAAGTAAAACTTCGACTTCTTGTTGTATTTTTCTCTTCTTTTCAGAAAAAAAGCTAAAACTTAGAAGTAAGAGCTTAAGGAAAGAAAGAGAGAAATAGAAGAAAAGAAAACGCAATTGATCTCTATCGCAATACTCCTCAAGAAAAATGTGTAAGCGACGTGGGTTGTATGCTTCTAGAGCTAGAAGAGCAAGAGATGAATAATTGTTGTTCTAGAGGAGTTACATTGTCTTGTCTAAGGCTACCTGATTATATATATTATAATAAATATCCCCGAAACGCAAAAAAAAAAAAAAAAATCTACGGTGGTCACGAGTGGCCATATCAGAGGCACTCCCACTCACATGACATATTAATATTTATAAATATTAGTTCGTGGTCGTGCAGGATTTGCTTTTCGAAGTTCAGAACAAGATCGTGGAGACTCGACTTGACAGTGATGCTTCTGGACCTCGCATTCTTACCATCATGCCTACAGGCAGCCGCAGCCTGTAATAGAAATAGAGAACAAGATGCGTCGTGTTTGATCTTTGATTGTTCTGAATTAGAATTTCGCATTGATTAAGATTATGTTTATAGTGAAAATGAAATAGGTCTAGTTGGGTGTTCCGATTCCACTAATGACTTTTCATTGTGTTAAAACATTCGTCTTGTTCCGGATCTATGTGAGCTTGAGCAGATAGTGACTAGCTCTAACAGTAACACGTAGCGGTAGTTACGTTTAATCTATTGTTTTAGTAGTAGTCCTGACGCAGACGGTGAATCCGGTCCTCGTTCTCGTCCTCACGTGGTCAAGACTAATATTTTTTAGCTCTGATAGGTCCTCTAGTTTTTTAGATTCAATTCATTGAATTTAGAAGGGTATACCACGCTGCCTATTCCTCTGCACTTTCTTATCTTACGCTTTTTACAGCCGGTGAATATCAATGAACCACCAATCTGTGTTTTTTTTGGGAATAAATATCAAATAAATTTTTCTTTTTATGTTGATAGTTGGATTGATCACACGCAAGAGAAATATCATTAACAATTTGTTTAAATACATTAGTCTTAGTGGACATGTTGCATAAGCATAGTTAGGAGGTACTACAACGAGCAATATTAAACAAACCAAAAACCATAACGCTTTCAAAATCAGAACCGGCGCCAGCTTATAATATGGCTAGGAAACCTGGACCCCTCGCCTCCTGGTTTGTCTTGGTGCCCCTTAATTTCAAGGAAAGCCGCGACACATTCATCGAGAAACTACAGACCCAGTACTTTTAGCTGTTCGAAGCTGGAGCGCTTATTCTCTTCAGCCACTCATTGTCGAAATAACTCGTCAACTCAATCTGAAAAGTGAACAATTAGCATTCGAGAACATCAGCTCAATTTACAAAAAATGACGGGCACTAACGTAATGCAGAAATAGTCGCCATCAAAAAATTGTCCTCAAGGTCCATCAACAGGATGAATCATGATGCGACTCATTGAAAATCTGTTTATTTTTTTTTTTGTTAATATCAAGCAACCATCAATCTGGGATTTTTTTTTTCGGGAATATCGAATACAAATATAAAACGGTTGTTTTTATGTCGATAATTAGATCAATAATAGATACTTGGAGTTGTATGTACCTACTAGTAGAAAAAAGTAAAAGATATAACTTTCTTCCAGCAGAGCTACTTCCTCCTTGTGCCTGAGCTACTTAGTCGACGAGATTGCCAATCTGGTGCAACTAAGTACTCTGCTTGTAGATAGTCAGACGCCATTCCTCAACATGATCGTGGGCGCACAGATCAAGAACAAGTAGGATTAAATTGGCCAAAAAGGGAAACGATCAAAACACGGAGGATGTTATTAAACAAAATATTAGACAAGTAGATCCGTATTTGAGTGGTTACGGAGTAAGTCAGATCTAAACGGAATAGGAGGGATTTTCGACATATCAGCACGCGTAGAAGTAGTTGTAATATGCATGCTCGCGCGATGAACCAGCTAGATGAATACGCTTTTTGATTTAGAGATCCTCCCTCTCGTACTAAATCATAAGATGGTGCTTGCACGACTCGGATGACTTCATCGAGTTGCGTGCCAAGCACCAGTCACTTTGAATCTGAGCTCCTGGTTAGTGTTTCAGTGAAGGGTTTGACAGCCTTTCGCAGAAATCGTTGGAGTTTCAGGGACATAATCCTCAATATTTCCTTCGGTTGGAGGAATAGAAGAAGAAGCTGATACAAGTTGCTAAGCGTCCTAGCCGGAACGGAGCGGAAACATGATACTACATGGACATAACAATGTAAGTGGTTTAAGCAGTTCGCTCACGGGTTTTTTCAGCGAGTAATCATTCTTGTCTACAGAACAGTACTTAGATCGTCTGGTATAGAAGGAGGTGGAGGTATTACTGGGCGGGATTTGGTGTTGAAAAGCGAAAGCTTCTCTCTGAGACAAGAGGGATGAAGAGAACGGGTGGCAACTGTTTGTAGTTGAAACTTGAACAACTGTGCAACTTCTGAAATAAAAGCCGAGATGTCACTCTTGCAAAGGGTGGGCAGCTTTGTGTTGAGCCTAAGGGAAGGCGTGGGAGCTAACGTAAGAGGCTTCTCCGGTTAAATGAGCTTGAGCTTATTAAATATCTGAAAATTATGAACTTGGTGTAGAGGCCGTAAGTAGTGGAAGGAGCAGCGAAGAAAGCTAGGTCAAGAAAAGTGTGTGTGTTTGTGTAGAAGACGAGCGAAACATTGAAAGTGTAGTAGAGAGAAGATAGACAGATTAGTCAGCAAGTGGAATGAAAACAGTGCGCCCACACGTGTAAATGTGTAAAAGAGAGTCTGTAAGGTACAGTTGTCACAGATAGAAGTGAACATGAACTTGAACTTGTCCACATCACATGTAGACTTCTCTGAAAGTTCTAACCTCTCAAAGGTCAAGAGGCCAGCCTTTAGTGGGGAGCATGCAGAGAGAAGCGAAAGATTGCTGTGCAGCAATCTGCTGTCGTGTCTGCATCCTCCTCTAGCTACGCCATTCGGGAGTCGGCCCGCTCATCTACAGGCAGGAGAAGAGAAGAGTAGAGCGTCACTTCTACAGGGTTCCGCGCGTGATTCTGCTGAACAGACTAGTGCTGATCTAGATCTTCTTGGACGCGACGGTGATGGTGATCTAGATCCAGACTCTTCCAGTATATCTGACGCCCCGAAGCGGCTGACCTTGAAGGAGCGACGAGAGCGAGGCTTGTGGGTTCCTCCTTCTAGCGGCTCACTGGAGTCTTATAGGATCACCGCCGAGAAGCTGAAGTATTTGCAGGAGAAAGCAAAAGCATCGAAGGAGCCCTATTCTTGGGCGACGTGGATGGCATGGCTGCCAAATGAGATGCGAGGACTTCCTTCGCAGAGCATCGCCAAGGCAAAGGTCGACGCCTCGCCCAGAAGGAGACGAAGCGGCAATCGTATTCGTGGCTGGTGTATAGATCCCTGCTTTGCTCCTCCAGGGGATATCGAGCTTGGCCGAAGGATAGCAAGAAAAAGCTGAAACTAGTGGAGCGGCTTGGAGGTCTGTCCTCGGACGCAGCAGCGCGAGCAATAGTACACAAGTACGACAAGGAGGACCAAGAAGAAGAGTAGGAAGCATCTAGCTAGAATTCAAGAGGCCCCATTTTAACTGGTCCATAAGCTACAGGTAAAAGAGGAGGTCGCCCCCGTGCTGCTCCGCTGCTGGGTGTGAGTTTTGAACTCTGCTCAGCAGACTGCTGGGGGTACTCGGTTGTCGCAAGGTCCCTTTGAAGTCAAACGGTTCGCAAGTAAAAAGAAAGGGAACTGCGTAAGAGTAAGCCTTTGAGAAGACAACTTTTACTGCACAGAGCGTAGGTCTGTAGTGCAGCGCGCTCCGCTGTAGAAGTAGTGCGCTGGCTGCGATAGAGCGCGCCTCCAGTTTGTCAGAAGGTAGCATATTTTTTTGAGAAAGAAGCTAGTAAAAAAGGGAAAGGATCGCTGCAGGCTGGCAGTGGGAGAGAGTCACGTATTCGGTGAGCATTGTTTCGAGGGGCAATCTAGCCACCGGAGGACTAGCCGAGCGGGGTAGTTGAGCAGTTTCTGGGCTCAGCTCGTCAGGTACGCAGTGTTGCGCGTGTTTTCCGTTACTCTTCTTCCCCGGACCAGCAAGCGCAAGGGGCTGCACGGTTACAGCCGCAATTCTTAAGAGGTAGTATGGTCGTGGTGGGCTTATCCATCACAGCCGCGCGTCTTCTTTATCGTGTGGAAAGCTTGGCATCTTCAAGGAGACTCGAACCGGTGACCGTCACAGTCTCACTGTCGCCGCCGTTCCCCTCGTATACATCGTCACCAGTGCTTCTGGCTCACCTCCCTCTTCTTCACTTTCAACTTCGTCGGGGGCATCGAGGCTTATTAGCTGGTGTAGCAGGTGGCGCAGTACGTGAAGGCCCAAGGGGAGAGTAATCGGTGGGTTCTCTGCCTAGCCGCGCCTTCCGCAGTGGACTGTGACGCCGAACAGATCTGCAATTAGAACCTCGTGACGTCGTTTTGCAGCATGTAGTCCTATGGAAAAAAAAAACAATTAATCTGTTGTGAGAGAAACCTAATTTCAATGTATTTCTCTACCTACCAGGAGATTCACATTGTTGTTGGGTGGTCCGCCGGTCGCCTTTACGGAAACCGATTGGGACCTAGAGCGTTTTTTCTTTCTGTTGTGAGATTACACGAGAGATCCTATATGAATAATTGCATCACGCAAGGACGCACGGAGAAACTAGCAATGCAAGTTTTATATAATTCACATACGAGAGTCTAGCTTCTGTGTGAACATCTTCTCTGTCGTTCCTTTAGACCTCGTGATGTTGAGAGACTACCGATTATAAGATCATCCGCCCTGGTTGGTCTTTCCCCCTTGTCCTCCTACAATCGCTGATCAGAGACATCCACGCGAAGCCCGCACTAAAGGATAAGTGACACGCGTTTATACTGAGGTTTTGTTGGTATGACTTGTGGTTATTCTTTATCATGGTATATGATGGTGTCTACAACAGATGTGAGCTATATATCCAGCTTGAATGTCGGTTCTGCAACACTTACGCAACTTATACAAATATATCAAGCGGTCGGCATTACCGCTTAGATTAATCGAATACGGTTACAAAAAAGAGCTGTTTAGTATAAACTATTACAATGTACTTTCGCTTCCCACCCAGCTTCGTCTCCCCCGCGGATGATTTTTTCTCAGAGAATTTGTTTAGCGAAGCCCGCCTTTGCTCTTTTTAGGATACTTTCATTTTTGTATGATTTGTTGAGGTTAAATAAGACACTCTTGATGATCCCAGCAAAGTAACACAGCGAGAAGGAGGAGGAAGGAGAGGCGGACAAGGAAGAAGCAAGCAGATGCTAGAGTGAAAAGGAAATGGCGACTGCGTTTTGAGCTGAAGCACAAGAACAAGCAGAAAAATAGCTTTTTAAATTGTTAGGCCGGCACTTATTGCCAACAGCAAAACATTCATCAGGCCGATTCACTACACTGCTAAGTCCCACAAGATTTTGTAAATTATGGTTGAATAGAATGCACCTTTTTAATTAACCTAATTAAGAAAACAAAATATCAAGCGGTCGCAGCAACTGCTTTAATTCAGTTTTTACTGAAAGAAAAATTAGTCTTAGTGAGGCCTGCTCACATGATCTTCGCTGTTGATAGCCTTGTTAATTATTTAATCTCCTGGTTGTTTAGGCTCTTCTCCAGTAAGTCACTTTTCGATGGGCAGGCATGTCATACCCTTGCAGGTTGTAACAGTTGCTTTCAGGGCCCTACACTGTTAGGTTGTGCCTTAGTTGTTCTACAGGGGCTATTGGAATATAGTTCTCTCCGATAGTCGTAGGGTTTGGCCGTTGTGATACGGTCTTCTTGCTCCCCCGGTATGTAAGTTTTGTAAATGGATTGTTTAAGTAATTGAATGGGAGGTGGCATGTAGTCCTATGGAAAAAAAAAAAAAACGCCTGGCATCCCTGACGCGATCGAGGCCATTGAGCTTGAGTCTCTTCCTCAGTGATCTCGATGGTGCTTTCGACTGACTATGTGCTTTCCATTTTGGTGATGACTGTGGCGCATATCTTGTCCTCGGCGAGTTCGGTTGACTCAACGAAGAGAAGAATGTCGCGTCTGTAGTCTCGCCAAGAGACTCCGGGGAGCCAAGGGCCGATCTTCTTCGACATCTTGGTGTCCGGGGGGGGTGTGCTTGCTGGGGGGGGTTCCTGTCTTTTTTGAACTTCCCTGGTGTAGTGCGTAAGAAAGACCTTGCTGTCGGAGATTTTAACTCCTGACAGTGGCAATCTTCGCAACTGTCTCTACCTGGTGAAGAACTGCAGACTTTTTCCTTGTGGCGGTTCCTTCTCCCTTGTTCTCACCGTTATTCTGCTCGGGGCTGGAGCTCAAACCTGGGCTGTTGGTGGATTGGATCTCCGCTTATGGATTTCCTCTCCGTCGGCTGATGTCCGTGAGAAGCAGCCGATGTCGACAAGACTTGCTTGCCTGGCAATGACTCTTGATCTCCGAGACAAAAGACCTGCAGGACAGTGAAAACTTTTGCGTGAGAATCTTATCTACCTAACAGTTTTGGTTTGCTCCTCGAGCGGGTGCTTGCGAGAAAAAAAATCTCCAAGCGGGCTGTCGGGGTGCGAAAATTTCACCCGAGTGGAATCCACGCGACAGAATGTCCGTGGCTTCCGAGATGGGAAATTTTTGCGTTTCTAATCGTAGTCCGTCGGGCTCTAGGCGGATCGCCATGCTATTTCAGAGAAGAAAAACAAATCAACTAAAGTTGCTCCGTTAAGTTAACGGATGTTATTTGCGTCCGAAAAAAAATCTTTTATAGCAACTGGCAAAAGTTACTTAAAAACTTTCTAAGAATGCAAAGCGATTAAGCTAGTTACTCTCCGCTACCATTTATGAAGTAGCGAACACAGTGGCACCCTTGGCACACAATCGCCCTTATATCACGGCAATAGCGTGACTGTCTTTGTTTTATGCAATAGCCCAAATGGCCGGCCACTGATATCAGTATGAGAATCGTGATTGTGGTTCTTGCTCTTTGTTGTTGTTGTCTTCTTGTGTGGTCATGGTAGTTGTTTAGTTTAGTAAGTTAGTCAGCCTAGTAGTGTGATCATGATCCTAATGGTGCTAGTGGTTTGATCGTTGTGTTGTTCGTTGTTGATGATCATGATCCTAATGGTGATTATGATCTTGATCATTATCGTAGTGGTGGCCATGATCTTCATCACTATCCTCCTGGTGATCTAGTTACTTTGTTCTTACGTTTGTATTCGGGATCTGGGCATTGACATTTAGTAACACACTCCGAGCAGACATAGGCCAACAGATAGCTTGACGAAAAGAAAAAAAGGAGTCTAGTATGAACAAGGAAGGGCAGAATCGAAATCGAATTGTAAACCCCCCGTAGCCATTTTCGCTCAAGGTTAGATGGGAAATAGCATTAGACTCAAGTGAGTTCAGTGGAAAGATTCGTGGCTACGTGAATAAGGCGTTAAAGTTAACTCGTTCTGGTTTATTTTGTGCGAAAAACTCAAAAACAAAATGACCCCCAAAATATCTCAATAAAGCTGCGAGGTGAGGGTACGGAGGTAGCGGAATGGGAGAAGAAGTGAAGAAAAGAAGCTGTAGTGGCAATAGTAAAAGTACAAGGGAAGAGCATTCTGGTGGCGGATGACGGGTGACAGCGAAAAGCCCAGCAACTTCTCCATCTGCAGCCCCAACCGTTAGAACCCTCGCTATCCGGAGCGCCCCCTGGCAAACCGCTTGGTGAGTGTTGTGCCCTCGCTTGCCGACTGACCTCGCGTCAGCGGGCACACTCATCGAGGCACGACGAGCAGGGAAACGGTCACGCAGTCCTCACGCAAAAAAAAAACACGCGTCAGCATTGCGGCGCGTCATACCCCTGCAGGTGTGCTAACTTGCTCACGGGGCCCCGCTGCGTCGGGTTGCGCCTCAAGTTTTTTGCACTGGTCGAGTGTGCGGCTCTTCCGATAGTTGTAGACTTGTCGGCCGAATGTGCAGCCTGATGCTCCCCAAGTATGTAATTGTTTGCGTAATCGGTTTACTGAAGTGTTTAAAAGGGGGGCAGCATATAGTCCTAACGAAAAAAAAAACACGCCCGCAAGACTTGGGCAACCGCGCTTCGCCCCCTGGTTGGTTGGTTGGTTGGTTGGTTGGTTGGTTGCATAATGGGCATTCTAGTGAACGTGCGGAATGTATTGGCGCTGTAGAGTAGGCAAGACGAAGACAACCGGAAACTACCAGCATGGGAGGAGCAAAAAGCACACTCGTCTGCAAATACGAAGAGCAGAAGCCGTCTGCAAATAGTGAGCAAATACGAAGAGAAGCGCAACAACAAATTGGAAGCCACACAACTCAGCTTTTCTTTTCCCACCCAAAACCTTCACTCCAGGTAAGCCCTGGGCCGTCTGGCGGACACGGAGCGCTGGCGTGGAGGAAACGGTCTTGTTGTTAAGGATAATTGTTTAGATAGATCGACGTAGATAGTATAAGAGGAAAGATGGGTGCCCAAGCGTCTGCTAGTTGAATGTTACAGGTTGTCTTGGCATTAGATATTAGAAGCAAGTAGGATAGCGCCCCAGCTCCTGATAAGGCTGCTTTCTCTTCGCATGCGTCTGGACCTGTCACGCGGACGTTAATCTTAATATCACAATGTTGCGCTCCGGCATGAGTACCACCGCGCACCTGGGATCGATGCCTCAACAAGTCGGACCTTTCTCAACGCGCTGGAGATTCGGGGCTGCTGGTGTCTAACTCGGTTCCACATAGCAGGTTCGCCAGCTTGGTGTGCCGTTTTTCGTGACTCGTGTCGACTACGCCCGCAAGGAGAGACAGAGCCGCGCTACTGAGTGAGTTGGTAGAGTCAACAATGATGTACATCATGGACTTCAAATTCCACTATGAGCACCAATAAATGATCCGCTTGATGATCATACAATACAGCAAAATCAAAAACTCTCTACTTTTGCATGACCATGATCAACAAATTTCATGGGTCGTGAGTTCGTCTTGTGTTCATCTGTAGACCAGAAGATGTGAAGGTTGATTCCCCTTTCTCCTCATCTACACCATCAGGAGAGTTCAGATCGGCATTATCAGAATCTGGTGGTGCATTGGCTTATCAGAAGCTAATACCAGCACTAAAGTATTGGCAGTATTATTTATTAGCGCCTGCGTCCTGCAAGCGCAACCGTCAGTCGTAGAGAGAGGCGTGAGTCGGAAATTTGTTGTTTGAGAACTCCTACGCCAGTAATTATGTGTAGTAGTTCATTACAGTCAGTAAACACTGCTACAACTTTTGATGATAATATTCTCTTTGTATTTTCATTCTGGTTATTAATTTTTTTGCTGTGACTTCTCCTTTATAATTATCTTCATATGAGAATGAGTCCACAGGAGCTCATGAAGGATAAAAAATTCCCATCAAAATCTTTGTCTTCGTTCTTCAACAACAACATCAAGAAAGTTGCATTACCGACAAAAAAAACATGACTTCTACTTCTAGAAATAGAAGTTGTAGATTGCCTGCTTTGCTGCGTCATTTCGTTGCTGCAGCGTCGACGAGTGCCTCGTCTAGCCTCTTGTGTCTACTTCTCAGTGTGGACGAAGGTGCTCACGCATTCAGATTAGCTAAGCAGTTAAGGCTCCTACCGCTGAAGCATCCTCAGGCACATCCTTCCTTGGCCCTTTTTCTACTTGAAAAACGGAACGAGGTGATGGACTCAGGGATGCTCATGCGGTTGCTCTAACGCAGGACGAGCTGGCGCGAGCTGGCGCTGGAATGACCGACTGCCGTGATGCGTGGGCTTCTATGATGATGATGAGTTGGAGTTCGGAAGACGAAAAGGCTGGCCCTGAATTCCGGAGAGCACTGCTTTTATGCTTAATATTAGTGGGGGCTGTGTAAAGTAGAAGTAGTTGACAAGAATATAGTGCATTTTCATTCTTACAACATTAAGGCAATAATATAATGCATTTTCATTCTTACAATTCTTATAAGTTGATAGATAAAAAAACCTAACAAAAAAAAAATCTATATTATTAATCTATATTATTAATCTATATTATTAATCTATATTATTAATCTATATTATTAATCTATATTATTAATCTATATTATTAATCTATATTATTAATCTCCGCCGCCATAAAACTCCCCGCCTAACCCACCGGAGATTAGTCGCCTCCTGCCGCGAAGCTATTGCCCATAGCCTCCTGCCCTTTCCCCTCACTCCTAAGCCCGATAGTCTCCGGCCGTTTTCTTGTTGGAATTTACGTTGTGGCCCCGTGGCAGACCACCAGAAAAGAAGGCAGAAAAATGGCCGACGGGGGTGGGGGCGCAAGCTGGAGAGAAAAGTCCAAAAAAAGACAGCCAACGAAAGACCGCCCACCGAAAGGGCAAAGACCTTGGACCAAAGACACATGGACCAAAGCCGATCTTTGGACCAAGGGCGATCGTTGGACCAAGGGCGATGCTCGGACTAAAGGCGACCTTTGGACCAAAGACGACCTTTGGACCACAGGAGACCTTGGGACCTAAGACGACACTGGGACCAAAGGCGACACGGGGACCAAAGACGACCTTGAAACCAAAGACGACCTTGGGACCAAAGACGACCGCTGGACCAAAGTGCGGCGACCTCTGGACCAAAGTAGGGCGACCTTTGGACCACAGTAAGGCGACCTTTGGACCAAAGTAAGGCGACCTTTGGACCAAAGTAAGGCGACCTTTGGACCAAAGTAAGGCGACCTTTGGACCAAAGTAAGCCGACCCTTGGACCAAAGTAAGCCGACCCTTGGACCAAAGTGCGACGACCTCTGGACCAAAGTAAGGCGACCCTTCGACCTCTGGACCAAAGTAGGGCGACCTTTGGACCAAAGTAAGGCGACCTTTGGACCAAAGGCGACCGCTGGACCAAAAGCGACCTCTGGACCACAGACGACCTTTGGACCGAAGGCGACCTTTGGGCCACAGGCGACCTGTGGACCACCGGCGACCTCTGGACCAAAGACGACCTTTGGGCCCAAGACCTCCGACAAGACAAGAGTGAGACCCGCGACAGCAGACTGACATCTGACGAACGACCTCCGCCAGAAAAGCTGACGCGAGGCCTCCCTGTGGCGCGAGACCCTTGAAGATAGCGAAGACTTTTCGCGAAGGGCGTCAGTTCGGCGAACGCGGTCAGTCTGGCGAAGCACGTCAGTCCGACGAAGGAACAGAATCAATCTTACGAAGGAAAGACACCCGCAGCCCGAAGAAAGGCCCCGCTCAGCCTGTTCTGACGCAAGGCAGACGCCTGGCGAAGCATTGCGCCAGCCTGGCGAGAGGCCTCACGCACCTGGCTGGCGAGTGCATCAGCCTGACGAACGGCGCCGAGCTGAGGCAAGCCATCAACCTGACCAAAGGCGCGAGTCTTGGCCCGGCGAGGAATGTCAGCCAGGCGAAGCGCTTCAGCCTCGCGAGAGACGTCGCCCGACCCTGACGAAAAGCCTCAGCCTGACCCAAGACGCCTGCCGAGGGGCGCCGGCCTGCCCGACGAACGCCGCCAGCCTGGCGCAGAGCGTTGGTCTGACGAACGGCATCAGCCTGATGGAGGGCCTTAGTCTCCAGCTTAGTGAAAGACGTCAGCCAGCCGAGAGGCTTCAGCCACAGCCCGAAGCGCGACGCCGCACGGCCCCGCGAAGTGCGCCCGTCTGTTTCTGATGAAAGACATCCGACGAAACAAAGAGGCCCCGCCAGGTGTAAGCGCGTAGAGAGACCCAAGCAGCGCGGCCTTGCGTTGCTTTGTCTTGTTTGGCCCATTAAGGTCGCCCCTCGTTCTTGCCTGGCGCCACCACGAGGCGCTTGCGTGCGTTGGGGCTTGCGGATTCTTGTGCGTGTCTGGTGGCTCTCTTCTGGTTTTTTTGTTGGACTGCCGTGGGGGTCTTGCAAATTCTTAAGAATTTGCATGACCCCCCCGGCAATCTCAAAAAAAAACCGAAGGCAGCGCAATGCCCTGCACATGAGTCGACGCATCTGAGTCGGCCACCGCCGGCACTCGGCTCTTGTCGTGCTTAGTCAATTCGTAGGGTGCAACAGCTCACCCGCGGGCTGTCTCTACTCTAGCGGCTGTAGCCCGTGGGAGGCCGCAGGAAAGTGCTAAACTAACTTGAAGCCGGGCGAAGCTTGTGGAGGCTAGTATTATGGCAATAATATAATGCATTTTCATTCTTACAATATTAAGGCAGTAGTAGAAGATAGGAGTATACTTGAAGATGATGACTACCCTTCTCTCTACTTTTCTATCTTCCTCTGGTCTTTCTTTTTTCTAGTTAGGTCTGCCCCACCAAAAATTATATTAAGGCAATAGTGCACGAGGTCTTGTTAATCTTAGTCGACAATACATAAGCTTAAGCATCTACTACAATTCGGTTTCTTCCTTTTCATGCTTACAAAAAAGCAAGGATAGGAAAAGTCAACAAAGAAAGTTTGTGCTCGTCCTCCAGTAACGCGGTATTTGGACCTCGATCTTCACTCCTACTCTAAGAATCTCTGGGCATTCATCTATTCCCGAAGATCATGGTCATCCTGATGCTGGTACTACACCACCTCTACCAGTGAGGAGTACAGATCTCACTCTGGATTTCATTTTATGACAGGAAAAAGAGTACTCCTGCTCAAGAAAAGAGGCTGTTTCATCCGACTTACAGATGAAAGTCTTCCTATTTTCTTGGCCTTTCATACATCTGCGGCAGCGGCAAAATAGGCGATTGGAGGAAACCTTTTGCGCGTCAATCGCTTCTTGGGTACGCCTATGGGTGGAGGGCTACGCATCCGCATGTCCAGGAAGATGAGGAATTAGTAGCCTCGATTCTGGGAAGGAAACATCGTGAATTTTTCCAACAAGCATGCTGTATACCAGAACCGATTGTATTGCCATTACGACGAGAATGCGACATCATGTCCTCGTGCTCAGGAGTACACATACACTACTACTGGTTTCAGTTTCACTTCTACTTAGCATGATCAAGTTATAAAGTGATTTAATATCACACTTTCACTTTCATCACCACGAAATCGATTTTCTAAAGACGGCATAAACAAGTGAAGTCTGTATAGCATTCAAATTCGTAAGACATTACCACTAGCACTACCTGTCTTCTAATGCCTCCTCTTTCACCGATGCCACCTCCCGTGTTGCCACTTAGCGCACCTCCAGTGGTCGGGGCACGAAGTGCGATGCCCGCTTCGATGGTTGCGTCAACCTCAACGACTCCACCTCCACCAGTCACGGCAATAACATCAACGTCCTCTTCTTCATCGGCTCCTCCCGTTGTGTTGTCTGATGGTAATCTGCCTACTTCTTCCCCTTCAGTGGGCACGTCGGGTTCCGCAGCGGGTACGCCAACTACAACGAAAAAGAGTTCTGACTCGTGTTGTGCTGCTGGATGAGCTAGGGCTGCACATGTTGACGCATGTTCACCAATCTTCATTGAAACATGGATGAACACAGACATCACACGTCATAAACACAATCTTCATTAAGGAGCTCCTCTTCACTTGGCTTGATCTAGTGGGCAACAGACACCCTTTAAGATGCTTTTTTTCCTCTACGGAAGATGACAAATCTTCTAATCCGACTATGTTGCTGTATTGGATGTAGAGAGGAGTAAGATCACGCCACGTGTAAACTTTTCGGATCCCAGCAGGAGCAGCACTCGGATCACATCTGATATTAGTACTACGGAGTAGAGAGAAGCTCTACTGAAGCATTGAATTTAGACGGTTCATTCTTTTTCTTTCCCCATAAGATGAAGATCATCCAAAGATCAATCAGACCTGAACAAGGTCTGCTGCAACTGAAGGTCACCAAATCGATCTTCACTAGGATATTCGTCTTGAGACTAGAAAAAAGACGAGATCTTGTAGTTCATGTTCTTCTATGAGAACTACCAATTTGATCCAGATCAGAGGCAGGTCTTCCAATTACTTGTGGTGTTGTACTGGTTGGCTGTCTAGAGTAGTAGATCGCATTACCTCAAGTAGACCATGCTTATATTTTTTTTATTATTCTAAGGTCCTCCACACGACGCTTGATAGAGTCAAACCCTATCGACGTCGACGCAAAAGAAGCCAATCAAATTGGCAAAGATACTTGTTCGAGGACCGAAAAATAGAAAGACCACATCGACATCTATTTCTGTTACGAACAGGCTGATGCACAAGAGAAGTAGGTAAAAACGACCGTAAAACAATATCAACGTATGTGAATCATGTTTTTTTACTGCAAATTAATATGCTTCGATAATTTATTACATACAAGGAAAAGCAGAAGACTATTAGTTGCATCTACTAGACTTCTACTTAATATTTTATCCACTGCTTCTACTCGGTTTTGTTCTCTCGACTTTCAAGATCAAGATGGCGCCTGCTTCCAAAAAAGGAAATGGAGAAGCACAAGCTTCCTCCAAGATTTTCCAGCGTAATCTACTTCACCTGCGAACGGAACAACTTCTGGACAGGCTCAAAGTAGACGCAGACGGAACAGTTGAAACCACACTGCGCAACATCTACGGACACATCAAAGGGGCCCCCGAGGCTGTTGGAGGCGACAATGGAAAGGAGGGAACTTGTACTAAGAACGGTAAAAAAGGAGCTGCTGTACACCCAGCACTATCTCTCTCAGCGAAAGATGCAGTAGCACGAGCAGGACATACTGAATTGCGGCTTTTTAACTACAGTCCGGCATCTTCGCCATCTTCAGCTGTTTTTGTCCCACCAACGCGGATTGAGGTTGTTGGCTCTTTCCTCTTGAAAACGATGACGACGCGCACCGTAGATCTCGCAGTGTACATGCCGGATAGCATGTTTCAAGCGAAAGATCACGTCAACTACAAATATGGTACTTGGACTTCCTTGTGTTGGTTGTAGTTACTCCTTGCTGTTCAATGACGAATACTAGCCTCCAGCTTCTTTTCGATTCACTTGCAGGTGATCCACCTGGTCAGCTTTATATCCTCTTGTTTAAGTCACAGTCAGCTAAGTATTTTTTACAATGTACACTTAAAGCTATTATTGCTTATATACTTTTCCAACACAACCTACGACAGCCGACAAGCGCACCGCATATACTGCTGTGTTGAGTGAGCATTTGCGCCAAAAGGGTTTCAAATGCGATGTAGAGTTCATCGATGGAAATGCGTTTAGGCCTGCTTTGGTGTACAACGTTGCTAGAAATGCTGGCGAAGAAGATGGCGATGGGGCGGATGTGAGTTCCTGGAAGATTCGCATTCTAGTATGCCTCTCTGGCGAGCAGGGCTCAGCAATTACGGAAACAAAGCTTCAGCTGTGGAAGAACGCACTCAGACGCGGTACTGGTAAAGATGGTTCCAACATACAAGAAGAAGAAGAGCAGCAGGAGCTGCCAGCCTCCCCTTTCTACAACGCTGCTATCCTCGAAGATTTGTATGCCAGTCGAGTGTTGCAACTGCAGCACCAAGCGATGGAGCGACAGGAAGCTTTAAGACCAGCGATTTTGCTCCTGAAAAGATGGGCAGCGTGTAGGTTCTTAGAAGCCTCATTGAATTGCCCACTCTCCCTGTTAGCCTGCTACGTTGCGGGAACAACCCCGTCCGCGAGGGACCCTATGCAATTGTTCAAAGCGACATTGAATTTTGTGGTGAGAGGATATGGGCATTTGTTCGACAGCACCGCTGTTGCAGATAGTGTATCAGCGATCACAAAGTACCATTTTGAAGGATCAGGGGGATGCTTGCAGCAAATATACAGCAAAACGAATAACGGTGCTAAAAGTAAAGCTTCTTCCAGCCTTGATGGAGAAAATAACGATGAAGAAGAGGAACCAGTTACATCATCCACTACCACTTCCACATCAAAAGCCACTATCAAAGAGACAGAAACGGAGAAGGGGATGCGCTCAGTTCATGTGGAGCCACTCAACCTGTTCGTTGGTGAACTCAATGTTTTCCAGAAATTTGCTGCCGCGACCCTAGAGGAACTTGCTTGGGAAGCCAAACTTACCTTGAAGATTCTAGACACAGAACATCAGGGCGTCTTTGACCAGGTTTTTGGGTCTTTTCAACATCCAGACCTTCACTGGGATCAAGCGGTTGAGATAGATCTGAGCACCAAAGGAGTGGAACAAGCGGCGTTCTGCAGTCTCTGGTCCGATGGTAAGGGACCACGACCATCCTCATACTTCGATCAAGTAGAAATGAGAGATGAAGAACAAGAAGACCACTTGGCCGCATGCTACAATAACATGAAGACCCCTACGATAACTACGCTGAGCAACAAAAAGTTGAACAAGAAGCGAAAGCAAGCGGCACAAGTAGCCGAGGAGGAGAAGAGAGCAGCAAAGAAACAAAGGATGAACGATGCGTCCGTGAGCAGTTGTAGTTCTGCCATGAAGTTTTCGCAACATGCATCGTCTTCCTATTTCCGCATCGTTGAGAAGGACTCTCCAGCAACTGACGCTCCATGGTCCGTCGTAGCCGTGCAAAGAGTCGTAAAGTTGCTGCAACGTGGACTGGGTTCGAGACTCCTGCGTTCCTTCGTAAGAATCCTACCAAACAGTGGTAAAGCTGTGGTTGGTCTCAAACTTTCTGCGCCTAAAATCGAGAAAACGGTTCTAAGAGGCCCTTCTGCGGACGACGCAGGAGCAGTCGAGCTCTGGAAACAGCTGTGGCGCTCGAAATTGGAGGTACGACGGTTTAAAGACGGGAAGATTCAACAATGCACGGTGTTTCCTGCTCCAACGATGGGGTTGAAAATGGACACGACTAATTCCGAGACGATTCTACCACTCTCCGCACAGATCATCGAGCATTTACTCTCTGCTCATTTTCCTAATGACGCTCGCCGCCTCGAGTTAGGACCTGCGCGCCTTTCTTTGCTAAACCAGTTGGGCGGCGCAAGTCAAGGGGCTAGTATGTCTGGGATTCTATCTACTGGAACTCAGGATGGCAACAACTCCTCTAAGAGTAGTACTACAGCTGCAGGAACTAGCTGTGGTATCTGGTCCGCATTCGAAGAGATGCGCGATATGTTGATGGACATGAATAACGACCTCCCTTTGGCCATTTCCCGTGTTGCACCAGCAGGCGCTGGGTTCTCCTACGATGATGAGGAGGATGTTGTCAACGAGGACTGCAGCTCTTCGATAAAAACATCTTCAAACGAGTCAGATAAAAGCAGAACTTCTACAACGTCATCCTCCAACTCATCTAAGGCTCTGGTCAGCTACATGAATGCGACGCGGAGAGTTGAAGACGTCGTGGTCGAATTCGAGTGGAGCTCACTTTGGCCACGAGATTCAGAGCAGGCCATTAAGGTTTTTCAAGGCGCTTTTCTGTTGGAAATGAAGACGCAACTAGCTGAGCGGTGTGACATTCCTGCTTTTGTCGGAGAAGAAGGTCCGTTGTGGACAGCGTCATCCTCGACGGGTGCAGAGGCAAGCTCGTTAGAAGTAGACGTCAGTACAGCATCTTGTTCACCTTGGGTCACTGCTATGACGAATATCGAAGCACGACAGCTTCCGACTTCGACCGTGCCTGCACCACAACCATTTTTGGATGTCGTGTTTCCGAAGCACGTGTTTAGATTGCGAGTTTTCTATCCCTACCTGCCGTCGGTGGTGCAAAACGCACGCTTTGTGACTTTTGGGGCTATGGTGAAGAGCAAGGACGTCCAGGAATTATTGAAAGCGGCAGAAACTGGGGAGAAAAAAACTTCTGCTACTACTGGTATTAACGGAGACAACAAGGAACAAGATAACATGTTGACTACCTCTAGTAATGTCTCAGTATCAGCTGCAGACCTGCTAAAGGAGCAGAATGAAGCGACCCCGACAAAGGATGAGGAGGAAGATCAATTCATGACCCAAAATTCATCTCTGATCTCGAGTTTCGGCACCACAGCTTCTAACGACGCTCTCACGGAATTGAGGGAGCATTGGTGGCGACCCCGTGTCCGACAAGCTTTCCACACGCTTGCCCTCGAGCAGCCAACGTTCTGTCTCACTTGGTCTTTGGTGAAGAAGTGGTTGGCTTCAAAATGGTTGCTACATGGACACGAAGACTTCTTCGAACATTTGGTTGCGTCATTGTTTGCTCGTGTGAGCTCTGTGAGCTTCTGTGGGCTTCCGACATCAGCAAACGTTGGTTTCGCTAGATTCCTAACCCTCTGTGCAGCCCATGGCACGACTGGAGGAGGCTTGAGCGGAGAAGCACCAATTGTCTTGGAGGACTTTGGGTTTGCTCCACCGGAGATGGAAGGTACTAACTTACTACTGCTTCTTGTTTTTCGTCATAGATGCAACAACCTGTGATCTATGAAAGAACGTTTTTGTTTTGAGAAGATCAAAGATGCGTATCAAACATGATGAGCCTGTTTTTGAACGCTTGGCAACCGAAGCCTCGTGTGGACCCAACAGAAGAATCGATAGGACTGACCAACAGAAGAATCTGAATGGAACAAGATACGTAATCACGACCATCTTCACTACAAAATCCGTCTATTGATACTGTGAAGAAACAAACTCAGGTGCTGAAACTGGTCTTGCTCATGGTTTTTCGACCGAAGGGACTGAGCAAACGCAACTTTCGGAAGAGCAGTTGCACCTATTGCAAAGCAGTTACGAACGGCGCAGAGGAAGCACGCGCGAAGCTGTAGTAGCAGTGTGCACGCGATTCGACCCTCACGGTGTTTTTGTGCGGACACCGAAGGAGTCGCATTTGATCCAGTTGAAAGAGCATAGTCGAAAAGCTTTGGCGGCACTGCACGAACAAAATTGGGGAAGATGGACCACTGGTTGTAGTGAAGAGACAAGCTCAAGAACCTCATCAACCTCGTCTAAGAAAGCAACGGCGGTGACCACGCTGTTCCAAGAACAGGCAGAAGAATTCGATCTGCAGGTTAAGCTAAGCGCGATTCCTTCTCTCTCTACGAATGGCAAAAGCAAAAAGCCAAATTCCGCCATCAAGCAACACCAGCACTCGCACTTCTCGGATCTTGGCACTACCGCTTTGAATTCAGTCGCAGACGCGTTTTGGCGCAAGCTCAGCGCAAAGTACGGCGAATGGGCTGTGCTTTTTAGAAGAGGCAACGACGTAGCGTTGAAGTGGCGACCAGAGGCGTTCGATATGGAAAAGTCAGGAGTAAAGCAACTCATGCATCGAGGATGCTCTTACAGAGCAGCTGCAGCTTCCACAGGGGATAAAGAAGATACACGACCTTCTTCAGTCCTCCCGCAAACCGAAGCAATGTTGCAGGACATCAGTTATTGGCTCACTGGGGTTAGTTACCAAATTATCGCATCATAAGAACTTTCGTCTCAGACAGGAAAAGATGAAATACCCCACCGCGCCCTTGCAATTCGTACTAACTTCTACTTGCGCCAGAATGTAGTTGCACCACATTCTCTACATATCTTACGAAATCATTTTCCTGTCATCCTCTGAGTGGAGGTCCTGGTCCTCTGTGTTCAAAAGTTGAGCTCTTGCGTTCACGCAGCTTGTTTCTTAGGAACGTGAGGTTCCCTGCTCCTCCCAATCAGTAGCACCACGATCCTAGTCAATGAGTAAGCTCTAGGAACAACTACAGCTGGATAAGAAGTAGATTCGGTCCTGACAACTTCGACGTTCTTGGAGGTGGAACAAACTACAAAGGATCTATCATCGATATTGAGCTGGGCCGTACGCCTTGGAGGAAGCAACATCACAAACAAAAGATCATCGATTTTAAACGCCGTTCATGGAAAGAAGAGAGAACCCAGAATGAGCCTTTTTAGGCTTATCAGTCGGTTCTCGTCAGTTGACTTTGCAGTCAGTTGTTTCAATTTTTAGTAGGTGGGTACTTCTACTATGAGGAGTGCCACTGGTGTACTACCCTTGTGGTGGGAGGGCACCTAGAACCAATACTGACAACTACTCAGAACCAGAATACACCTCGATCAGTACATCAGGAAGCAGGTGGGGGTGGAAGTACTACAACTACTAGCTAAGAAGATTTCCGAAAAGATGTAATTGACCAGGATAAACTACGACCAATAATATGGTAGAAACTTCTTCTACTGTTGCTGTTTTGATTCTTACCAATAGCTATACCTCAGCGCTATTACAACATGCATAAGTTGACGCATTTTGACAACTCGAAAGTGCCGGCTTCTGATCCTGCTTTTCTTGATGAGGTGAGAGAGAGAGAGGTGAGGAGATCCATTTTTACAGCGATCCTGTTCATCAAAATTTTTGAAATTATGGTTCTTTTTTTGGAAAAGCACTGCCTTGAGAGTCTTATGGATTTCATGAAGAGTGTCAAGAAAGACATCAAAAAGGCAGCAAACCGTGATCCACACAGTCCGCTGTGACAGACTAAGAAAAACAGTGATCCTATCATGTAGACGTTCTTGTGAAAGCTAGGCTTGTTGTATGGTACACTTAATAGGTTTCGATTTTGATTTTTTGTTCGAAGATCATTCATCATGTGATAGGTTGCAGCTCGATTTTCTTTGTGTGTTATCCATCTTCAGTTTCTCGTGCTCGACCACAATTTATTTTTGTAGAATATTCACAAAAAATTCATCTCATTTGCTTTTGCAGCGTCATCATAATGTTGTCATGTTGATGGTAAGCGTAAGAAGTTTTCTTTCACTTTCTGCTAGTGCTTGTAAGTAGAAGTTCTGATAGTACTGAATTTTTTTTCTCGTTTGAAACATGAGCACGCGTGAACAAAGCAAACACAAATTGCAAGAAGAAGATCCAAACATCAGCAAAGTTGAAAACTCTGTCGGAGAAAAAAGGATCCACTCGTGATTTTGATCAACAATGTGCTGTATTTGTAGCGATCATTTTCACAGAAGCGGATGGTAGTTACACATAAGTATGAATTTCAGTACAACTACTACTTGATTCATCTCGTACTAGGGAATAGCGTCTCTACCAGGCTCATGCTGGCGAGAACACCTACATCCTAGACTATCTAGCTGCTAAGCTAACTCAGGACTGTCTTCTATTGCTAATCAAAACATCATTAGTAAACAGCCAGGTGGTTTATTTTTTCGATGATAAGCATCCCCAACATCCATACGTTAGGTAGTCAAGAAGTCACCTTGTGAAGATCTTGTTGATTTTTTTTATCTAATCGTGATTCAACATTGGTTGACAATAGTTAAAGATATACTAGAGTAAGGCCAATAACGGGTTTCGAGTTGCTCGAGTTGCCACGAGTTGCTCGAGTTGCCGAAGCGAAGAGCTTCATTGCTGGAACGAGTTGCCACGAGTTGCCGGGAGGTGTCCGCTCCATCGAAATGGAGCGAAGCAGGGCGGTGCGAGCACAAACCCAGCGGGTCGAAGTGGCGAAGTGTAAGGGCGCGCTGCGTTTGTTGTTGCTCATGAGAGGCGCAATCGGGTGCGAAGGGCTCCTGGTCCCTTATGACTTTTTTTTTGTAGCTCGCCAGCGGGCGTTTATTAAAGCACAACCAAGGGGGCGAAAGACTCTGCCCGTTGTTGTTTTTGTTTGATGTCAGTGTCGCTGTGGCGTGTGGTGTCGTCTAGTCGGTGACGATCTCTCCCATTTTTCTTCGGATGTATTCCCAATAAATCTACTTCGGGGGTGAGAGTGAGTAGCCCCCGTCTGCTTTATAGGGCGGCGCGTCCAGCCTTGCTCGGGGGTGAGTAGACTAGAGAAAGCACCAGCTGGGAGTGGAAGCTGGGAGTGGATTATCACACTAGTTTCGCGAGTAATTAGATGCTGACCAAGCAAGTGGCTGAGATGAGTCCTGAGCCCGAGACGGTTACTCGCTCCTGCCTCAAGGGTGCACTCCGAAGAAAATCAAGGATCAGAGACACGGCGCGCAGTGTCGTACGCTCCTGCTAAGGTTTCGCGGAGTCTCATAAAGCTGCGCCCGAAGGGCGCCGTGCAAAAAATTAGGGTGGGCAACTCGAGCAACTCGAGCAACCCGAGCAACTCGACCCGATACGGGTCAAAAAGTGCCTTACTCTAATATACCTATTCCGCGGCGGTTTTTTTTGATATGAAGATATGAGCTGCTCATTGAGTACACAACGACAGAGGAGAGAGAGAGAGTTGTGAGTGTGCCGGCATGAATGAGGAACAATCTTGACTATCAATACGCTTGCTACCGACAAGTCTAGTATACTCTACTTTTGGACATATGTGACCAAACTGAAGCAAACTTGAATTTTATTATCACGCCCCTGATGATTTTGATAGATATTGTCCCTTGCTTGTTGTTGTTGTTGTTTTCGCTTGTTTTCATAGGTGTTTTACGATAGGCAGTTGTTTAGATGATTGCTCGTGATTCGTCGACCGTGACTTCAGTCGTATTCTCTTTTCGTTTTTTTAGAATGAAGACTCACAAGTACAGTCAGACATCAGTTTAACAGTTGCAAAAATCGAGTAGGAGTGTGTCGTCAATAACATCAGCATGCACTTGCACACACTTTTGCTTACTGATAATCTTTTGTCCTTACCTTTTTCTTTCAAAAACAAAGTAGTTACTTAGACTTTCTTGTAAATATCACGTCACTTTTTACTTCTACAACTAGTACTTGTTCGTAATTTAATATTCACCTGCTAGAACTCGAAAGGATGACGGCGTCAGACGATACAATCAATCTGATTGATTCGATTCAGTTGGATTTAGGACTTTCACCCGCAAGCGTTGAGTCGAGTCCTGCTCCCGGTGTGGAGTCAAGCCTCTTTTTTGGAGGCAATAAAGCTGCTACTGCTCCTGCTTGTACCCAGTTCCCGGGACGAGCACCTGGAACAACTTCTGGAGCAACTTCCCCTTCCGGGAATGTTGCTGTTCCTGGCGGGAATGTTGCTGTTCCTTCCGGGAATTATGTTGCTGTTCCTGGCGGGAATGTTGCTGTTCCTGGAGGTGACGCAAGTGCCTTCACAACAACTCCAACTGCTTTTCTTGGGCAAGAACCCGGAGCTAGTACAGCGCCGACGACGTGCTGGTCAGGAGCTGCAGGGGCTGCCACCCATACTAGAGGTCCTCAGCACGTGTGCGTCCCCACAACTACTGGCGTTTTAAGCATTCCGCAACGCTCTACGCGACAGTCAGGTGATGTTAAGGGATCAACATTTGCAGGTCCTATGAACAAAAACAATAATATTAAAGGTGGAACTACCTCCTGTTTGCCTCCGCCACCGTCAAATCTCATAGGAGCCGCCGTGTCGTCCGCAAGCGCAAGTGCATCTTCATCCAGTGCAGCCGGTGCTGCTCTTCCTTCCGCTCTTACTTCATCCTCGGCAAGCACAACAGCGACGACTACAACAGCAAATCCGGCTTCTTCATCCACGACGACAACTACTGCGAGCTCCAGCTCATTAGCACAATCAGACGTAGCAGCAGCTGCGGGACTTGTTAACGGCTTGATTCAAGTTGGCGATTATCAGCTAGAGCCGTTACGGGTAGGGAGTCATCTAGAAGATTCGTGCGGACTCTTAGACGGACAACTAGCAGCAAGTGGAGGCCAACTTCTAAGCAGTACCCTAAAGCACACGACACGCGTGATACCGACATGCCGAGCCCTGTTGCCAGCTAAGGAGAGTCCGAAGGGGAACGAAGACCCGAGCCCACAATTCATCAAACGTGTCACAGTGGTAAAACTATTTCTACTTGCTTCCTTCTCTATCACTGTCGTGACCGTGAAGACCATGACTAAAATTCTGACATCTTAGTTTATTCTTTTTACATGATAACGATAAGTAGTACGGGTGTAAATTTGTACCTCTTCATTTTCTTGCAAGTACCTACCTTCTTCCAGCAAGTTTGTTAGCTGCTTTTTTGGAAATCCAGACAGTTATCGAGAAATCAGTGCTGATCTTCAACATCAATCATTTTTTTTACTCCTCTAGTGCTTGATTTCTGCTGCTACGTAAAAAAATATCAGACATTGTGAGATTATATTGCTTAAGCTTTGACATTATTTACTCTCTGCTCACCTAGTTGATTTAGATGTTACAGTTTTTCCGATCAATATGCAAAATTCAAATATCATGATTCATCCTTTATTTACACGAAAGAAAACGATGTATTTCCTTCACCCGTGTTGATATATAGATCAAAAGCCGAAAACGTTGTCCGGTGGGTAGTAAACCGACGACATGCGGCGCAACGACTGGCAGCACAATCGGAGGTTTGGGAGCTGGAGGCCCGGAACAACAAGCTGGTGCAACTTCATGTCCATCCTTTAATATCCCTGCCGCTGGAGCTGGAGGGGCTCCTTTTTATTTATCTGGAGGGAGCTATTTGCTCTCGGAGCATGGTGCGACAACATCATTCACGGATCGAAGCGGGGCAGCTGCAAGTGGAGCCGCGGGAGTAGTTGATCATACTGCATCGGCCGCGAACAATTCTAGTACCAGCAGCAATTTTTATACAGGAGAGGGAGACGGAGACCGTGGTGACAGCCACGGGGAGCACAATACTTCTTATTATCCTGGTGGTGGTGGTTCTTCTGAAGGTCGTACCGAATCCGGCGAAGTAACGTCAATCCTTTCGGTCAAAGCCATAGTGAACAGCGGCGCCTCATCTTCGCAGGGTAGTGCAAATGATATTAAAAACGTCAGCCGAGCAGGACAGGTTCAGGACTCTCCGCTACAAAACTTGACATCATCTTGCGGTCCATCGCCATCTGTCAATTGTTAAGGGAATCCGTGATCCATGTTTTTAGTTTGGCTCCTGATCCTCACGATGATATACTCATAGATCGCTTTGGGTAGTTCCTCAACAGATAGTTAAGTATTTACATTCACTCACACTCGATGTCTCAGAGGGGAAAAATTCTTAAAGGCAAGAATTTATTGCAGTGCGAGTCGTAGTAGAGAATACGAGTAGACGTAGTACATGTGTACCATTGTTGAAGACGAGTTTTTTTTCGTAAGTTCCTATGCTTATTCTAAGCGTCTTCCCCCACGAACAAAGCTCCTCAAGAGACAGATGGCCGTGTCCTCCCTTCCGTAACCATAGCTGCTCCAGCTGCAGATGCTGACGTAGCTGACTCGTCATCTCAAGAAATAGCCGAAGAAGATGATGAATTTGACGACTTCGATTCCTATGTGCCAGGTGACGACTACGAGCCGCGGTCAAGAGCCCTATCACCAGCATCTCCATTCTCACAGCAAGATGATGCGGTACTACTTAAGTCCTACTTTGTGACGACGGGTGACCCTCTCGTAACTGCTGATCCTCTCTTTGTGACGACTGCGGTACTACTTCATCTTTGTGACGACTCTAGTAAAAATATTGCTGATCCTCTCGTCGGATAAGTAGAACTTTTCCAACGGGAATTCTTGTCGATTTCTTCATTCTAGGATGAAATGCATAACCTTCTCGCGTTTCAATTCTCAGGATGCCGCAAATAATGACGGCGCAGACGCACGGAGCACGGACTCCTTATCTGACGATGAAGAGGATATGGGCACAGGCGGGTTTCTAGGTGTGCTCCTTGCAGGAAAGCAGCCTGAACCCAGCTCAGGTACAGGTACCACATCGGTCGCAGGAGTTGGAGCATCAGCAGCATCAGGCCTCCAAGGCTCTCTGTTAGCCAAGGCTGCTTCTATACAGCCTAAAGGATGGATCGGCGGGGCTTACAACTCCACTTCTATGAAGGGTGTTGGAGTAGGTAAAGCAAGCCCGTTTGATCAAGGCTTCTTACCAGCTAGAAACGGCAAAAGTGGGGGACACCCATCACCAGATCTCAACTCGCCGAGCACGAATAACATGCAGAAAGTACTATTCATTGCGGCACTATCTCCACTAGCATCCAATTCTAATGTCCTTAAAAATGAACGAAGTAGACGTACTAGTACCACATCAAAAATCAATTACAATTATACTGAATCAGCAGATGGAAAATCAAAATGTTGAATTCGCTTTCCAGGGCGGGGCCGGGACGAATTCGCCTACCTATTACAAAGGGCCACCTGGTGTACTAGCAGCTCCCGGTGGAAAACAACATCCTGGACAGCACGATCACCTTGCGGCGGGTGGCGCTAAGGGTGCCGTGATTGGCCCGCCACCTATGCAGGTTTTCGGCTACGGGCACCTTCCTAGTCCCA